ATAATCTATAAAAACTATAGTATAAATTATTAGTAAAAGTTATAGAATCCGATAAATACTTAGATATTATAATAGTTTTTAAAGAGTTCTTAATTCTTAATAGATTTTACTCTTTAGGGGTTTATAGAGACGCCTTTTAAATCTATTATAAATCCTAGGAACTCTATCTCTTCCTAATAGAATATATACTTTAAGGCCTTTATATATAGGCTAGCTTTTCTAAGGTTTTTAAGGACTTTTTAGAGGTATTTTATATAAGATTCCTTTATTAGAGAAAATATTAGTATATTATTAAGATATACTATATAGATTATATTAAGGTAGTCTCTTAGTATATTATAGATATAACTTTAGAATATAATAAAGGTATTAGTTAGTCTAAACGGTATAACTATATACTTATAGTACCTATATTAAATATAAAATATAGTCTTCTATTTATCTCCTTCCTTAATATAAATTCGGTAATATATATCTTAGATATCGACTTTACTAAACTATTTAGCTCCCGCTAATTAGTCTAGAATTTCTAAGATAAATAATAATAGATATTAGTTTTTAACTAAGATTTTATTTAGCCCTTAGTAGTCTATATAAAGATATAATCTACTATTCTTTTTTAGAATAAAGAGGATCGGTACTTTTATAAGACTTTTAGATAGTTAGATTTATCTATTTTCTAGATTCTTATTAATATATTCTCGAAGTTCTTTTAGTTCCTTTTAGGATAAGAGATAGATTAGTCTATAAAAGGGATTTTCTCTTAATAATATATTAATAGTATAGTCTATAACCTTATTTAAAGGAAGGGTTTATACGTTTTTTATAGAGAAGATATTATAGAATCCTTATAGTTCCGAAGGTAAATTAAGAGATTCTTCTATATCCTCTTTCTCTTTATATAAGAGCTATACTTCTTTAGGTATTTTTACTATAATATAGATATATATATAGTTCTTATACTTTTTTATAAACCGGTATAGGGTTATCGCTTTATAGTTTAGGGTATTAAACTACTATTTTTAGTTTAGTAAAAAGAGATTAATTTTTTAGTTAACTAAGATTATTATTAATAGTAGTACTAGACTACCTAAAATTCTTAGATCTCTATTAATAGTAATATAAGATCGTATAAATATTCTAGTAATTCCTTTACTATCCGTAATAGTTATAAGAACGTTCTATATCCTATATATAGTTACTTCTTTATATTCTACTATTTTAATAATAGGAGGTATAAGTTTCGCTTTTTAAAGTTTCTAAGTTTTTATAAACTCGTAACTAATAAAGTTAACTTTTATATAACTATCTAGGTCTATATAGGTTTTAATTTTTCCTACTAGAATTAGAGTATAGAAGTATATCGTTATTCTAATCTAGGGGGTTAGAATAAAGAAATCTACTCTAACTCGCTCTTATTTCTTTATTATTTCGTTAAAGATCCTTTTACTTTTACTAGTTATACTTTTATTTTCTTTATTAAAGAGTTATTTAGATATTTATTTAAAAAGTGATCTTTACTTTAATAGGTATAATAAGTAAGTTTCTTCTCTATCTTTTTATTAATAGGATTTCTTTACTTTTTTAATTTTAAGTCTTTTAGATTTCTTTTTTTAGAGGAGTTTTTATTTTTATTATATTTTTCGAATTTTCTTTTTTTCTTCTTCGTATCTAGATCTCTCTATCCTAATTTAGTCGCTTTTTATTTAGGTTTTATTTTCTAGTTTTAAAGCTCCTAAAATTTTAATATAATAAAAACTATCTCTTCTTAAGTTTTTAGAAGAGTTAGATTATATTTATAGATATAGGCTTAGAGTTTATAATTAAGTTTTAAGAAGAAGATAAGAGCTCTTTATTCCTCGCTTTACTTTAGGAAATATTTTTCTAAAAAATTTAATTTATAGTAAAAATCTCTTAGATTTTAATTATTTTACTAGATTATTCGTTATATTTAGTTAGTAATAATAGCTTATATATTTATAGAATTTTTTATTAAGGATAAAGTCTATTCCTTAAAATAAACCTATAAATCTTATATAATTTAGTTTAGAATTAAGGGTATTTCGTCTAAGTAGTTATACTAAAGTTATTAATAGTTCCTATTTATATAAGATAGAGTACTAAAGATCTTTTACTTTTTAGTACTATATTTTTTACTCGCTCTTTTAAATTCTAAGTATAGCCTAAGTAACTAGTCTTCTCTTTTTTAGATTAAGAATTCTTCTATAAAGTTAGAGTTCTTAAAATAGATTTCTTAACTATATAGATTTAGGGAATTACTATAGATCCGGCTATAATATATAAGTATTTTAGCTACTCTTTTAAGCTATTTAATCCTTATTATAAGGGCTTAGAAGGTTTCTTTTTTAAGGATTACTTAAGAATTATCCCTATTTCGCTAAGGATTCGGGGTAGTTTCGGAGGGTTATCGGTTATCTCCGCTAGCGGTAGTAAGTACTTCCGAGAGTCTTAATAAAGATTAGATCTCTCCCTCCTCTATCTCGTAGATAGTAAGGTTTTCTTATAGAGGTATCTCCTTATTACCCTATTAGGATCGTAAACTCTATCTCGTTATTATTTCTTTAGGTAGTTAAAGAAGAAGATTTAGAATTATTAAGGTAACTATTTATTAAGGTAGTGCTTATTAACTAGGTAAATAATAATACGAGAGGGATACGTAGTTAGAACGAAGGGTATTCGATTCTATATTAGTTATAAGACTGAATCTTACCTTCCCTTTTCCTATAGGTGTCTTCCTTTTATGATTTAGGTTCCCCGCTTCTCGGGACCGGATCATATTGGTTCTATCCCGACATCGTGGGGTATTCGGAGGGGTCTCCTCCGTCTAAGAAAAAGGGAGCCTAAGGTAAAATAGTATAACAAAGAAATACCGTAACATAGCTCTTTAAGGAGGGGGAAAATATTACGACCCTCTACTAGGAGAGTGCCTTATAGGCTAGATCCCGCCTAGTCCTATAACCTAGAACCCGTGACCTAGTAGGGGTAGTATGACCCCCCGCTAGAGAGTGCACTAGGAAGACTAAGTCCTACCGGGTTAGATAACCTAGTCCCGTGACCCGCTAAAGGTCATCTATATAGAGACTGCTAGGGGAACTTAGCTCTTTAGCGATTAGTTTATAAATATACTAGCACTATACTATTCCTTCACTCTAGTTCTATATTACCTGCTAGGACCCGCTAGCACGCCGGTCCTAATACTCAGGCTCTTTATAGCCCCTAACGAAGTCGTCGATAGTATCTATAAGCGAGTTATAAACCTCCCGTTTAGCCGTATATTTACGATTAGCTTCGTCTATCTAAGTGCGGATAGCGGCTAAGGCTATAGTCGGTATACCTAGACCTAGGTTAAGAATAGGCGGCGGCGCGTAGGACTAATAGTCCTTTATTCTCTTTACAGTACGGAAGTTAGAGGGCGACTCCGGGTCCTAGGGGCGAGTAAAGTCGGTGTTATCGTATACGTCTATAGGGATACGGGTAGGAGTTAAGGCCTCTATTTCCTCGGCTTAGCGCGGGGTAGCGGCGAGCAGAGTCAGTGGTTCGGTAGGGGAGGTAGCGGTGATCGAAAACAGGGACTCTTGGGAGCCCTAGGGCGTGAGGCAAAAGATACCCCCGTTTTAGAGGGAGTTATAAAGGTGCACTGTTGAAAGGTGGAAGCTACCAGGTTGTACTTTAAAGCGATCTAGTGAGCTACCCCTCCATCTGGTCCAAGATCTCCCTCAGATAGCTGGTACAATTCCTTTCCCAATTCCCCATCGACACGATACTTTTCGCCCACAGTGGAAAACTCGTAAGGCTCAGTAGGGACAGTATGATGCTGCATAATAATGTCGTACATCTGCCAAACGTCCGGGTCGACACGAGCCTCTCGGACAATATTTCGTTTCCCATCCAAATAGAGTAGCCGAAGTTGCTTGGTTTGGAAGGCTTCCTCATCCGCGATGAGAAGATAGACCTCGGTAACGACCCTATGCAGACTACTGGCCCAATCCAGAATAATCTCATCCCGGCTTTCCCTTTCTTTCCAGTCATCTGGACAATTCTGCTTCACGGTAGAGATATGCTTCTTAAAGTTATTTCGAAACAACTCTAGATGATCGTGAGGTATATATCGTAGCTGTCTTGAGTTCGTTGGGCCAGCAACCTCGGGTAGAATCTCAAATATTTGCCTCCAGTCATCGCCGAAATTGAAGAGTTTCTCGTCGTTGAGGCATGCCCAGTCTAAGGCTTCTTCAAACGTCTCTTCATCTATCCATACTTTCAGTGTCTCCTCGTCTTCTAGGTTGGAGCTGTAGTGGGTTCGAAGAAGGATAGGTATTCCATCGCCGCTATGCATCCACTCGGCCTTTTTACGGAGGGCATCGGGTCTCCAAGGCTGAAGGATTATTTCAATTTCTTCGGCGGTTGGCTGTCGAGAGGGCGAGGTCGCATGTAAATCCATAAACCATTCATACGGGATCCCGTCTAAGTCAAGGAAGCCGTAAATAAGTCGAAGACGTTGCTCAGAGGGAGACTCTGGCGAGGCTGAATCCCAGTTTCTCTGTTTCAACGTGTTAGCGAGTTCCAAGGTTAAGGCTCTGAGACATACGATCAAATATTGTTCAACGGCTAGTCCGCCCCATGGAATGTGTTCCCTCCTCATGATGGAAAGAGTGAGAAGAAATAGGAAGAAACACAAGGGAAAAGTATCTCGGGTTTATTGAGGTAGTGGCGGTGGGGCTATAGTGAGGGGGCCAAATTGGCTTGGCTTGGCTTGGCTTGGAGAAAGAAAGAGAGAATATGAAACAAGCTATTTCACTAGTAACAAAGTAAAAAGGATATGCTTGAAAGCTCCATCTATAGCAATTATTTACCATGTATAAGGGAAAGGATCAAAGCCAATTTTATATACAAGCAAGCCGACTACGAGAATGTTCAATAACGGCTCACATATATTTGCTATAAAATATTTAACACCCCACAGTTATCTATAACGCCAAAATTCAATCGACAAATTCCACGCCTAGGTAGGTGAGCCACGGCGTTTGAAATATTGGGGTATATTGACTTACGTTCAACTTCCCAGCCATTCCAACTTTGGCTATCTCTCTTGGTATTGGTCGAGTCCGGGGTTTGGCCCTGTGTGTTGCCAAATGTGATCAAGCATTTGCCCAGATTGTGCATTTGTTGCCAGTCGGTCGCCATGCCTGAGCCGTCATTCCTAAGACAGAAGCCATTATACTTTTTCCCTTTTTCAGTCTCCAACTTGTACACATTGTCCTGACCGAAGTGATTCATTGCGCAAAAGATCGCCTCGCCTCCTGCATCTCCCTCGTAGCCTTCACTGTACCAGCGGCGGCTAACAAAGTTCCACCAGTCGTCAGGCTTGGAGCCATCAGTGATCCATGTAGCACGATAGTCTCTCTTGAACGTCCATGATTCCTTGTCATTGTTCTTGTTTTGCGTCATTTGTCAGAATTAGGTCATTGGGTAACGCATTTACCGCCAGTATCTAGACTTACCCGCACTGAAATGCCATCCGGAGGCGGTTGTTTCACTCCGTATTCCTTCAGTTTCTGCGCAAATTCGTTGTTGGTTCCAAATGTGGCGGTTCTAGTCCACTCTAGAGGGTTCGAAAGAGAGTCAGAAGGGTTGTCAAAAGGATCATTAGGGAACCGTAAAAACATACTGTCGTTTCTCCATGGCACCCAAAAGTCTTCCACATCGTCGTTCTTGGCGGTGTCGGCGTCTAGCATTTTCCAATTTGAGCTCATATCACCGATCATTGCTAGAATTTGTTAGCGGAGTGTCTATTCCAAAAAGAAGAAAGAATTCATCGAGTTGTCATTCAACAGGTACTTACCAAGGCATTGCCCATGCCAGTTATTCTGCCAGTATAGCACGCACGCTGCTCGACGGCTGTTGGAATCGAGATAATGCCCTCCTTGTTTAGAAGACTTCCAGGGAAACTCGTCACACTAAAGTTTCAGAGCGCTGCCCGTGCCCATAAGGGCGTTCAAGTTGTCTGTTTCGTCTGCACATGCGCCCTTCTTTCTTTTTTTGCCACTTGAGTCGGTTGTAGATCCGCATTGGGCTTCGTATCTTGCTTTAGTTGCTGTTTTATCATTGGAATAGGTCAAGTCCGTCGGCAGATTAGGGATTTTCAGGATAGTGTCACAAAAGCCAGCTACCTCTGCGGTCTTGCCCTGGTTACTAGCCCGAGCTCCGGTAAGCTTCAGTCTGGAGAGATGCGTACAGTTGACTATTTCTTAGATTAACAGGAGTTTCAAATAGAATATCGTAGCAACATCAACTTACATCGTATCTCCGGCACTTAGAACCCGGAAGTTCCAGGCGGGTAAGAGCCTGGCAGGGAAAACTCTAAATCATTGGGATTATCTATGAGAGTTGTCAGCCTTCGAGCTTCTAGTCAGATCTATAGCATTCAGTTTCATACCCGCGCTCCCATCTTCGCGACGAGTAAGCCCTATAGCTACATCAAGGTAGGGCATCGTAGCATTTATAGATAGTGCTTCAGATCCCTATCGCCGATGGATGGCGCTATCGAGTGATAGGTCTCTTATCTCTATATCTGACGAAGACATCGGGATTGTGCCCTTCTTCTCGTATAAAGTCACTGTGTTATCTGGCGTAAATGCTTTGCGAGGGGCCAAAGCCTAGTCAATGAAACCTAGGATGTTAGCCTTAGCCTTATAACCGAGGTTATAGAGGAGGTAGGCACCAAATCGGTAATGGAAGGCATTGTCCGAGGAATCATAGTCACCATGGGCCTGGAATGATAGGTCGCCTATCACGTACCCTATCAATTAGGCGTCCATGAGAGTCTTGCCGCCGACCAGCTTGCCGCCACCAATTTTGATACCGACATTAGCTTCAGGTGTGACAATTACATATAGCTGTGCATCGACGGCGACTCCTACATAGAAAACCGGCTTAATGCTTCCAGGAGCTAGTGCCTTGGCGTCACTCGTAATTCCGAGTAAGGATCCATATTTCGCCTGAGCCTTATCATTCTGAGGCTAGTAGACCTCGGCCTTTCCGAATGTAACCATTGCTCCTGCATCAAGCTCCCCGTGTAGGGTGATTTTACCCCGAATCTATACGCAAGATTAGATACTTCGAGTAATTGGTATATAGTGGGGTATTACCTCGCCGTAAATGTCCAAAGTAGGACCAACCGCTGTAATCCCCTTGACAGCCAGACCTAGATAGGAGAGAGTATCGACAATCTTCTTCCGCACACTGGGGGTCTGTATCTGGGCATTTCCTTCAATATGGAGACCTATATAGGCTTGTGGCTCCATGCCGAAGTAGGCAAATGTTTCTGGTTTACTCGGCGGAATGAACGTTGCTGAGAGATAGTATACGTACGTTGCATCCATCGCCAGATCAGCCTCCAGATCCATACGGAGATCAGCGTAATAGGTCTTGCCGGGACACCCCCACTGCGCATAGAAAAGGTTGATGGTTTTGCTGAATCCCAATTCTATAACGCCCACGCTAGACTTTGTCACCGTTGTCTAAATTCGTGGTTAGTATGTGCAAAGATACAATTAGCAGAGTCAGGGCACAACATACCAACTTGCTCAACCAATCTCCAAAGACGCCAAACCAGCGCTTGTTATGTGCCGGCGTCTGGTCAGAGGTATCCATTGCCCAATGTCGACGCCAACAAGCACTGGAGTCACAACTCCGACTCCAACCCTTAGTGGCATGACTCAAGGATGCAGCAAATTTCACAAGGTAGTGAAAGATGAAGGCTGTCAATCCATCGCAGATGACGCTGGTATTTCTGAGACAGACTTTTTGTCCTGGAATAACATCGACGATGACTGCACGAATCTCAAATATGACTACTACGTCTGTATTGGAAAACCTGCCTCGACCTCTGAGACAGCCACCAGTACTGGAATCACCACCCCTAAGCCAACACAAACCGGCATGGCCGAGGGGTGTGACAGATTCCACAAGGTCCTCAAAGATGAAGGCTGTCAATCTATCGCCGACGATAGCAAAATTTCCCTGGATGATTTCCTGAGCTGGAATCCGGATGTTGGAGACACCTGCACAAATCTTAAATATGACTTCTACGTCTGTGTTGGCAAACCTACCTCAACGTCTGGATCCGCCACCAGCACTGGGATCACCACCCCTAAGCCAACACAAACCGGCATGGCCGATGGGTGTGACAGATTCCACAAGGTCGTCAAAGATGAAGGCTGTCAATCTATCGCCGATGATAGCCAAATTTCCCTGGAAGATTTCCTGAGCTGGAATCCGGATGTTGGAGGCACCTGCACAAATCTCCTGTATGACTTCTATATTTGTGTGCACAGGAATCCATCCCTTGCTACTTCGACAAACGTAGGTCCAACCCTCACAACCACCACCGGGGGTACCACTCCAACTCCGACGCAGACTGGCATGGTTGCGGGTTGTACTGCCTTCCATAAAGTGGAGCAAGGTGAGTGGTGTCAGCTGATTGCGGACGACAGTAAAATCTCTCTGAAGGATTTGCTGGCGTGGAACCCGGATGTTGGCAGTGACTGCACGAATCTCAAGTATGACTTCTATGTCTGCGTGGGCCAGTAGCCACTTTTGATTTCTTGTTTATTTTCTTGGCTCTAATGTATCGGCTGTTGGTCTGTGGCTCATGCTGTCTGTGTCGGCCTCATTTGATTATTTACTCGAATTGATTTTGATGGTCACATAGACATAGTCATGTCGGAATTTACGCTATATTCGCTTCGAATCCTACTCTTATATTATAGACCTTTTAAATATCTGTTTGACGATACGCCTTAATCAGAGTAGTTGACTGAAGTGCCAGCAGTTGTTCGTTATATGTATATGCAATCCAATTCCTATATGGGCCTGCAGAAATTGCTTTGAAGGAAATGCTCATTTTGCGAATTGATTCCCTGTCACTCTGGAATGGAACCCATCGGAAAGCCTAAGCCAAGATGCTAGAAAGTTGCTAGACATTTGTCAGGCTCTGAAAAACAGCAGATCCAGGCAATCGTCACTTGATGATGCGAAACTTTCCTTTGAGAACGACTTGTGCGCCTCCGTGGGGAATGCTTTATATAAACTCGGTTATGGTACTGTTTTAATGCTAGCGCTGATAACCTGGTATTTTAATGCTTCGTCTTCTGAAGCATCGTAGGGCTTGATTACTTTCTTAAGACAACCTCACGATAATGAAGTGAGGAGAATACTTGAAGGTCGCTATCAAAGCATTATGTGTGAAATAGCCCCTTCAAACTTTGACTTTTTGCTTTTCCTAAATTGAGTCCCATTTAGTGATCAATACAAGCGCAAAATATGACATTAATTATATCTGCTTTGCTTAACAGTACCCGAGCTTTTTGAGGCGGTTACAAATATCTTCGAGATGTTCCTCATACCACTGCTTTAAAACGTTGTATATGTCAAATCCAAGAACCTTTGTAAGATTGCACCTTTTTGCATATCCCTGCAGGTACTTTGAATGCAGGTGCTGGTAACAAAGAGCTTTCTTTGAGTCGAGATCTTCTGCCGGTTGTTGCAAGACCATCGGATCATCGCTGCTCAATGGAACGAATCCTATAATCCCATATTTCCCGCAACCCCGTGAAATACCAGCCTCGAGCACCGCAAGGTCCACTTGGAATACACCCTTCGTATTGCCATGGTCGTCCTTGGCTTGGCGCTGAGCGCCAAGCTCTTGAAGAGGAACGGCATCACTAGTAAAATCCGTTGTGCGTGGATCAACACCCGAGCAGATCAGGTTGATTATGTAATGGCACGTGCTCAAGTCCGAATACTCCGGGGCGTGCTCAGTTTTACTCAGTGATCGAAAAGTGGCAAGAGGTGAGCACTAAAACGGAAAGGGAAAGGTTTTGAGTGCCAGTCATTATCCGGTACATATGTATCTGAACTTCCGATCTTGGAAGTTGGCTATTCCCCTAAGCTACGTGGAACATCTTCCATCAATCAAGTTGCGTGTCGTCTGATCATTAATAATGAATCGTGCCACATGCCCACGAAGGGGAGCATTGGACATCAGACACGACTACTCTATTCGAGTGTAATATTGATAACTCCGAGAAGCTAAAGCAAAATCCGAATTTCCCTCACCCATTAGCCCATTACCTCCTCTTAAAGACATTGAAACGAAATCAGAACAATCCCTCTACCGCTCGACATGAACGGCCTGGTGCTTCTCATCAATAGCGGTAGCCTCGATGACAGCCTCCTCATCCTTTCCATTCGAGCTCGCGAGACCAACGTCGCTCTCGCCGACTGCATCGACCGTGTGGGTGTAGGCAGGAACAAAGTTCACAGCAACGGCATAGGTCCAGGCAATGACCATGAACTAGATTAGGATGAGCGACTGAAAATCACAAAAAGAAGAACCCGAGTAGGACATACCATAGTGGGAATGATGAACGCAAATCCGGTGTTATTCCGCATATCGGCAACATGGCCCAGAATGGGAGGCACGACGGCACCTCCACTAACACCAGCGACGATGAATCCAGATCCACGCTTGTAGTGGCGTCCGAGGCCACGGATACCCAGGGCCATGATTGTCGGAAAACACACGGATTCGAAGAAGAGAGTCATGAAGAGCATGGCGACACCAGCTTCTTTCTTCTGTGTGGTTGATGCAGCGAGGAATATCACTGTGCCCGTCAAGTAGACCAGGAAGACCCAACGCGCCTTGACGAACTTCATGATACCGGCGCCGAGGAATCGTCCGACTGCAAATGCACCCTGCGCTCCGGCGAGGTACTTCGCAGATGTGGCGCTTGGTGTACCGGGCCAAGTGTCTGCGACGTAGTTGATGAAGTAGCCCGCGATAGCGACTGCCAGGGATTTAGTCTTCTGCGAACAAAGTAGGGAATGGATGAAGAGAGCATACCCTGTGCACCCGTATAGGTGAACTGTGCCAACGTCGCATGGAACAACTTGTACTGTTTCCAGAACGATTTATCCTGTTCATCGACATGAGTCTGCGCCACCTGGAAGGCCATATCCTCATCTGTGACCTCGGGGATACTGGAAATGAAGAAGACTGCCGCGAGACAGAAGACAAAGATACCGATGGCGAGATACACCCACTGCACACGCTGCAGGGCAGTGACATCGTCCTCGGTCTCGGTGAAGAAGACATAAGAGCCCAGGACGGGGCCGACGACTGTGCCGATGGCGTTGAAGGCCTGGGCGAAGTTGATACGGATCTCAGAGTAGCGGGGAGGACCGCAGACTAGACAGATATAAATGTTAATATCGATCTGGGAGGTTCTAATGTATTTTCGATTGCCTTACCGGTGAGGTAGGGATTAGCGGCGGTCTCGAGAGATCCGAGTCCCGATCCAATAACGAAGGTTGCACCGCAGAAGCCACCGAAGGACTGGTTTAGTCCGGCAGGCCACATGCACAAGGCTCCGACGCCGTACAGGCACAGACCGAAGATGAAGACGGTTTTGTAGCCATAGTGACGGAGGATCCAGTTTGCGTACCCGAGGGAGGCTAGAGGATATGCGCTGGGGGTTGTTAGATGGGGGATTTTCTTTTGGGAAAAAATCAAAGATCAAAGATCAAAGAACAAAGAACAAAGAACACATGGTAAACCATCCATGGGGAGATTCATACCCGAAATACGCAGCCTGAAGACCAGCCGAACGAGTTCGGGTGATATGGAGCGTCTTCTGGAAATGGCTGTTAAGGGTGTCCAGCAAACCATATGCAAAACCCTAAAGTGAGATCTTAGTATTCCAAACCGACCATTCTTCTTGTACATCGTAGCACACACCCATAGGAAGAACAAGGTCGTGACAAGTGTCAACGGCCACAGACTCTGTCGTAGAGTGAGAGTCGCGGCGGAAGTAGTTGCACGGTTGTCGATTCGCAGGCTCGAACGATTCTTAATGAATTGCTTAACACCCATGATGCCTGGCTATCGAGCAAACGAACAAGAGAAGGAATAAGAAAGAAAACCCCTGATATTTGAAAGGCCAGGGACATGGAGACCTCCGCAACTCCACACTTTTGGGCCCCAGTCCGGGGAAAGCCCACCGCCGATCCCTGGGGAACAGAAGCCAGAGCAGCCACGGCCAATCAGCAACGAGGAACACGGAGTTGTCCCGAGGGTCGGAGGTAACCTTGTTTAGGAGCCCACTTGGCGTGGTGTGACCTGAGCCCCCCCCGCTTCAGAAAACACGGCTGGGTGGCGTCAACGTTGCATGGATGGCCTGCACGGGATGCCATTCCGGTGCTCCTTCGGGGTATTGTGCCCCGTGGAATGCTACTTGGTTGCTTTCGCTTAACGGGAAAGCAGAGACTATACTTGATTCTCACGACGAGACGACGTGTCATTGGCTCTTGGTTCCATTTGGGGTTCTCAAAGAGCTGCAGACCGAAAAGCGGAAGAGGTGTGTCCCTAGGTTCCCATTACAGTGGCATCACATCATCCAGCAGCTTCATTGGGAAGGGAATGACGGCCCTGGGAGCGAGACATGGGAATCACAGGTTGAGGTATCAACGAGACGGCATGGGTAATGGGTAATATCATGCCATCCCGATCATCAGGTACAACTTTCTTCTCTACGAGCGTGGGGCGCGGACATCGCATCCTACTATAAACGATGGGAGCCAACAAGAGCATGTCAAAGCTTTCATTCAGGGGTCTTGATCTATGGGGCATCCATGGATGATAGCATGTCATCACTCATCCGCCCTGCACATTCAGGGTGTGGTTAGTATCCAGCCAATCAGGTACAATCTATATCTATTTAGGGCCGTTAGCACCTACCCACACAAGAAGCCCCTGGTGAGAAAGGGTCATATTTAGGCGTCCGCCGATATACCCTTCCTTTAAGCCCGCTTAGGCTTACCAGCAGCCCCATTCTGGGCTGGGTTGACGGCTTTGGTGTTGTAAAGACGGCGCTCGGCAAACTTAAGAACCTCATCGATTGCGCTACGAGGGTTAGCAAAATTTCATCCAAGACTTGGCAAAAGTTGTCACTTACATCACAGGCGCACTGATAACCAACACGGCCTGCCACTCATTCCAGTTCAGAGGCAGAATCGCGAACAGGCTCTGGAGGAAGGGAATGTAGAGGATGGCGAAGTGAAGGAGCATGGACAGCGTGATGGCGTAGATCAGCATAGGGTTGTTGCCCAGGAAGAAAGTGAAGAGAGACTCGCTGGAGGACAGCGCGTTCATGGCGTTCAACATCTCAATCACCACAAGGATGGAGAGAGACACGGTGGAGGCAGACTTGCCCATGTCGTTGCTGAACATCTCGCAGCCAATCTCGGGGAACTGAGCACCACACTTGTGGTAGTTGGACTGATACGACCATGTTAGCAACACACAATGGATACCGAAAAACATTAGGAACATACCAATTGCGAGAAAGAGATGCCGGGACCTTCGGGGTTGTAAACAAACCACCAAACGTAACCAAAGACGGTGGCAGCGCCAACATAGATACCGATGACCATGTAGCGGAACAACAACCAGCCGCCGACAAGAGCCTCGTCGCGACGGCGAGGAGGACGCTTCATAACATCGCTGTCGGGGGGTTGAAGGACAGAGCAGTGGCGGGCAGACCGTCAGTGACAAGGTTGACCCACAACAGTTGAACGGGAACCAGAGCCTCGGGCATGCCAAGGGCTGCAGTCAGGAAGATAGAGACAACTTCTCCAATGTTGGAAGAAATCAGGTAGCGGATGAACTGTTGAGTGTTGCTGTAAATAGAACGGCCCTCCTCAACGGCGACGGTGATGGTAGCGAAGTTGTCATCAGCCAGAACCATATCGGCAGCCATCTTGGCAACGTCGGTTCCAGTACCCATGGCCACACCAATATCAGACTTCTTGAGAGCGGGAGCGTCGTTGACACCGTCACCAGTCATAGCGACGACATGGTTCAGAGATTGGAGGAGATCGACCAACTTAGACTTGTGGCTAGGCTCAGTGCGCGAGAAGAGGGAGGCAGTCTGGACGGCCTTCAGCTGTTCACTTTTACTGAGAGCGTCGAATTCACGGCCAGTGAAGCTCTTGCCAGTGAGATCCTCATCGGCACCGAACACACCAATGGAGCGACAGATTGACTCAGCGGTATTGCGGTTATCACCAGTAATGACAATGACACGAATTCCGGCGGCGTTACACTTCTGGATAGAGTCGGCAACCTCAGGACGAGGGGGATCCAACATTCCAACGAGACCAATGAGAGTCATATTCTGTTCGAGCTTGGCGTAGTCCTCGGTGGTGGTTGCGGTGTCCAGGAGAGGGTTACCAGAGATATCATCAATACTTGCGATGGCCATGACACGGAGACCGCGGTTACCATACTCGACAACTTCCTGGGATAGCAGGTTCAAGTGGTTCATGGTCATAGGAACGCGAGATCCATTAGCGCCCTGAATAACGTACGAGCAGCGGTCCAAGATGCTTTCAGGAGCGCCCTTAACCAGGAGCTTCTGTTCCTTGCCCTCGCCGACGAGGACTGACATGCTCTTACGGTCACGGGAGAACTCATAAGTGGCCTTGAGGGGAAGACGTGACTCGTAATGAGCACTGGCGGCATGTAATCTTTCGGGTGCAGGGAGACGGTAAAGCTTCTCGTTCAGGGAAGCATCGGTGGATCCAATCTTCTCAACCAAAACGCGCAAAGCCCCCTCGGTGGGCTCACCGATGCTGGAGAAAACTCCGCTCTTGGGATCGTGGGAAATAGTAGCAGTGTTGCAGAGAGCAGTGACTTCAGCCAATTGTGCGACAGTCGAGGAAGAAACAGCCAAATTCTGGACAACCTTGCCATTATGGGTGAGCTTACCCTCGGGGGTGAAAGTAGTGCCTTCAACATCGATTTCCTCTAGGCCATTTCCAGAGGAGGTCAGGTAAACAATCTTCTCAACACTCATCTGGTTGGTAGTCAAGGTTCCGGTCTTGTCAGAGCAAATAACACTGCAGCTGCCCAGGGTTTCGACAGAGGGGAGAGACCGGACGACTGCGTTCTTCTGAGCCATCTTGCGAGTGCCTAGAGCCAAGCAAGTAGTGATGACAACTGCGAGGCCCTCTGGAATAGCTGCCACACCAAGGGAGACAGCAATCTTCAGGTAGTAGATAGCACCCTTGGTCCAGCCACCGAACGCGGGGTCGTTGAAGTTTTCGTAGTTGATAACCCAAACCAAGACACAGATGACGGTAATGACCTTGGCGAGCATGTCACCGAAGTCGTTCAGCTTCTTCTTCAGAGGGGTCGGCTCGGAGATTTGGGAAGTAATGCTTTCCTGAATATCTCCAATGGCAGTCGAGCCACCGGTCAATACGACAAGCGCAGTAGCGTGACCGTTGACAACGGTAGTTCCAGAGAAAAGCATGTTGATCTGATCCTGCTTGACTGCCTGGTCATCCTTGATGGCCCGAGTCTCCTTTGCGACACTTTCACTCTCGCCAGTCAAGATAGCCTGGTCGACACGGAAGCTGTTACTCTGAATGGAAAGTAGTCGGCAGTCTGCGGGGACACGGTCACCGACAGCGATGTGAATCACGTCGCCGGGAACCAAATCTTCGGCCTTGACCTTGCGCGTCATTCCATCACGGACGACCTTGGCCTCGTTGGCCGAGTATTCCTGTAAAGCTGCGATGGCCTTTTCCGCGCTACTTTCTTGGGTCACTCCGACCACGGCATTGAGGATGAGGATAGTGAGAATCTGTTCGCGAAGCACACACCGGTCAGTAAGACCGAACACCCAAGTATTTAGGTAAACCATGGATTGTCTAAACACATACAACAGCGGGGTCCACAAATGCAGTCCAATCGTCACTTTCTTCAAAGAGCGCAAGCACGAAGGACACGGCGGCCGAGCCAAGGAGGATAAGAACCAATTGGTCCTTGAATTGTTCCAGGATGAGTTCCCACATAGGAGTTGGCGGTTCTTCGGCAAGAGCTAGCAGAGAGCAGATGTCAGTTCTACCACTGTCATCATTCTGTGGCGACGTGTATACTAACCGTTGGGTCCATACTGCTGTCTGGATTTCAGTACCGCGTTCTGCGACAGACCGGTCTGCTCGGACACCTTGAAGTGCTCCAGCGATTCCGCTGGAGTACGGAGAAAGGCGTTCTCCATGATTGTAAAACTCCTTCAACGGCAATAGACACGATCAATTGCAATAGCTGCGAAAGTGGGTTTGGTGTTTTTTTTAAAAAAAAAAAGTTGGGGTAAACAAGGAAAAGAAAAGAAATGAGTGTTCTAAATGAGATACATGCCCGGTGTAAACCCAAAATCGGAAAGAGAATGAAATCGAAGGAGGGAGATGGATCTAATAAAGAGAAGCTTGGAAATAGCCTGAAGATCGAAGACCGAATGGGGAACCTCCAGTGGCCAGTGGGGGAGACTCCAGACAACGTGTTCTCATTGCCCATTTGAGGAGGCTGAGTCATCAGGACCCGTGAACCGCACCTGGCAGGGCTGAGGCGGGTCTTCCATTTGCTCCGCTTTACTCTGTTGTTCTTTGCTTCATCCATCTGTCTAGTCAATTGATATTCTTAGTCTGTTTACATTTTCTGTTGTGTTCCTTTTGAAGGACTTCCGAGCCGGAAGAGACTTCTCGTAGGGCTGCTCTGATGTCACAAACGACAATCCCCAAGCTTGATCTCCGATATTGGAGATGACTATGGGGCGTTTCTAGGCTGCATGATTTTGTGCTTATCGGTTGGTACTTGTGGGCAGCCTCTTCTCTTGGCAACTTTGCCCTCACCAGACACCGCATCTTGAAGGGGTCCCCAGCCTTCTCAATTGATCTATGTTGGGGTTGACTCGTCTCAATTGGAAGTGAATCTTTTTGGCTGCAGTTTGCACCATGGCTAGAGTTCTCCACACATATCCCCAACCTATGGGCACTGTGTGCTGTTCTCTGAGACATCCTCGTCGGATAGAGATCATTGATTTATGAACCTGCTTGGTCCACCTGTGCCTGATACGGAGGACTCCGGTGCTCCGTCGTAGAAATCAGTTTGCTCTCAAGGCAAGAGATCACCCAGGCTAAAGCACAGTCTCGACTAGATGCATAAGGTGTGGCATTCTTGTAAGCACACTAAAATATCCTTGGACATAGGGCTGACACTAGAGAAAAATAGGCCATTGCTGCATCACCAATACTCCGTTGACGAGGCACAATTGGTCGAGGCTTTCGTTCCTGGCACTAGACCACGAATTTTAAACTCCAGACTCGTAGCGGTGTTTGACCGCTCAATGTTGCTATCGCGTAGGCTTCTGCGTCCTTTGGTCATCATAAGTACTCGTCTAGAATCTAGTCAGGTGCATATTAAAATCACAGGTTTGTTGATAAGATTTAACATGGACCAAGTTAAGAATAATATGTTGCTGAGATATAGTTAGATAGTTAACTACATGTAGTTAGTTATACATATGTACATACATGTATCTACCTGTGGGCAGGGAAATCCTAATTATCAACGACAGCCATCTTCTCGACATTGGGGTTTCTTTTATTTTAGTTACCGTCTTTTGCCATTCTGAACACCTGTTTATATTCATTGCTGATCTTTGTCATATGTGACATATTGGTAGGTGCAGATGATAGAGTCGGAATAAAGATATATATAGTGGTGACAACGATCTGCTTTGACCGCTAGTAATATATCCTTGCGCATTGCACACTACACACTTAATCGATGCATGAGTGGCAACGAGACATACCTGTCATCTCCAAATATGTCGTACGAATCCTTCAATCTTCTAACGTTCTAACGTTGTTACATGCTGCTAGGGTCAAGTATGCTTAGGGGGCAAAGTAGAATTCATCTCCAAAGAAGGGCTATCTTGTCGAGTGATGACTATGCCGATAAGCATTCCACTCTTGTTCTATTAATACGAAGTGCGCTATAAAAGTGCATCAGGCCCTTGTATCTACTCCATGGGTAAAATCCATTTTGATACTCGTGACACCTTTGGTGTACGGCTGATCAACGACATCATACCCGGTCGTTGTCTGGAAGGTTCCAAATTTGCATCATCCCTACTCCATTGATTCATGCTGTATGGAGTACTCCCCTGTGTTTTTTTTTTAATATTAGAAAGTCAGTAGGAGATAGTCAATATCACTATTTACATTATGGATGCAGCTTTGGAAAAACTAAAGGGTTTGTTACTGGTCTATTATTAGGGGGTGACAGTTCCGGTCGGAGTGTCTAGGGCGCGGAACATCTGGTTGAGCCTTGATTTCTCGCAGGTACATACAATATGGTACACAGTAGCAACTGTGAACTACTACATCTACCTGTACCTAAGGTAATAGGTACCTAAGAGATCCATATCTTGGACTTAAAAACTGTACGGAATACATCCAAGATGGTTCACGGGATCATGTCTCTTTTCCAGGAGAGTGGTAATGAATACGGTCAGGTATACCCCACCCCGCTAAATTAATTACTCGATAGGGGGATCGACGGTAAAGTGAATACTGGGCCGCGGCCCAAGTATTGGAGTACTTCCACCAAGCGGTGCCACAATAGGGGCTGCGAGGTACCCGGTACAAGACAGGAGCGTATTGTTGTTTATGATTCAAATCCCCCAACTCACCTCACTCCATCTCTCTCTTTCCCCCCCCCCCACTTGGTCGTCTCTACCCATCTTCCTCTTCTACATCTCGCGCTTCCTATTCCTTATTTTAAGTCCCAAGTTTTAATTCCCCATCTCGATTCAATCTCATCATGGGTTCTGAGGTACGTTGCTGTCCACCCCCTCCATCAAGCGCTCTTGGAATCGTCACCGCCATCGCAATCCCACATTCCCATCCTCACCTGAGCTTACCCCCATCTGGAATTCCTGTCGATTAGAACTGGGCTAACAAGTGTCTCGAATATGCAGCGTGAGAAGTATGGCTATCGTTGCCCCCCTGTTCCTGTAATCATTATCCAACATAACTGACCCCCTCATCAGCAAGACGTTCCTTGCGCGGCTCTGCGAGCAGGCCGAGCGCTACGATGGTGAGTTGACTGATGCTGGTTCGGTTCAATTCGATATGGCTACTAACGTATCACTCTTTGATTTTCAGAAATGGTCACCTACATGAAGGTTAGTCGCAACCCCTCGTGTTGTTTACTGTGGCATTTATGCTAATCGCCGAACAGGAAGTCGCCAACGTATGACACCATCATCTTCCCATCGCCTCCGGGTCTGCTTTGGAAGTATCTGCGATTGACACATATCTAGATCGGTGGCGAGCTCACTGTCGATGAGCGTAACCTGCTTTCCGTCGCTTACAAGAACGTGGTCGGTACCCGTCGTGCCTCCTGGCGCATCATTTCTTCCATCGAACAGAAGGAGGAGAATAAGGGCTCTGAGGAGCACGTCAGCATCATCCGTGAATACCGCCAAAAGATTGAAACCGAGCTGGAGCAGGTGTGCCAGGATGTGCTTGATGTTCTCGACCAGGCTCTCATTCCCAAGGCCGAGACTGGAGAGTCCAAGGTCTTCTACTACAAGATGTGGGTCAATCTCCAACCAATCTAGGTTTAAAAATCTTCCCTTTGTGATTTATGCTGACTTATAAACAGGAAGGGTGATTACCACCGCTACCTCGCCGAGTTCGCTTCCGGCCCTAAGCGCAAGAGTGCTGCCACCGCTGCCCACGAGGCCTACAAGGTAAGCAATACTCCCAAATTGGCTTGCCACTCTTCGACTTCTCTATGCTTTGCAATGAACAGCCGTTAATCATGTCATAGAACGCTACCGACGTTGCCCAGACCGAACTCACTCCCACTCACCCCATCCGCCTGGGTCTTGCCCTGAACTTCTCCGTCTTCTACTACGAGATCCTCAACTCTCCCGATCGTGCCTGCCACTTGGCCAAGCAGGCCTTCGATGACGCCATTGCAGAGCTCGACTCGCTTTCTGAGGAAAGCTACCGCGATAGCACATTGATCATGCAGTTGCTGCGTGACAACCTGACCCTCTGGACCTCATCTGAGGGCAATGAGGGTGAGGGTGCTGCCAAGGAGGAGAAGTCTGAGGAGGAGGCTGCTGCTCCTGCCGCTGCTGCCACCGAGGCTGCCGCTGAGGAGAAGCCCGAGGAGGCTAAGCCCGCTGAGACTGAATCCTAAAGGAGCAATATTAGGGGCTCACGAGCCGTATGCCGTTTGGTAGGGTGTGGGGGTTCGCATTTATTCCTGGACGTGGTCATGCAAGTCGCTTCTTTGTTTTCACCGCAGCGCTGGGTTGGACCGGCAGATATCTTGCACGTCTTCGGGACCGTGTGGGTCGGCCGGCGGAGTTTGATATTCGGTTGACGCGAGCGGAAAAGGGGCTGAGTGGAAATTTCTCTCTCTTTTATTACCTCTATTCCCACTCCAGCACGTTTCAATGTGTTTATTTTCCATTCCACTCGGAGCTTCTTTACTTGATATGCACCCTGTATTGGGTTGCTTGCGTAGCCAATGATTCCCCCTTAACCGTATTCATTCTTGAAGTATGACCCGATTCCAACAAAAGTCATTCTTTCTCTTCTACGCCGTAGAAGTTCTATAAATCTTCGTATTTGGCCGAAAACCCCTGCGAGAGATCTGCAGATGTGCATGTGTATCCAACAAAAACTTGCTTACATATAACTCTGATCAGCGATAGTCCAAGATCCCCTCGAAGATCTTTTGCTTACCCACATCTAGCAGTATATAACCACAATACTATCAACTCTCTAAGATTCGAAGATCGTAATCGGAGAAAAATGCCACGATATCCATGTCCAACGCAAGGGATCACCACGTGGAACCCTTCCAAATGTTCTATAGAACCGCCACGCAGAAAGTCATCTGGCGGGATATGCAGAACTGGCATTACCAGGGCATCCGTCTTTGAACCCCGAACAAAACAAAAAGCTAGGAGACCATGAGGATCAAACATGTAGGTAGTTCCTCGCCCAGTATCTCCCATATCTCTGGGGAGAAGTAGCCTAACTCGAATGATACCAGTAAATAAAACCAAACCCCTAGAGATGTGTTGGATATACTGAGCAGCAAGCTGGGAAATTTGGGGTGCTTAGTTCGAGTCGTGCTGTTAGGGCTAGCAGTAGAAACATCTGTTGCTTGATGTTCAAATGAAATTATGGCTAAAAGCTAGGGGTTGATTACAGTTCCATATCATATGTGTGTGAAGTCATATAATAATCGAAATGGATTGAATCTTTCTATGGGTTCAAGAGTCCGAGATGGAAGGGGATGTACATGGCGAGATTTATGAAAAGGAGAAAAATAGAGGGGATAACATCATGTACCCATCATAAAACCTGCAGAAAGGGGAGGGAGAAGAAAGGTGTAAGCCTTCGTTTGGAATGCATATTTTCAAGGATCAAATCCGGGAAGCAGCGAAACAAATTTCGAATGGAGACGAGTCGTGAGGTCCGTGTTCGCGTTCACATAAAGTCATCATCCGCGAGACCATCATCGCCATCGTAGTTGGTGTTATCGACGTGGCTGTCACGGCTGGCATTCAATGAAATCTTGGTCTTAGCGGCCTTGGTCTTCTTGTTGCCCTTGTCGGCAGCACGCTCCTCGCGCATCTTCTCGTTGGAAGCGGTGGTGAGAGCACTAGCGATCTTCTTGATCTCAGCGCTGGGCAACTCCTTCACAAGCTTGCGGGTGAAGTCCTGAGCCCAGAGGGAGTACTGGGCCTTCTTGGAGTGCGGGGTGAGAAGGGGCAGGAGAGTCTCGGTCAGGCGGGTGAACTGGTCCTTGGTGACGGGCTTGAAGAGCGGCATGGCGGACAGATCGACGGCCTTAGTGGGGTCGTTTGAGTCGCTGACAACGACGGCCTTGGGGGCGCCCTTGTTGCGCTTAACGTCGACGGAGCCGAACAGGTCCTCGGCGTGGGCGAGATCGGCCTCTTGCTCGGTCTTGCGCAGACGAGCGCGGCGTTCGGTCTCATCCTCGCTGTCGGAATCACCGCTTTCCTCGTTGAGTCGGCGCTGCTCCCGGCGTTCCTCTATCCGCTGGGCCTTGGTCTTCTTGTTGGCGGCGGCGGCGGCCTTAGCTTTGGCTTCGGCTTCGGCAGCCTTCTTGGCCTTCTCGCGCTCTACCTCAGAGTCTTCGGCGGCATCCCAGGAGTCAAGGACCTATCGTTTGGGATTTGTTAGTCTGCTGGGTTTTCTCTTCGCGAGATGTGTTGGCCCTGGGGAATAGGCTGAGATCGGATTGCCTTACATCCTCTTCTTCTTCATCGTCGAAGCGGCGGCGAGGGGCAACAACAGGAGGAGGAGGGACATCCTCCTCTTCATCATCTGTTTGGAATCAAAGTATTAACCAACTGCAACAGAAACCTGACGAGCTAAATGATTGTGGCGAGCACTATAAGAGGATTGATAAAGGACAATTACATACCCCACTTAGAAGGCGGCATTTTGGGCAATATAGAACCTTGTTGGTACGAGATAAAAAGAAATGAAAGAACGTAATGCGCTATACGCAAGACACAAAAAGAACAAGCCAACGATAGGACCCAGCAAAGGATGGAGGGGCGAGGGCAAATTTTATGTGGGACACACTTATCGTCCCCAGGTGGGATGCGCACGTGATCTCGGGCATTGGATGCCCGATGAGCATGACCCTTTCTTTGATACATCTTTTACGTTGGATTTACTTTTGAGTGATTATTTGCTATTTCTCAAGTAGTGGGAATTTGTTTTCATTGAAAAAGATCCTATTAAATTCATAATCATCATGGACGATGGCTCCATGGATCATCAAACCATCGCTTTTGCCGAACTTTTCATGAGGTTCGATCTATGCTGCCAACAGGCTGCATTTACAGGTTCACAGCGGTGCGGAACTTCTCGCCAGCGTAGACAGCCTTGTCACCAAGCTCCTCCTCAATGCGGAGAATCTGGTTGAGCTTGGCGAGACGCTCGGAACGGGCAGGGGCACCGGTCTTAATCTGGCCGGCGCGCAGGCCGACAGCGATGTCAGCAATGGTGACATCCTCGGTCTCACCGGAGCGGTGGGAAACCATGACACCCCAGCCATCGGCGTAGGAGTCCTTGGCGGCCTGGATGGACTCGGTCAAGGTACCGATCTGGTTAACCTTGAGCAGAAGAGCGTTGCAGGACTTGAGCTCGATGGCCTTCTTGATGCGGAGAGGGTTGGTGACGGTCAAATCATCACCAACGATCTGGAAGTCAGAGGTCTTGTAGAAGTAGCTCCAGGCCTCCCAGTCGTCCTCAGCGAAGGGATCCTCGATGGAGACAATGGGGTACTTGGCAGCAAGGGACTTGTAGAGGTCGGCAAGCTGCTCGTAGGTGAGCCACTTGGTGGGGTCGCTCTCAGGGTTCTTGAAGTCAAGATCGTACTTCTTGGCATCGACCTTGTAGAACTCGCTGGAAGCAACGTCCATGGCGATCTTGATCTGTCCGGTGTAGCCGGCCTGCTCGATAGCCTCGGTGATGAGGTCGAGAGCCTCCTCGGCAGTCTGAATATCAGGGGCGACACCACCCTCATCACCGACGTTACCGGCGGACTGACCGTACTTCTTCTTGGCGAGAGACTTGAGCTTCTGGTAGACCTCAGCACCCTGGCGGAGACCCTCGGAGAAGGTGGGGGCAGTGCTATATCCCGTCAGTATATTGTTGCAAGTCGATTCAAAGCTGAAACACCTACTCGGGAACAATCATGAACTCCTGGAAGGCAAGACGGCCACCGGCGTGGGAGCCACCGTTAAGGACGTTCTGGAAGGGGACGGGGAGGACGAAGGGCTTCTTGGTTCCGGCAAGGTCGGAGATGTGAGCGTAGAGGGGAACACCCTTCTCAGCAGCAGCAGCCTTGGCAATGGCCAGGGAGACACCGAGGATGGCGTTGGCACCGAGCTTGCCCTTGTTGGGGGTTCCATCGAGCTTGTTCAGGAACTCGTCAACCTTGGCCTGGTCCTTAACATCGATGTTCTCCTTGATGATGGCGGGGCCAATGATCTCGTTGACGTTCTTGACGGCATTGAGGACACCTATTTGAAAGTAAGATGTGAGTTTCCGATCCCTCATGGTGTAAACAGAGGTATCCAGTTACGTACCCTTGCCACCCCACTTGGTCTTGTCACCATCGCGGAGCTCGACGGCCTCGTGCTGGCCTAGGGTGTTAATGTTAGCAAGCTAATTGTTATTGCCAGATGGGCCCATAAGGCAAGGAGAACGAACCAGTGGAAGCACCGGAAGGCACAATGGCGCGGTGAAGGCCGGTCTCGGTGACAACGTCCACCTCAACGGTGGGGTTGCCGCGAGAGTCGTACACGGAACGAGCGTGGATCTTGGAGATAGGCATGTTGGAAATGAACAGGGCTGATGATAAAGTCAGTAAGAAAGGAGAAAAGAGGATCTGGGCTGATATATGGCGGAAGCTGTGACTAACGGCGGGGGGAGGTTCACCGATGACCGAAAAAGATTGGGTGGGAGAGGGAAGAATGATATGATTTGCTTGGAGCTCACCCAGTGGGCAATAAACCAGTTCCTACTACGATCACCGGGGAGGTCTTTTGGGTATGTTTCTATGGCTTTCCAGAAGACCTGATGATGTGATATGGTGGATAGGAGGGGTAGAGAGAGGGAGAGGGAGAGGTGTATATGGCGGGGTAGATGATATGTAACTTGAACTCACCTGTGAGAAAGAAGTAAACAACTTAAGCAAAATAAGAGAAACCCGTCTATATTGGGCGACACCCGACTTAAATACTTCCCCATGAACCCCGGGAAAGCTCCTTACTGCTCCGATTCTTTCCAATGCGACAGTGGGGCTCCACGGCTGTTCTCCAGCGCTTGCTGGTTGATCCGACCATATGCGGCCTCCTTAGCTACGAGATCTCCCGTCCCTCGGAAGATATGAGACTATGATGGCATACCGTTCTCCCGATTGCACATGCCCTCACGTCGATCACAGACGTGGACGTACCTCCTGTGCTGTACCCCTCTACTACCCCTCCATCGCGCAAGTACCTTGTAGTCTGAGCCAATCGTATTAGGAGGTCTTCCTCCTCTTCCTCGAAGCTGCTGGTACTGTTAATCTGACCAATTGCACACAATTGCAACGAATTGGCTTCCAAGGTTGGTCTTACGTACTAGCGTTCCCTTCTGTCTTCTGGACCCAGACAGGCGTGGTGCCTGATTTTCGAGGCGCAAGTGTGTCGGGCCATGATCGGACCATTCATCTTCCACTTTATGGCCACGCACCGTGAAGTTAGTAAACAAAAAGAAAAGCTGATATATCAATGTGATGTGATCTTAGATCGAAGAGCTAGAGAAGCATGAAGGTAAAAACCAAAAAAAGGAAATCATATGCCAACTCCCGGGATTGAACCAGGGACCTCATCATAAACTCATGCAGAAAGTACGAGTGATGCGCGACTACCACTGCGCCAAGCTGGCAGATATGTTTAAAATTTCGGAACAGTGCAAGAGTAAGATTGATCGGCAGCCAATGGAGAAAAGAAAAAACCAAAACCAAAAAAAGGAAAAGCCCACTCCCGGGATTGAACCAGGGACCTCATCATGATCTTGAGAAGTACAAGTGATGCGCGACTACCACTGCGCCAAGCGGGCAATTATACCGCAAAGGCCCTCAAGACCATATGGCCAGCTCTGTAAAAAGAAGCACGAGTCCACCCGAGGCCACTGAGCCAAGTGGTTGGGCGAAACACAGGCAATAGTCGAACCCGGGTGTGGAGAAGCCTAGATGGATGGAGAGGTCTCTAGGGCAAGAGACTGGTGAGATTAATGAAAAGAAGGTATATGTACATGTACAGATACTGAAGGGCGAGTACTATTCTGAGAAGAAGGTAAAGAGATACAGAGGAAGGAGGAAAAGGAAAATTATCACCATTATGTATCTTGGATCCATGGATAGTATTTTTTTTTACATACAGCATAGATCCATCCGTTCAGGCCGTTCATCGCCACCTTGTTCACCCAATATTATTGCCTCAGGCTGATGTTCCCCAATGCATGCCTTAGGCATCATATATGGATGACCAAGATTATGACATAAGGCATCATGTGATCATCTCATCGACGCCGCGCTGGAAGCTGGAAGCTCCCCAGGGCAAGGTGCTGTCGCCCTTTTCAATCACGATATCCATCCATTTCGCATCCACGACCTTACACGACAACCCAAGCATCTACTTGAATTACGATCCTCTATCGGTTCTCATCCCCACTCGTCCACACTCGGTGAATCTGTCGTTCGTCCACCGTCATTCATCATGAGCGACCCGGAGCGCGGCCTGGCGCTCGAGGATTATAAAAAGAGCTTGCTCGAGCTACGAGAATGGGAAGCCAAATTGAAGACCCTTCGATTGGGGATCAAGGATCTTCAAAGAGAGTTTGATGTTTCCGAGGATAACATCAAGGCACTACAAAGTGTTGGTCAGATCATCGGTGAGGTGTTGAAGCAACTGGATGAAGAGCGATGTAAGTATCCGAGCCCCCAGAGATGCGCTTCCATCATGCAGCAAGCTGATCCGGTCTATAGTCATTGTCAAGGCGTCATCGGGTCCCCGATATGTGGTCGGTTGTCGTTCAAAGGTGGATAAGTCCAAGATGAAGCAAGGCACACGTGTGGCCTTGGATATGACAACACTCACTATCATGCGGATGCTGCCTCGCGAAGTTGATCCCATGGTGTACAACATGTCTTTGGAAGATCCAGGGTCGGTCAACTTTGCGGGTATCGGTGGTCTGAACGACCAGATCAGAGAGCTTCGTGAGGTTATCGAACTGCCTCTGAAGAACCCAGAGCTCTTCTTGAGAGTTGGAATTAAGCCTCCGAAGGGTGTGTTGCTTTATGGTCCTCCGGGTACTGGTAAGACACTGCTTGCACGAGCAGTGGCCAGCTCGATGGACACCAATTTCTTGAAGGGTAAGTTTATATTCCTATTACAGTCATTTTTGCAATTGTCTAACTGAGCCACCGTATGTAGTTGTATCCTCCGCTATTGTGGATAAATATATCGGTGAATCCGCTCGACTGATCCGAGAGATGTTCGGATACGCCAAGGAACACGAACCCTGCATTATTTTCATGGACGAAATCGATGCCATCGGTGGACGACGATTCTCAGAGGGAACTTCGGCAGATCGAGAAATTCAGCGTACGCTCATGGAGTTGCTCAACCAGCTCGACGGTTTCGACTACCTAGGAAAGACGAAAATCATCATGGCCACCAACCGACCCGATACACTGGACCCTGCTTTGTTGCGTGCCGGTCGTCTGGACCGCAAGATTGAGATTCCTCTTCCTAATGAGGTGGGCCGTCTGGAGATCCTGAAGATTCACACCGCCGGAGTTCAAAAGGACGGTGATCTTGACTTTGAGAGTGTGGTCAAGATGAGCGATGGTCTTAACGGTGCTGATCTTCGAAACGTGGTTACTGAAGCGTGAGTGATACCTGTATTCCACAAGATACTATGGATTTGTCGACTAACTCTCGAATAGTGGTCTCTTCGCGATCAAGGATTATCGTGACGCTATCAACCAGGATGACTTCAACAAGGCGGTACGGAAGGTGGCAGAGGCGAAGAAGTTGGAGGGCAAGCTTGAATACCAGAAGCTGTAATTGTATCTACCTTGCGGGGTTGGTGATCCACATCTAGTGCACGGTTTAGATCTTTATCTTGAAGCGCTAATGCTATGCATTCAATCTATTCTTCCCCTGGGCTAAGTTCCAATCCGTAGCAGATGAAACATAGGTTTATCAGGTTAATGGGAATTACAAACTATAATTGCCCGACGGAATAACAATCAATATCATGAGATTTGGCGAATCTCCATATAACTATATGCCTGGAGATGTCCACTCTGCGACTAGACATCAGTGTTACGCGAGCAATGAGATCTGATTTGCTACCTAATGCTGGCACTCCACTTCCCCAGCTTCCTTCAATCTGCATTTGCCACGTTCTCGATTGTCGAATGTGCGCATACATTGTCGAAGTTTAGATTGTATGCTTGAAAGACTTGGCTTTTCTCGGCCCTGAAATTGAGGACACGCGGGACAACCTCCGCGCTCCGCATCTCCGCAGATAAATTGTTTACGGACCATCAAACCAGCAAACCCCCAAACCACAACGCTATCTGTGCGCGTGGTTTCCTATCTCACATTCCAGGGCCAAGATTGTCCTTGCGACCGAGATCTACCTATCAGAATCTTGTTATCTCCGGGTTTCGGTAGGTTCCTGGGTATCCTAGACCAACGGGGGCCGGCTGCTCCTAAGAACAAAACTGATTGATCCTTGCATTTGAATAGGAATAACGCTTCTATGAACTTTGAACTGGAATATTGATCGATACTAAACGAAGGCGAATCCTCCGACAGCACCTCGACACCGTCCCCACTCCCATGCGTCGCACTCGATAATCGCAAGACCCGTAGAGAATCACACACAGAGTCAGGGGCTGACTGAAAGAGAAAATGGCATACCAGCCATCGCGCAGCCCCTTTGCACCCGCGCAACAAGACAGCTTTTACGCAAACCCTCGGACAGGGCTCCGCGGATATGGGCTATCAAATCAACCAATCCCCCTGACCAATAAAGTGAACGGTTATTTCGAAAAAGACCGTACACTCCCTTTATACAAAGATAAGCCATTTTTTTCGCCCCGGCGCACTGGTCCTCGAAGAAGATGGGGAGTGTTATTGAAGGTGCTGGGAGCGTGTACAATCTTGTTTGTGTTGTATTATAACTTCTACCTCCCCACATGGTCATGGTCAGGGCTACAGTCGAATGACAAGGGGGTAGAACTTTGGAAATGGGCTCAGACATTGGAAGATGGAAAGTCTTCTGGGGACTTATCTGACTGGACAGCAAGACGAGAGAAAGTGCGGGACGCCTTCATTGTCAGCTGGGAAGGGTATGAAAAGAACGCATGGGGTAGGTCATCTAGTAATCTTTGCAGTGCTTGGATTGCGGCAGGACTGACACTATGATTCAGGTTACGATCAGTATCGCCCAGTCTCAAACGTCAACCAGGAAGACACGAGCGGCGCATTAGGCTGGATGATTGTTGACTCGCTGGACACATTAATGATCATGAATCTGACCTCCAAGGTTCACCGTGCGCGACAATGGATCTCGACCTCGTTGAACTACAATCAGGATCGTGATGTCAATACGTTCGAGACTACTATCCGAATGTTGGGTGGCCTTTTGTCTGCACACTATCTGTCGACTAAATATCCTGATTTGGCGCCTCTCAATGACGATGATGTCGGTGCCGCTGGTGAAGATCTATATATCGAGAAAGCAGCTGATCTCTCGGAGCGACTCCTCGGGGCCTTTGAGTCTCCAAGTGGCATTCCGTGGTCGAACGTCAATCTCAACACATCGGCAGGTGTCGCGGTTCACTTTGACGAGGGAGCTACATCCATCGCTGAAGCTGGATCGATGCAACTTGAATTCAAGTACCTGGCCAAGTTGACTGGTGAAGCAGAATATTGGAAGTTGGTTGAAAAACCGATGCAGCTGGTCGATCTGCAATCGCCGCGGGACGGTCTTGTCCAAACCGCCATCCATCCCGACACTGGTAAATTCATGGGTGACAGCATTACTTTGGGCAATAAGGCAGACTCGTACTATGGTATGTCGATGGAATGCCCGCTCTCATTGATCCCTGGAAGCTGACTTTCCTCCAGAATATCTCATCAAGCAATATCTGCAGACCTCAGAACAGGAGCCCGTCTACAAAGAGATGTGGGACGAGGCATTGAGAGGCATTCGCAAGCACCTCATTGCATTTACCAAGAACTCTCAGCTGATGATCATTGGCGAGCGGCCCCAGGGCCTAGACCAGGAGCTCTCCCCCAGAATGGACCACCTGGTCTGTTTCATGCCCGGAACTATCGCGCTTGGCGCCACTGGTGGCCAACCCTTGTCCCAGGCTCGAAAGTCAGCAGACTGGTCTCAACAGCGCGAGGAGGAGATTCTCATGGCTAGAGAATTGATGAAAACCTGCTGGGCAATGCACCAAACAACAGCCACAGGTCTCGCAGCTGAAATCTCTCATTTCGTCCTCGACTCGCCACCCGTGATGATGGCAGACAAGTACCCAGATCCCATGACGGACCCCAATCGCGCATCCAAGCCCGAGATACTACGTGGCATCTCGCAGCCGCTAGACAGGCAAAGTGATGCCTCCGAACCCTGGCGCAAGGACATCGACATCCGCCGCAACGATCGCCATAACCTGCAACGCCCGGAAACAGTCGAGTCCCTCTTCTATCTTTACCGTATTACCGGCGACGATATGTACCGCCAGTGGGGCTGGGAGCTCTTCAAGTCTTTTGTCAAACACACTTCCGTGACTGAAAAGAAAAGCACCTTGCGCACTTCTCGTCTTCCAACAACCAGCGCGGAACCCGTTTTCCGCATCAAGGGCTTCACATCCCTCGGCAATGCGGATGCAGTCCCTTCGTACAAGCGTGACAATATGGAGAGTTATTGGATGGCTGAGACGCTCAAGTATTTCTACTTGCTGTTCTCTGATCGTGATTTCATCTCGCTGGAGGATCACGTTTTCAATACTGAAGCCCACCCATTCCCGCGGTTCAAGCCTAGTGGGGATCTCAAGACCGGGTGGGAGAGGGCACCTAGGCATTAAACTTGCCCGATGGTCTGCTCTAATGACGGTGGTTTGCTGTGGATTTGATATCCATGCTTTGTTTTCTATGCAGCGCCTTTTCGTTCGCCTTTTGGGGAAACCCAGACTTGTATACCAACCTTTTGTACATGGCTAGTTTTATTTGAAAAATCTACCTGTTTAGATGAACATAGAGAGTTGGCATCATATTTATAATAAAATCTTCTGCGTACGTCCCTTGCTGGATACTTGAACTAATGCATTAACCGAAATTGTATATCGTGTCTAACGAAGGCACATTGAATATAGATGTGCAACAAGAAACATCAAACATCAGACTATCTCACCCTTCTACTCTCTCTCCAACGCAGCCTGAATCAACTTTTTAAAATCCAACCACAGCCTCCTCGATCTCGCGAATGCTAAGGGCCTCATTATCGCCATGAGCGACAAAGATACTACCAGGTCCATACAGGTAACGCTTGACACCAGATCTCACAGCCAGACTGGGCACATCAGTGCCATAGTTGGTAGTGGTAACCTCAAAGCCATCAACATCAACATCCAAATCCTGGGGCGGATAAGACTCATTATGAGAAATGAAATCCAAAACCACCTCGGCATCAGCATCACCAACAACCTCATCAACAGCACGCTGAATGATCTCCCGCGCCTCAGCAGGCGTACCAGCCGCCAATCGCACAGCAACATCCGCCCACGCCTCGGAGGGAACGACGTTAGTCGCGACGCCGGCGCGAATAACACCGATATTCAGCGTCGTCGGCCCGTATTTCGGGGAAGCGGGCAAACCGCCTTCTTCGGCGGGGATATCACCGAGCACATCGAGACGCGACAGTGCAGGCAGGATTGCTGAGACTGCGCTCTTGCCGAGCCATGGGTATCCCGAGTGAGCGGCGCTGCCGTGGGCGAGCACCTTGAAGCCGAGCATGCCCTTGTGGCCAGCGACGAGGGCTGCCTCGGTGGGCTCGCCGAAGATGATGGTGTTGAAGGCGCTTTGGTCGTTGAGGGCTGAGCCGGAGAAGACTTTCATGCCGTCGCCGCCGATTTCCTCGCCGACTACGAAAAGGAGGCCGAGCTTGGCGTCGGGTTGCTCGTCTAGCGTTTCGAGGGTTGCGAAGATCTGCGCTGCCACGCTGCCTTTAGCGTCGACGGAGCCGCGGCCACCGAGGATGAGGTTCTCTCGGTCAATGGAGGTGGAGTCGTCGGCTTGGGCCTGGTGCACGGAGTATGGGATGAAGGGCGGGACGGTGTCGATGTGGCTGGTGAGGAGGATGGAGGGAGGTTGTGTGTGTGATTTCGGATAGGCGTAGATGTTGTATCGGGGCTTGGTAGGTTTCTGGCCCTTCACTGGGGGTACCTCCTGCTTTACCACGGTGAAGTTCCGGGCCTCCAGGTATTGTGCGACGAAGAGGCCGACATTGTGCTCGTTACCGGAGATTGACTCGATTTCGACCAGATCTCGGTGCAGTGATAGTAGAGGTGACTTGCTGATTACATTGTTCAAGTCTGCTTGGCTGTAGCTGGGCTGAGAGGGCGAAGATACCACATTCAGGATCTGTTGCTGTTGAGGTGCGGGGTGCGGAGAAGCCTGGACACCGGCGATAATGGCCACGGCCGCAACGTATGAGGAGAACTTCATTGGAGGATTGTGATTCAAACTTATTCCAATGGAGATGAAGTTCTGTGTCCAAGTAAATTGGACAACCTCGGCACTTGGAAAGTGGAAGTGCTTCTGTTGAACTTTGCAAGTTGGAGTCCGAGGTCGGAATCGCCCGATAGTATAAGGTCACGTGGGTTGGAGATGGTTACGTTTTCAAGGCGCCCATTATTAATAAGAGTTGGATGGGATCTCACGATTGGATATAGCCAGGATAGCTGTAGAGAATGGCTTAAATCGGATTGGATATAGCCCACACAGGTTTGTGTGATGTGGATACTGCTTTTATTGCGTGATCGAGCTAATTGCCCCATTTGGCGCATATCAAACTTAGGTACGGAGTATACTAAATGGTCTACAGGCAACGAGCGGTCATGATCCCATATACATCTAGCAAATCTGGTACCTGGGTTTCATGAACTACAGCAACATCTAAACTAGTCCCCAACAAGAATTGGTCTAGCGTCATACTTAGAGTTGAAGCGGTGGACATGGTTTCATAGCTGATTATTGCAACAAGATACCTAGGTACTAGGAGCCAGGTGCATGCAAAATGGCTGATATATATTATATAGGTACATAACATGGATACTTCCTGGTTATATGGATTGCATTTAGGTACCCACGTATATGTAGCTCGTAAACAAGAAGGTCGACATGCTACCCCGGGATTGGTTTATGCGGCTACAAAGTACAATCACATCCTAGCCCATGCCCCTAAACATGAACAGCCTATTATATTAGCACTGTGAGTCTCCAGGGCTAACATATAAGCCACATGTACTTCGTACAATGAAACATGGAATGCTAGTATATTTACTCCGTTCTCCGTACGCAGTGTACGTGTGGAGTATACAGATCGGTTATGCACAGTCATAGAAACGATTACAGCCATGGTCCTTGGCAAAGAGAAAAACATGCTGACGGTATTGAATACTCAGGGCACACAGATGGGCTATCACACAGCTAAGCATGAAATCATATTCATATCCCTGCTGGCTCCATAGCGCGGCACTAATATCTGGAACACGTAGACTAAAGCCCTAGTTGTGAAGCCAAAGCCAAAGCCAAGCACAAGTTCGAAACTAATGCTCAGCCCCATATCTTGAGTTTCCCGATGCGGGGTAAAACATGTCCTTTGCTGTATAAGGTACGCAATACGGGAGGATCTACACGTTGGTGCCGTTTATGGAATCTTATGTTTAACAATCCGAGAGAAGTCTTGCATCTGAGAGACAAGGCAGAATCTTACACTCAGAAGATAAAAATGACCAAATGACGTCAAGTAGTTGATGGCAAAGCTCTTTCCAATTACCTGGGTGTTAGATTGTAAGAATTATATTAATAGTGCGTTGATAATCGTTCCCCTCTTGATGGTACCGAACAGATCCCCTTCTAGAAGGAGGGTAGGAGGGGCCCGGGCTAATGAACGCTCTATAAGTACCTCTATGGATTCCGGCCGGAGATAATTAGTTCTCATCACACTCGTTTGATTGTCCCAATAGCTTGCATTACATTATACGCAGACTATGGAGCCACACTTGAAAAGACTGTTGGCGCCAACAGTCGATGAGTCTGCCGAGAAGAATCCCCTCCAACGCTTTGCTGTGATTCCTCGGGGATCAGAAGTGAGCAATGGTTTCCGAGAACTTTCGATCAAAGACCTAGCGCAGGCTGTGAACTACATGTGCTGGTGGATTGAAGACACCATCGGACCAGCACAGTGCCCGGAAACGTTGGCTTATATGGGGGCTAATGATGCGCGCTATTTCATATTTATGCTTGCTTGCCAGAAGACTGGATATCAGGTAGGAAAGGAAATCTTTGGAACCGAAACTATGATACTTGGCTCAATTCCAATCCTCAATAGGCTTTTCTACCTTCTACGAGAAACTCGAACGACACTTATGTTCATCTGCTGGAAGCTACACACTGCACCAAGTTCTTTTTCAGCGAGGAACATCGGAGACAAACCTTGGAGATCCAGGGACTTATCCCAGCCCTGGGTATCTTCCTGATTCCGACCATTGAGATAATTTTCGATGATGAGAGGGGTTTGTGCCATTATCCGTACTCCAAGTCTTATACTGATGCTGAGAACGACACGGTGTGTATCATCCATAGCTCTGGAACGACAGGTAAGACTTATGATAGTGACTCTGTGAGACCACGCTGATTCCTGCCGTAGGCATGCCAAAGCCAGTGTACCTTACCAACGGCTTTTTCATGACCCTTGAGGCTAGTGCTCATCTTCCAAAACCAGAAGGTCGTCGACTATCTCTATTCGCCCATCTGGGCCAAGAGGACCTGATGCTAACCACAACGCCTTGCTTCCATTTATTGGGACTCGTATCTTTTGTCTTCTCAGTGTGGCTCAAGATGCCTATCCTGATCCGCCCAGAGAAACCTCTTTCTGTCAGCCATATGGTAGAGCTTCTGCGTGCTGCCCGGCCAACAGCTGCAATCTGTCCACCCTCGCTTCTGCAAGATATGTGCCACTCTGATGATGCACTAGAAACTCTGAAGGCACTCAAGGAGGTCTATTTCGGCGGTGCATCTCTTTCGCTAGAGACCGGAGAGCAACTACGCAAGTACACCAAGATCATACCGTTGCTTGGGGCCACTGAAATCGGTTGGCTCCCATCATTGCTACCGGAAGACCCAGCCCACTGGAGCTACTTTGATTGGAGTGATCCATTCGGCATGGAGATGCGAGATCTCGGCGACGGCGTGTTTGAAATGGTGATTCCTCGCGATGAACATGCCCGCGACTTCAAGGGTATTTTCCACACATACCCTGACCTTAGTGAGTATTCAACGAAAGATCTCTACACCCAACACCCAGAGCACCCATATCTATGGAAGTACTATGGACGCCAGGACGACATAACGGTACTAAGCAATGGCGAGAAATTCAATCCTGTCGGTATGGAGAACATCATTGAAGGACACCCTTTGGTTGGCAAAGCGGTGGTCGTCGGCCAGTCCCGCTTCCAGGCTGCGCTGCTCGTCGAGCGAAGCACTGCAGCGCAGGAGATGGACGCAAAAGATTTCATTGAGAAGATTTGGCCGACTGTGCAAGTGGCCAACCAGTCCATCGCTGCTCATGGGCGGGTGATGAAGAACATGATTGGATTCTCGGTCAAGTCGAAGCCTTTCAAGAGAACCCCGAAAGGCACTGTGCAACGCCGTCCCGTTCTTCGAGACTACGAGAAAGAGATTGATGCAATCTATGCCAAGGAGCTCGAGGATGACTTGGACTACTGTCTGCCGGAGACCTTGGACTACGACAGTGTCAAAGAGTATATTCGCCAAGTTATTGCCCATGTTTTGGGAACGCCTGATGTTGCAAATACGCAAGACTTGTACACTACCGGTCTTGATTCTCTGATGACCATCCAGGTCTCTCGAGTGCTGCAAAAAAGCATCCAGCTGCGAAGGTCGGAGTTAGAACCTGGAACCATTAATCCGCAGACGATCTACGGCAATCCAACGATTGACCGCTTGTCTCAAGTTGTGATGAATACCCTAGATGGGACAGCCCAAGCTGGGATCCCGCGGGCAGAGAAGATCCAGAATCTGGTAGAAAAATATACGTCCGATCTTCCAACGCGGGCAATCTGCCCCCAAACGGGATCGGAATCGCCCTCGACTGTGATATTGACTGGCTCAACTGGCTCATTGGGAACCTATCTACTGCATTCGCTATTGACTAGCGAGTCAGTCACTAAAGTTTACTGCCTCAACCGCTCGGAAGCTCAATTCCGGCAGAAGAAGGGCTTTGAAACTAAAGGATTGCAGATTGATGCAAACGATTGGAAAAACAAGGTCGAATTTCTTCAAGCCTCATTCGGAGAAATACGATTCGGCTTGAACGAGTCCAAGTATCAAGAACTCCTTGGCTCAGTCGACACCATCATCCACAATGCCTGGAAAGTCGACTTCAACCATTCCGTCGATTCCTTCGAGGATACTCACATTCAGGGTGTGCGGCGCTTTGTTGATTTCAGCTTGGCCAGTCACCACAATGCCCATCTTCATTTCATCTCCTCAGTTAGTACGGTAGGTGGCTGGACCCCGGAAATGGGAGCTTCGATTCCAGAAATCCCAATGGAAGATAGTGCAGCTGTTTTGCAGCAAGGCTACGGTGAATCCAAGCACATCGCGGAACGTATCTGTATCGAAGCCACCCGACAATCTCAGATCCCTACGACGGTGTATCGGGTCGGACAGATCGCAGGACCGACCCATACGAGCGGTCAATGGAGCCGCCACGAATGGTTGCCAACGATCATCGCGACATCGAAAGCGATGAGTAAAATTCCCGACCGACTGGGGTCGGCCGCGGTTGATTGGGTGCCAGTGGTAAGATGCCCCCGAATACGAACCTGACTTGTTCACCAGCTCTAAAAGCCGAGTATCCGAGAGAGGGAAAAAAATTCTGAAGACCCCACGCTGATCACTTGCTGATTTGATCTACTTTACTTAGGACACTCTATCCAAAATCATAGTGGAGATTGTAAACACACGTCATAAGAGCTCGTCTGAAGCAGCGTGGGCCGTGTTCCATCTCACAAATCCGGAATTGATACCGTGGTCGTCGTTGATCCCAGCTATCCAGAGTCGGTATGCGGTTGAGCCAATTGATTTCTCTGCGTGGATTGCCGAGCTGGAGAGTATCCCCAACCCCAACGGTGCGGATATTGCTTCCAAGCCTGCACTTAAGCTGTTAGCTTTCTATCGTGGGCTGCAGGACGAGAACAATGCATTGTCCGTGGCGCTGGATGTCCAGCGGGCAAAACAAGCGAGTGTCAGCATGAGGGAGCTGAAGCCGATCTCTATCTCGCTGATGCGAAACTGGCTGCAGCAATGGGAGTTTTGATGGGGCGGTATGTTGTATACATTATCTCCAAGAATAGATCTATCTATAACAATGTATCCGAGACTTCCTATACATATTGCCATGTGGTGTTCCAAGTTTTTGTTTATGACATAGCTGCCCGCGTAACCGGACAGCCTTCCTAATTAGGCGATTACCTCAGAAGCCCACACGATTAGGTTTTTTTGCTTCTTCCTAGCCGAGGGCGTGTGATTGGCTACCCAGGATAGCCCACACCTAGGCCATGCCGTTTTGGGCCGCAGCACGGTCTTTTCGGTGCTAGTGACCTGCAGGGATCTTTCTAGTGACAGATGGCACCGGAGATCTCCAGGGGGAAGGGAAAATTCAACAAGAACGCGATATATCACAATTAACAACCAGCCCAAGGATTCAAGGGCAAAAAAAAGACAGAAAAAAATCAGGTGAGGAAAAAAAGGTGACTTGTTCGCTGAAAAATTCTCCTACCCGAGAACCAATCCCGGTTCCTGCGCCAAGGCTCAACGCCTCACGCCTCCCAAGGCACACCCGGCGGGGAGAGGCGCTACCTCTCGCCTCGCCTCAGGCAACTCAGCACGTAAACTCTCCAATCATCAGGGACCGTGGAATGTTCCTCGACTCCCCGAGCGCGTTGGGAGTTTGGTTTAGGCCATGTGGACGGGACGTCTGGAGAATGGAGGAAGAGCTGTCTCTATTCCTTTGCTCGCGGAATGTACCTCTCTCGGGCATGTACCTGAGCATTCCGACCTTTATCATGATTGGATGGTCATCTTTCTCACTCTTTGCTCCGTACAGTATCACTGCCTAAGCACCTAATGGTCGTGCTTGGATGCCTGTTGCAGCCCAGGTTCAATTCGGAGTTCGCACAGATACACTCGTAGGACGGGCACCAGATAGTATTATACCTGGCTCGTACTGCCCTCTGGAGAGGATTCTGAACTGGTAACTGCCCGTGCGACCTGCTCGTCATACTCGGACAAAGTTCTTACGTCTACGGGACGGGACCTTGTCCGCAGTTGCTCAGCATCGTCGGAGCTCTGACACCAACGGGTGGATGCACCAGCCCGTGTAGAGAATGGGGATGGGTACCCCCTAGGTGGTCCGTTTGGGCCGAATGAGGATGACCGAGTCGACAGAGAATGAGCACCTAGGTACATAGGTAACAAACATGGATACATACCTCCCAGAAGATGATAAGAATGATGGCCCAGGACCGGATGTATCCAACCTGTTCCCCCCACCTGCAAAGCGAATCAGCACCGGGCAACTGGGTCGCAATGGCATCATAATGGTTCCCATCGCCAATCGATTTCAGTCTAGATGCCGCCGATCGCACACCGGACTGGAGAAGATACCTAATTGAGGACAGGGTCCTGGAGTGATTGGCAATCGGCAGGCATATTGGGCTACACAACAGACCTGTGTAGCCGTTTGAAAAACAATCGAATTGGAATCGTACGATGAATCGATTACAGAGACTAGTGTCTGCTTGCATAGAGCAGAGACGTGAAGGAACACAAATCAAAAAGCACCAAAATGATATAAAAAAAAAAAGAAAAGAAAAGAAAATACAAAATAACACTCATTCGAGCCCTTCCAGACTCCCTCCTCCCATGGTTCAACTGATGTCAACCACCGGAACTGAGCGGAGTAAGTTTTTGGCCCGACGATCGGCGAGTTTAGTCCGTTGGCCTTAGTCACTTCTTCTTTTTTTGGCCAAAGGGCATCTCCACTAAACCGTTGTGGCAGTCTAGAGCCGTCTTTCATTCTTTACCTCGCTACCCCTCCTACACCTCTTACCTCGATTATATCAAAGAAAAAAAAAAAAGAAAAGAAACGTCTCGTACAACCCAGGATCTCCCTGTTCGTTTCAGTCCGTTTGCCGATTGTAAGAAAAAAAAACACCCCGCGAAGTCCTTCCTGCCCAGCCAGCTGGTCTAGTTAACTTGTTTGGGCCACGTCGCTTGGTGGGATTTGCATTTTGTTTTTCGGTTTCTGTGGTGTATTTTTGGAGTGTTTCCTCCCACGAGAATCATTCGATTGCATCGGTTTCCTGGAGGTTCATCGGATGCTAACTGGCCCTAAACTCCAGTTCCCGCGTTTCCCGGACTCTTGACTGCTCTTTCTCATCACACCGCCACGTCTTTTCCCGCCCAAAGGCACGGAGGATGACTTGTTCGAACTGAGCGTTGTTCTCTCTTTTTTTTCTGGTCACTCCTCACCTCCGATGCTGATCGGCAACCCTCCCCACCTATATACCAGCCACCCCGACGTCCTTCAGCGGCGCTCTCTTCCTGAGAATGTACAAATTGTCTCAGATAATCGACGCGACACGAGAAAGTCTCGACGCGGATTCATCTCTACGCCCGCCGCAATCACCACTGACTATTAATACCTCTGCGCCGGCTTCACCTGCCATTTCTTTGTTCTCTGTGGCCGGCCACAACCGGGTCTCCAGTTCTGTCTCGTCCCTCGTCTCTGCGGGTCTGGGCAATTCTATGGACAGTCCTAGTCGGACTCAGTTGACCGGAGTTAAGGAAGAAGAGTGCATACGCGACTCATTGGAAGATCAATATTTTAGTATGTCCCCAACCTAACGCCACCGCAAAGAAAGAAAGTATAGAAAAAAAAAAGATATACTTTCTTTCCTACTGTCACAGTTGCTAACCCTAATCTTTTAGAGCACTTTGATTACGGAGTGTCTGCGGAAGAGTCATATTTCCCTCCCGTCAACAACTCAGATAACTACGACTTGAGTGATACTGGCATGGAGACAGCACCATCCCCAAAGAAGAGACGCTCAGATAGTTCTTCTATGAAAGGCGTCTCGCGCATCAACTCTCACATCTCGACCATGTCGGCCCGATGGAAGACAAAACGATCTTCTGGTGGCTCTGAAGGCGAAATGTTCCCGGATGATCTGCGCTCGCGCGCAAACTCAGCCGCCTCTGCGTTGGCAAGCCCTATCGCTAGTTCCATGAGTCGAGTTGACTCCATTCCGCCTTCCCCTGCGCGCACCATTTTCGAGGAACGTGCTAGCGAGTCCGGTGTGCGCCCAATCGATATCACTCGGGCGAACAGCCTTAGCCAAGATGACAACGATGCGCCGCAGGCGACAACTCCTCTTTTGCCACCTTTTATGGGAGACGATTCAAACAGTACCACAGCGACCCGCGTCCAGTCACCACTGCAGTCCCCCTCAGTCGCAGATGCGAGCGAACAAACCACCTGCAACTACAACATGATTTCGGACCCGCGATTCGTTGGAATGCTTCCTTCTCCACCACTCTCATCCAAGCCCTCCGTGGCCTCCTTCAACCGGCCGCGAGCTAGCACTGTGCGCACGGTCTCAGGTGACGCAACACCTTTCGTCCTATCCGATCCCAACGATGAATGGGCCAACAAACTCGGCCACGCCAACTTCAACATCACGCCAGAGCCATACGTCCCTGTGGTTTGCGACATTGGCAATTTCCAACAGGTGCGTGCGGATTGGAATATCGCGCGGTGCAACTTCGCCAGGCATCTTGTGCGCACGGGCGAGCACTACGGCGTCACCTCGAACATCTACAAGCTCACAATTGAGAAATGGGAGTCCATCAACCGCGAATGGGCCGCCCAGCACGAGACCATGCTTAGCCAACTCGGTGCTCTCGACGGTGTCGCGCTCACCCTCACACAATCTAATATCCACCCTTGCCAACAAGTCCGCATTCCCCGTCTGCATGACGACAAGTTCCCCGAGCTGGGGGATGAGGAAATTGTTGGTCCAATGAGTGTTGCGCCATCTATTGGGATTGCAGGTCCCTGCCGCTCTGAGAAGAAGAGGAGTTTCTTCCGCTTTCTCCAGGACTTGGTCTCCCGGACCTAGCCTTGAGTCTTGTGTTGGGCTCTCATCCTTCTTCTTTTTCACTTTTCTATTTCCTCCATCTTTTTGTTTCCAGCGACCCACAGCGATAATGACGATAGATTATTCCCCGCGCGCGTTTGACTTCACATCTCGCCCGCACCGCCACGATTAATGTCTTTCTTTCATCTTTTTGTTTTTGAATTGAGCTTCTTTTTTTATAACGACTCTTTACGACTTCCGATTCGGATCAGCGACTACTGTTCTCGTCCCGAATCATGCCTTTCCTTCGTCCTCACCCATGAGTCTTGTTTTGTTCGAGTTATCTTGTTCTTCTTTTTTTTGGTCCTGTCTCGTTTCCCATCCCCACAGACATGCAAGCTCCCCAACAAAAAGAACGAAGAAGATCATCTCCCACTGGGTACACACCCCTCCTTTTCCTTGTCTTGTTACATTATACCCCCCATACACCAAACCGTTGTACCCCATAGACTCCAATCCTATCCTCCCCCACGTGCCTACTCAGGGCTAACAAACCAAAGCATCACAAGCAAAACAAGTACTATACCATGTCTCAATATGTATATATAACCCAGCTCTGTTTTTTCCCCCGCGATTGTCGTGGAAATCTCGAGCCTCTTGTGCAAAATACACATATCGTCATTGATACCCCCATATACAATACCTAAATATAGACCCAATACATCCCCTCATACTGAAACACCTTAGCATATACAAAGCACATGTAGGGATGACGCGGTGCATAATGGAATCCACAGCACGTGGTCGGTATAAAGCGAATGAGTCACATGAACAATCGGTGTGGGTGACTGGTGGGTACGGCCACGTTGTGAGGCTACCGCCATTTGCAACCTGCATGATGTATGGGCTTGTATTAGCCCACCGGATCCGGGTATGGGATTGGCCGGGCATAAAGTGTTCAGCTCGGAATTGGGGGTTTGGAATATGAGTCAGAGAGGCGTTGGTGGTCGGGGATGTGGTTGTGTTGGATCCGGGTTTGTTGGGTGATCGAGATACGTAGATGGTTGTTACTTGTGCTTGGTCGCTTGGTGTTAGGCCTACAGATCGCATGCTATACGTGGGATATATGTAGTCATGCGCGCATTTCGAAATGGGTGTAGACAATGTCTGAGATGGGGATCTATTGGACGCGGGAGATTGGTGGGTGATGGGTTATATTATATTCGATATATGCTATATTGGGCCCTGGGGGTCTGAGCCGAGCTGGGAATGCTGGGGGGATGCAGGTGACTGCAGGGCCGAAACATGCGTTGACGCGGTCGGGATCGACATTCGTGATTTTGAGGGCGGATGAAACTTCGTTGTGATGGTGTGATAGGTTGATGGATGTGAGTCGTGTTTCGGTTTCAAAGCGTGTAGGTTGGAGCATGCGAAGAAGAGGGAGGGAATGGTGAGAGGAGGCTGGATGGAGGCTCGAGCGGTAGAGCAAGAGGAGTAGGCCAATGCGAGATTGTGCAGATGGGCTACTGGTACATTTAAATCCAGTACTGGCTCCAAAGCCGCTTTTCTTCTTCGCTACCGCGGAACTTGAACTCAACTGGGATGATGTCGTCAAAGCCCTCGTCCAGGGTTGGTGCGCGGAAACGACGGCCGAAGTCGCCGAAGGCGATGCCGGGTAAAGAGGTTCGGGATTCGGGGTTCTGGTTGTTATAAGAACATGAACGAGGTGATATGGAAATGAGGATGTTGCCAATACATACCAATTCTTTGTTAGATGCGCGGACCGCGTTGTTGTGTCGGCATAGGTCAGGCGTCGAGATGAATTGTACGCAGCGGACAGGAATCTTGAACTCTTTCGCAAGAGCCGTCCAGTGGGCTCGCGTTTCTGGGTCAGCGTTGGTGTTGTCTAGGTGAGGCCTCTCGTGTTAGTTCGAACGGTGAAGACGAAGATATAGTTAAAAAGAGAGATCACAACGTACCGACAGCCACGGACTTTTTGGCCTCTAGGTGCTCACGAGCAACCTTGAGACATTTCGGGCGCTGTAACAGTTCATCAGTATTTGATTCACTCCCTTCACTGTCGAGTGGGACAAGTACCGTTTTCAAAAGATCTTGATTCACTCGTTCATAACCTAGAGGTTCTAGGTGGTTCCAGTAGAAAGTGGACTTTCCGGCACCTGGGCTGCCACAGAAAACCACAAGTTCAAGCGGGTGCTTGCGAGTAAATGGTTTGGCTATGAAGACATGTCAATAAACTGCCAGGCTTTAGAGCCTTGCGGCTCATTCGATATAAGACAGTACATACTCGGCTCTTCGAGATCCGCTTTCACAAAGGACATTGGATCAAATATCTTCGGCGCCGGTTCCGTAGTCTGTCCAAGGAAGAATTCCTCTGGAGTTTTGAACGGCATACCGATGTTGGTAGCAAGTCCCCTAGGCCCGATATCAGATTTTGTCACAGCATACTATCATCCTGCTCTTACCTATCCACTGCCGAATGATCCCCTGGCCTTCCAGCAGCATCCCCAACGAAAACCGATGCTGGCAAGTCAACGCCCGCAACGTCAAGATCATAATCGTCAAGGAATTCGCGCCACATCCCGAGACGGGGTTTCCTATATTCAGGGTCGGTTGTTGCCGCGTAGACGCTCACTGGGAAATCCAGTTCCGTCATGACGGCGGTCAACTTTTCTTTGAAGTTGGAAAGACTCTTTGAGTCACTTCGTCCACCTTTAATATCCTTCTGGACACTGATCTTCTTTTGGTTTGAGAAAATGACGACTTGGAAGCTGCGAGGGTGTCAGCTAGAGTGCACCAGGCCAACCGTGTCTGATTTCGATACATACCCTTCGGCATTGAGTTCCTTTAGACGGGCTGGAACCTTAGCGTTCCACCATTGCCAATCGGTGGCAGATTTGGGGAAGACATTGCCCGATTTCGTTTTGATTAATGTCGAATCCTACATAACGGTGTAAGCACAGCTGTTCGATTTCTCGATGTTAACCGTGGGGTCAGATTTATCCACTCACCAAGTCAAAGCCAGCAATTCGGCGCTGTTTGTCGGTAACAGGGCCTGCCTTGCCAATTATCTGCTTTCCGATGACCACACTTGTGCCGATGACGCGCCATGTGATCGGTTGGGGTTTCTTCTGTGAGGTCGGAGTGAAGAAGTTTGCCGCAGATTTCTCTATAGATAGGGGATTTAATGGGTGATCCAATGGCAGTGGCTAGTACAAACTTACTGATTACTGTCGGGTCAGCCTTTCGGCGCAGTGGTGGTGGAGAGATGGCTTGAGTGGGGGAGGCACTCCTCTTGACTGCCCCCTCGGCCATTCTCGCAGTACGGGCGAATGGAAACGTCGTGGAGGATTTATGGGGTTTACTGGATGTGCGGTGGTTTGTTCAGCCGAGGTGAGTTGTAGTTGGATTTGGTCTGTGGTCATGGACGCGCCGAGACGCGGGAGGAGTCACGAAGTCACATGTTTCTGAACATTGAACGGACCTTCTACAGCAACGACAGGCGACATGAAAATGAAGAAGATGTTAAGGAAAATGAAAGTGGAAATGAGAGTGGAAATGGAGATAGAGATGCAAATATTCAGCGTATCTCAATTGCTATGATGGGTATCTTGCTTTTTTTCTCTGCCCAAGTAAAATATCTTCGAAATGTCTATCAACGCCCTATCGTCGCTGAAGACCAGGTGTTTCGTAGTCTCCAGCATACTCAAACAACCCGGACTAAAATAGACGGCTACTTCGCCCGTGTATCAAGAGACAATCGATCTGCCTGTTCTAGAAGAACCGCCGACCTCAATTGCTCGCGGAGTCCAAAGAGATGCTGCGAGGCAGTCTTCATCGTCTCTTGGTTGCTACCGTCTTGGACAATGATAAAGGCCTGTAGAACGTAGCTTCCGCTCTTCTCAAACAACGTCATGTCCTTCAAAGCAGGCAGCTGTTGTCGGGGAGAGGTCATTTCATCTGCGCCCGGGTAGTGCAACACCCGGTGCAAGAAAATAGCAATGTCATTATGGACGAACATATCGCCCTCGACCAGATACTCCGTGATGAAACTAGAGCCGACAGGGTTAGTTCCCGCAATCAGGAGATCGGACGCGATGGCGCCACTCACTTATAGCCCCACGCATTCATAGCTTGGACGATATCTCCCCGGGGCAGCGTCGCGCTCGACATCAGACGCGACGTGACCGCCGAGCGTGTTCCGGCTTCAGGAATATCTCGGAACTCCAACTTCCATGGCTGGCGCTCATAGTTGTAAGTGGATGACAATGAAGCACCATCAGGCTTCGAGTCATCCACACCGGCCATCTGGGTGTCAGAGTCGCCCGGGACAGTGGATCCAAAATCCTTCTCGGAAACCGGACCAACCACCTGGGTGTAGTACATGTTTCCATTGAGCATCTTGTTCAGCCGTTGCAGGTCTCCCTGTTGGAGGTCCTGACTCGCTCCGGTGCGCCCCGCCAGGCCCGGTTTACGGTACGCCTTGAAGATCAAGCGCCGCTCTAGGCAATGGCGGGGCTGCATAGCTGTCAGCCCAGCGAGCTGCTGTAGAAGCTCATGATGTTGGTGGACCGGGACCGAGGCGAAAAGCGACTGCTCGTGCATAGTTGAGATGTCGTACTCCGTATAAGCGGGTGAAGCCGGGATGTGATTTAGGCAGGGTCCAAGCTTCCCGCGATCCAGTGGCGCAATTTCGTTATCAGAAATTGATTTCTTATGTGTCGCTACTATTGCTAATAGCGTCTTATGGCTTGATCTGGTTTTTTTTCTTTTCGAGGCTCCCCGTTGGGGGCTTGTGATGTGCTTGTGATCGGCTTGTGATCCTTGGAATATCACTTTCCGGGGTGACCTGTCAGGGTGTTCCGCCAGTCCCAGTCTAGAGACGTTGGACTTTGGCCTCCGATTGCGGGGTCTAAGCTGTGGAACAAGATAACCTTGCACGGTTTGCTGAAGGCGTTAAAGACTCTGAGAAAGAGACACTGATTGGTGGGTTGCGGCTTCAAAGGGGAAGATCATGAGCGTGAAGCATGGAACACGGGGAGGCAGCTCACCGGCCCACCGACTGGGAAAGGATCGGGGCAATTTGGATCACAGAAAGGGCTTCAGGTTGCGGGGAGAATTGGAGGAACACCCAAGAATAAGAGGTGCCAAGGGCCAAAGGTGCATCGGAATGGGAGTCCGTGTGGATGCAGAGGTACTCCGTACTAATGGCGCAGTCTGGAATATCCCACTGAAGGGCGTAGCTCATGTTCATTGCGTGACATTGGCTGACTTATTGCATATCTTCACTCCCTTGGACTCGATTATACCGTGTACAAAGCGTCTCAACGTCGCCCTCGTAAAAAGAAGAAAAAAGAAGAACCGGCAGTTCATAGGCTGCCGGCTCCGAAGTGTCCCAAAGCGGCAACCCTCCCATTTTCTTATCTTCTCTCTTCTTCTTCTCTTCCCCTCTTCATCCTACTTAATTTCTATTCAATCGTCTTCTCCAGTCCATCTTCTAGGCTTTCAATCCACTTTAGCACCCTACTTTCTTCTTACACTTTGCCTTTTCGGTCGGTTCGGATACTACCGGACCCGTTCAATTTCGCACTAACCCGTGTCAAATTGATCCTACCAACCTCCCACCTACAACCACCTTCTCTATCACAACCACCATAATGCGTGTCTCCTCCGTTCTTTGCAGTGCAGCTCGCACTCCTCTTATTCGCTTCGTGGGCAAGCGTTCCGTCCCTAGTATGTGATCTCTCTTCCTCTCTCTCTCTTTTTCCAAAAAAAAATCCCCCCCAACCCCCAATTCCGAGACTAACCTCATATTTCAGAGTCCATTGACCACACTCCTCGCGTCCACCCTGCCTCTCCCACCGGCACTCTCCCTGACTCCTTTGCCACCTACCGCGCCAAGGCTCAGCAGCACGGCCCGCTCGGTCGTTCCTCTTTCAACGGCACCATTGGCGGCCACTCCGGCGCCTCCCTGGGCCCCATCAAGCCCCAGGCCGGCGAGTTCTTCGACCGCTCTGAGCTCCCTGCGCGTTTCGGCCGTCTCCCCTGGACCCAGGCCGAGATCGACGCCATTGAGACTGGCGGTGCCAGCATGTTCGCATAAGCGTCTCGACGCGATATATAACTTGTTCTTTCAAAAATGTATGAGCGATGGGGCATGATACTTTTCATGGAAGTTGCGTGATGAGTGGGCTCGAGTCTTAGAGCTCGAGTCTGCAGCCGGTGAAACGCGGCCTCGAAGTTGGCTCTGGCCGACCGTGGCATTGGGCGACTGTCTTCACGGTCGCTGGGGGACGGGGACAGCAACAATTCCAACGCTGGGACCCTCGTTCCCGAGAGTTTCCGAATCAACGCTTCTCAATTTATACCTCGTTACTTGTGCTTGGGCGGAACCCATTCACAAGGACGCCTTTCTTTAGCGGCCATTCATTGCTGCCCTTTTCTTCTTCTTTTGGTGTTTTTTTCACTCGTTGTATCCGGCGCTGGTGGTTGATTTTTCTGGGTGTCCTGTTTCCACGCGCAACTCGCAGCTGTGTCGTCTTGATGTCGAAAGGCGGAGTGTGCGTTTTACACATAGATGTGGTGGACTTGGTGTGAGATGTTCAAAGTAGGCTCTGGGAGCACTATTCAAAGAAATGACTTTCTCGATCCACTGTCTCCTTAAGCTTTTCAAACGCATAATCCTTTCGGCTGTAGAACTGCAGCCTCGACGCGTACAGAGTAATAGCATCTGCATTAAACATCGGGGATATGCACATAGTAGAAAGTACGTGGTCTCACGTGCCCCCTCTCTAGATCGGCTTTGAACAATGACTTCGACATCCCACCTCCCATCTACGGAGTATCTGATTGAATATGCCATCCCACATCACTGACACGGATAGACTGACCTTTCAAGAGACAGACGAGGCTGGCAATCCTACCGCAACCTATATCTACTCAGGAGACGTTACTAGGTCAACATCCCCTGGACGAGTAGATGTAATAGTAAGTATCCATTCATTGCTCCATACAGCCCTCGATATTACTTTCCCTTCGAATCCTCCAGGCACTGGGCGTCTCAATGAAGACACGAACCAAGCCAGCCTCGTGTGTTGGCGTTCATCGTGCCGAATTGCAGGCGAGCATATGAACCCCTTCCAATGGCTTCAAGAATGCATCATACCCTGGGAAACATGTGTTCTCTATCCTATTCCATGCATGGCTGTTTCATAGCAACTGGAATTGGTGACCGGTGATACATTGGATCAAGACTATGCATCGCCCCCAAGTTGATGAACTTCCTCGCATGTTTCAGGCAGGCTTGGAGAGCCATGCATTGATGTCTCGTTTTCTTGGAAAATACTAACGGACATCTAGCAGAGCACTTCTATATCCATCTCACCATGGTCAGCAAAGGCTCTAACTAGCTCGCTGAGTGATGTTTTTCTTCCCTCCGGATATCCCCAAAGTGTCAGCGATGACTATCTTCCGTGAGTACAGACGACAGCCTGTTGATATCTATGATGAATTAGAATGTTTTATCTGTGAAAGATACTAATACAGATACTAGATATCAGATCTTTGTGAGCATCCACTCCCTGGTTGTCAGAAATAGAAGCTCCATAGCTCAAACCATTTTGCTCCAGAGCAAGATTAACCTCCATGAACCATCTAAATCTAATATAACCACCTCAACCCAACCAGGACTCCCTCCAAGCCTTCTGCAGCTCAATAGCCGGTCTACTCTCTTCCCGCGCTGTTCTCCAAGGTCCGTATCCCACCTAACCCAAAAACCCATAGACCAAGAAAGATAACTAATATCCCACAGGAGTCGGTGTCGGAAATGCAAACGCTTCTCCAACCTCGGCACTCCTTCTACACATTCTGCAGGATATATCGGGTCGCATTGCAACGATCTGTTTTGCCCACCGCGTCGGCACAGCCCTCGAGCCAGAGTGCAAAACCTACCGACTGGCAGCAGACGTCTTCAACGACATCGCCATGATCCTCGACTGTCTCTCGCCGGGCGTCCCCGCAGGACCAATGCGGGTGACCGTTCTCAGCACAGCTGGCATCCTCCGGGCCCTCTGTGGTGTAGCCGGTGGTAGCTCGAAGGCGAGCTTGAGTGCTCATTTCGCACGGTGGGGGAATCTGGCGGAGTTGAATGCCGTACGTATCCAAACCTCCCACAGTGTAACTGTCTAGTTTGCTCGCTCAACAAATCTAACCTTCTTCCTTTCTATAGAAAGATTCATCCCAAGAGACCATCATCTCTCTTTTCGGCATGCTGGTAAGAAACCCCCTTCCCACCAACTCCAACCCAAACACAAAACCCCCTAATATGAAACCCATCAGGTCGGCTCCGTAGTCATCTCCCACATAACCAATTTCAGCACAACCTGGCTCGTCCTCCTAACCCTCCTAGCCCTCCACCTAAGCATGAACTACGCCGCCGTCCGCGCCGTCCAAATGACAAGTCTAAACCGCCAAAGAGCAAACATCGCCTTCTCAGCCCTCCTAGACTCAGACCCAGATCTCAGCCTCGATCCAACCCCCAAACCCCCCAAACACACAGAAAAGCAATGGACACTCCTTACCCCGGCACAGGTATCCAAACACGAACGTATCTTCCACCGCGATGGAGCATTACAGTGGACACACAACCCAACCACAACCCCATCAATCCAACATCTCGGATCCGCACAGATAGGCGTGTCCATGTCCACTTTCCTACGCAGTAGCTCAAAACCCACCCTGCCCTTGCACACCCTTGCAACTATCTTCTCAAGGGAAGCTTACATTCTCTTCCTCTCGAAGAATACATCATGGCATGCCTGTATTCTGCTAAAACGGGGATGTCCAGTCCCCAGCCAACTCAAAGCATGGACTCATGCTCTACTAGCCGCAAGAGTCCTAGCCCAGACATCAGCGGACTATCCCACCGATGCAGTTGTCGGCGTTATCGAGACAACGCTTAGCTCGCTGAACTCGGATAACCGCTTCGAGAGGTATCTAGCTGGATTGGGTGGTGTCGGGTGGAATCTCGATATTGCAGCCTTGGAGACGAGGGGTGGGCGGAGGGTTGATGTTTAGTATTCGGGGTTAGATTTGGCGCTTTGGCGCTGCCTTTTGTTGAAATCGTGGATTGTGGGCGGCGTTGGTGTAGTCAGATAGTTGGGATCTGTCGCAATATGAACGAGCATCTGCGAATGGGGGTTACGGGTGCATCTGTGGAACACCCCTATTGGAAGTCTAGAGATGTCTCTTCCTCTGTCTCCAGGCTTCTGGATTGCGTTGGGTGTGGCTGTCCGACATGTGCAACCTGGGCAGATCGAGAAGGGTCTAGACGAGTTGGGTTTCGGATGAGAAGAGAGTCGGAAATCTGCTGTATTTTCTTACGTTAATATATCGGATTGAAGCATGCAATCCGGGCAATCAATGGAAATATGAGTTTGAAACGGTCCATCGTCGAACGGGTGCAGGGTCTTTGATGTATGTCAGGGCAAGAGTGCGGAGTATACAACAGCCAAAGAGAGATACGTTGAATTCTACAGCCTACATGTACTAGATGAGTTGGAAACCATGTGAAGAGGGGGGTATCAAGTCTATTGATTCCGAATAAAATGAAGATCCCGTGGAGGGAAATGAGACCAAGACAATGTCTCGACAAAAACGCCGGTGTCCAGAAGACCTGGAGATAGACCCAGGCATTCTATCCAATCTATAGATGAGGACATGAGATGATATATATGGGGTTTCTTTTCCCGTGATGCCCGCCGCAAAACAAAGGCCAAAAAAAAAAATTGACAAGTGAAGTTTGTGAAAAAAGGACGCTCAGCTGGAGACATCCAGATGAAAAAAAAACAAAAGGAAAAACGCCGGTTTCATATGCTTTCGATGCGTCATGCTCTCATACACCGCCAATATAAACGCTCGACAAAGGCTAGAATGAAGTCGTGGGATGATGCATTTCGGTATTTTCATGCAGGAAATGAGATGAGAAGGGTCGTTGAAGGGGTCGTAGTTGTCATGAGCCGAGGCGAGAAAGGGGATGTTTTGTAGGTTTTGGATATGTCGACAGGAGTGGAAATGAAGATGGGAGTATCAGGGAGAATGTTTAGTCGTCCAGACCGAGGATCTTGGGATCACGAGGACCACCATTGCTGCCTCCAGTGGAACGCTTCTTGAAGCCAAGCTTCATACCCATCTTCTTCCATGGGTTTTCGGTGCGGAGTCTGGGGCTGTGGATGGGCAGGTGTGGTTCGCTGGCAGGCGGGGTGGTTGGTGGTGTCATAGGCTCATCAACGGCAGGACTGGACTGCGGGGAGCTGGAGTCATCGGTCAGAGAGGCCGACTCGCCGCTGGAACTGAGAAGGGCGCCGGAAGTGCGTTTGCCGATGGCATGCACGGCGCCAAGCGACATAGTGGAGCGAGTGTGGCCGGTCGCGGGAAGATCCTTAGTGGATGACTGCGGGGAGATGCGCTTGGAGACACGCGACCGAACCCTTTTCACCTGATGCTCATCCAGGCTGGTGGAGGACAGATTCATGAAGTCGTCGGGGCCCATGAACGGATCGCTGCAGGGGGCCATGGAAGGGGAGGTGGTGTGGCTGTTGATGAAAGGGAGGAAGATGGATTCCTCCATAAGCTCGTGGATACGCTTCACGGCGGAATCTAACGTCTCAGGCACTGGCGGCACGGTCACATTGGTGTACTGCAGAAGCGCGTCGCGGACTTCGCTCGACAGGTTGATCTCCCGGGGCGACCCCGGGAAAATGTATGCGGTCAATAGACGCTGCCAGAGCATTCGCAGGTGCTGGGCGTCGGGGCATTCTGAGTCCAAGGCGGCGGGACCGAGACGTTCGGCCAAACTGTAGTAGGAATCCCGGTAGCGGTTGGCCTCCATGGTGAATTCCAACGTTTCCAAGCAATGGTTCTGGGAGAGGTAGGCCATGAAGGCGCTCAGGGTGTATGGGGGTGGGGCAATGTTGGCCAGCACCTCGTCGAGCGTCGGGCGCATGGAAAAGGCCCCCGACGAGATGGTCAGGCTGACCGGTCGGGAGCCAGGTGATTCCATGTCCTCTTCGGAATCGCTGTCTGAGGAGGTGGGGGACAATTCGGGGGTGGCGGTGGGAGTGTGGTGCCGGAAGAAGAGGGACGGAGCCAAGGTCTTCTTTTTAAGCATAGCGTAGAATGTGCGTCGGGGACCTCTCTTCGGCTTTTTTTCTCACCGGTCGTCCCCTACGTGTGAAACGAGGCTCCAGAATATAAAAGAACGGGTTATCGAGATACAGACATAGGATTGCGATCGAGCGATAGGAGGGGGAGTATAGTTTATAGACAAATGATAGAGACAGGGAATATAAAACGGGGACTAAAGGGCGGAAATCACAGCACTAAAGAAGCCGCAGAATAAAAAGGGCAAAGGGCGGATTCTGGAATCATTCATGACGATACCCTGGGTAATCTTTACGGGGGCACCTCAGTGGATTACGGTGGGGACGCTAAATTAGTTTCTGCGCCCAAGTGGAGTCGTCGTTCGATAAGATGTCATAATTCATTCTTTTTATTCCTTTTTCGCGCTCTTTTCGCGCTTTTTCCTTTTATTTTTCTTTTTATTCTTTTGGGATTCTTACTTTTTCTTGCTTTTTCTTTGCCCCAATCCGGCTTTTTTCGGGCTTTTTCCGAGTGCTATTTTCTGGTTGGCTCAGGCTTGGACCTACTGTGGCGACACGCTGAACTCTCACGTTTGAACAAGCGCCTGCGATCTGCAAGGGATAACCAGAAAATGTAGAGTACAGTTGTTCTGTCGAGACTCAGCCGGTACACCACCAGCACACCTGGAAGGGTGATGCAAATCCACCGTGCTTGCATCCTTCCAAGGAGGCTGTTTCGACCACTCCACAATCCTTCCAGAAGTCATACGTGTACGGAGTACATAAGCTTCCACGGGTTCTGGAAAAGAAAAGAAAAAAACGACCAATGCGCCCAACGTGGCGAGTGCAAATTTTCATTTCCCCTGAACTCCACCACGGAACACCGAGCACTCTTTGTATGATTCGAGGTACGCGCATTCCTGCTATACTACTTTCTGTAACCTGTGTTCTTTTTTTCTTCTCTACTTTGTTATGTAGTAAACAACTCATTCCTAATTGACGATAGGGCCAATCTCACTGCCACCTCGGCCCACGGTAGCCGCTAGCACACCATCCGAGACCGGAAAGTCAATCCTCGACCCACGGTTCTGTATCCAAACAATGACTGGATCGATACCGATAGATTACCGATAAAGGCGTGTCACGGCATGTCCTCCCTTGCGTCGAGGGTACTCGCCTGTCTTTGGCACGTCATCCCAAACCTTTCCCCTGTCACGTTAATCTGGCTAACCTTGATAAACTCAAACGGAGCAAATTAAATCTCAACCAAGAACTGTGTTTTAATATGTTCCTGCCGATCATCTTGCCAAAACCGGTTCTGGGGGAGGGAGATCATTTGTACTACATACTGCAGCCTCGTTGGAATGTTTGTTGCACAAGCTTCCATGTCTCTCCCATTGGAATTCTGGACGCGTACGGAGTAGCTCCTCCGTGATGGATCTTACAGGGCTGGGCCGCTTAGTGTACATCTATGTCAAAGAACCGATGAGGCTTGATTTGGTGGAGGCGAAAAGATCATTTGTAGACACCGCAAAAAATGAATTTATAAAAAAAAGACTCATACAAGAGAGAAAGAGCCGGCTACACCGTGCAGGATGGAGAACCAAATTGCAGAGATTTCTTGTCAATGCTACAATGCTACTGCATCAAGGTATAAAAACTATGCATCGGTCATCAGTGTGACCGCACCCGGAACGGGCCCGGCTTCTAGAATTCTAGAAACCCCCGCCGAAGCACTTTAGTTCTGCCTCCAATCCACACGATCGCCACGTCCAAAGTAAAATCTCTGAGCAATGTTACTAACGTGTATACAACACGCAACACGCAACACACAACACACAACATCCAATATAGCGAATCATGCGAAACCCCCCTGGCCCTGAGTTCCACCGTACGTTGTAGAGAGTTTTTATTCCCGGGTGTCGCCACCGTCAATGCTTCACGTTCCATTTGCTGTTCTGCCGAGTCTTCCCTACGTGTATGCATGCCAAGCCAAACTACACCGTTCCTCGCGGTTGACACGGTGATGGCTGTGACTGAGTCGACTCAGTCACATCCTATTTCTTCCGAGCCTGCGACCTCCGGAATGCTCCGTGCGTACGGTGTAGATTCAGATATTGGGCCTTTGCGAGACACATAACACCCAAAAAGAAATACAAATAAAAGTGGGTGACACGTTCGGCCGATTGAAAGCGAGAGCCAAGACTTGTGAGCTGGACGGGAGCTCGGTCGATCCACTTCTGCCTTCACCGTGTGATAAGAAATAGGTAATTGGGTCTTATTATCGGAGATTAGGCGATCGTCAACATCGAGTCATCCATCCTCCTGGGACTGGAACTAGGTTCTGCAATATAAGGTTCCCGTTGGACATGGCTCCTGGAAGCTTGGTTCGCCTATCGCTGGGGATTGCGTATGTGACAAGCGTCACAAGGTTTCCCAGGTTACGCGAGCATCCAGAGGCCAGAGCTATTACAATTAGTCAATTAGTCAACCCCCATTTCCTATCGGGGAAGACCCAAATCACTCTCCGTCTGCAGCCTCGACAGATGAGATAGCAAGACAGTCCTCCGGCACGGAGTCAACAGAGTTCACCTGCACCTACAAACCATAATTCAATGGCAAACCGTTAAACTGTCAGGGAGCATGAGATCTGTAGAACCAAAGAATATACATACAGCAACGTGCATATCAATAACCCAACCACACGCTGCCTAATATCCTCGCAAGTCCCCCCAGCAAACGCGCCAAGGGCAGCATCCTAGTCCAGTAACCAAAGCCAAGAACCCTCCCACGTAGCAGAGACCCCGTGAGCCTCGGACACTTGCGACCTCGCAGCATCTAATGATTCAGCTACCAGAGCTAAGGGGCAATAAAAGCCGCAGATCCACAATTTCCCCGTTCCCCAAGGTCCAGGTGCTCCGTACTCCGTGCTCCGTACTCCGTACATAGGATGTGGTAAGAGACACGTTCCCCACAGCGGTGCGCACGGGATGCCCTCACGCCCTTGAGGGAACGGCGTCTAGGCTTCGACTTAAGCGAGACCGAGTGGATACGTCACTCGTGTGTTTGGCTTTGGGATGACTATTTATTTGTATATGGGGTAGGGGCACGGAGTACGGAGTACGGAGTATGTACGGAGTATATTTCTCTGGGTCTGGGGAATTATTAAGAATGAGGCTTTTTTGACTAATGATCCAGGGCTGTTCTCCGTATGGCGTCTCTAGTCCTCTTTTTATTGAATTGGGGCAGTCGGCGCCCTCCGCTGTGTGGACCGATGTCGTAGCATATCGGTCTATCGTTTGTGGTAGCACTGTTAAGCCTGCGACTCGTGCATGGGAAGCACCTGCACGATCCTTGACGATAATGCCTATATCGCCGTTAGTGTCTTAGCTAGTGTGACCATTTCTTTGACGAAAGTCGGGAGTCTCGCCCTATTGGAAGATCCGACGATATCCGAGCCTGTTCATAGCCACCTCATTCAATCCAAAAATTGATCTAAAAAAAAGAAAAGTGGCCCAAGCAAGGAGAAGATAAAACGAGGCCGGATCTACCCCTGAAATCTTAGTCTGCACTCTCGCATGACGTGCAGCCACGGCGTCACTACGGCCTTGAGATTAGCCGAGCAATATATTCATCTCGCGATAGGAACAGTGAATAGATTGCAGATCAACACGGGATGATCATGGGTTAAGGCCCTGTTCCAGACCGGTGGGAACATTGGCTCGACACTAGCCAATCCGGTGAGCTAGCCTGGGCGAAGTAAACCCAAAATACAAAGAACACGCTAACACAATCACACAGCACGAGAGGACCAGGAGAATAGACCCGGCAACCCGACAGAGCGTCCGGAGTCGATCAGACGGCAGAAGCCGCAAATGACCTCATTCGCTCCACTCGGTGGCCACAAATCTTGATTTCGAACGTTTCCAACACGATAGCAAGCAAAATAATAGCAGGAGACGGGGTTCCAGAGATGAGCTCAAGACCTGAGTCTGGCGTGGGAAACACTCCATCTCCATATTCTGTAGCGCAGTATGCGGTATTTTAGAAGAGTGGGGAGCCTTCTAGATTACCTCGCTCCAGGCGCTTAGTAGGACACTTCGGTCTTAGCCTAGACTGTAGGCAACGATATATACATCTGGTCATTCATATTCCGTATGCTACTACTCTAGGCGCTCATGGAAGCTGACCATTCCCGTTTCGAACGCCGATCCCCGGAACTGAGGAGTCTGTTTCATATTCAGATCCTGGATTACATAGGGTTGCCTTGGCTATACATTGTGCACCCTGCGCTCTTTGTTTCTGGGGATATATCACATGTACCCTTTCGCTAGATTCAACTCTGTTGTGCATTGAGCACCGTGGACGGAGTACTGTGGACGGAGTACTATGTACGGAGTACTGCGTACTGCGTAGGAAAAGGAAAAGAAAAAGAAAAAAGTCCCCAATCGCTCCCAGCTCAAGAAGCTAAGCTCCAAACCAATAGCAGCCCGTCCCACTGCAGCCACCCAATCCCAAACACCGGACCAATCGAGATGCATGCAGAACGAGGTAGTCCCCCAGTCAGAAACGCCCACGGCGTCAGCCCATCCCCGCATACTCCGTACAGGCAGAAAAAGACCAAAAAAAGAGAAAATGAAACTGGTCTCCCAGCCACGCCAAGGAAAAAAGAAAAGAAAAAGAAAAAGAAAAAAAAAAGGTCTCCCCCAAATGCGGGGAAATAACACACGCCAACGCAGCTAACCTGCCACTAGAGCGGATCGGGCTAATACGCGCAGCTTGAACATGAGCTGGACGGAGGACGGGCCGCTGACTGGTTGCCTTGGACGGTGGGGCTTGTAGACGTGGAGTTCTGATCCTGACGGTTTCTTACTGTTGGCTGGTGCTGACGCTGTATTGGTGGCTAGGGAAGGAGAGGGAAGGAGAGGGAAGGAGAGGGAAGGAGAGGGAAAGGGAGAGAAGATGCTCAGAGAATCCCGGATCCTCTCGAATCCGGGGTCTTGGCTGTGCTGAAGCCCCCGTATTCAGATGCATATGCAGATTCTCGTCATTGGCTGACAGGTCCTGATATGACTGCTCTAATGTGGGGGATCGGGGATCGTTATTGGCGGAGCACGAAGTACAGAGTACGAGGACAGGGATCATGTATCCTGAGAAAAGGGGGGATGGCTTCTGCTTATTGGGTCTGGCAGGGGAACGGACCTAAGGTAGATGGACGTCAGTGGGCTCCCCACGCTTCATTGTGCAACGGACGTGCATGTCGAGTCGGCGATGCTGTTTAGGGCAACGATTGCAGCAACTCTCGGCAGTGGCCATCGTTAGGGTTTCCAGTTGCAGAAATCGGGATGATCGGCGGACATGGTTTCTGTTAGCAATTGAGATCATACGACGGGGTGGAGGGTGGCTAGTCTCAACGTGGGCATGTTGCTGGGCTGCACATGCGTGCTATATGCACTCTGTGAAGTACAGAGGACGGAGGACGGGGGGGACTGGGGGACGGCTTGGATTGTATGACTCCCGGGAAGGGTAGTCCAGATAGACAAGGTGGACATTGCATACCTTACTCCGTACTTGGGAGATGTCAGGTCAACGCTAGACTACTCCACCCCCGATCTTCTGTGACTGTGTGTCGGTGGCCAACGTCATGCTCTGACATGCCACGGACGGGTGATCCTTGCATTAGCGTGGTATCATGTAGAGCTGCAGAATAGCTACACGGTGGCTGCACTATGTCAGGGATGCAACCAGTCAGGGGCGTGTGATTGCCACGAGAGGGAGAAATGGAGTGGCAACATTACCTTATGTACTCCGTAGATAGGTTGGGTCTGGATGTATTGCCAGAGAGCGTCGAGGGCAAAAGTGGCACGTTGCTGGAGATGGGAAGCAGAAGGGGGACAGCTATATGTAGATAGGTACAGAATGGATGTACTTAGTTATATGTAGGCACTGCTGTACTTCAGGGCTACCTTGCATTAGGGGAGTACCCCAGGTAGTCTCAAGTCGCAGCCGTTTCTACCTCTGCATCGAAAAAGGCAACCGACAATGACTGGAAGACTCACTTCCACTATGCGCGGATTTGGAGAGACCTATCTCCCAAGTCTACAGTTGCATCAACGAAACTTGAGTGAGAATTCGTAGAGTCATGACCGCTCACCCCACAAACCTGCCCACACCCAGTCGGATGCAAGAAGTGCCCGAGTATTACAGAGAAATGGACAAAGGACAAGTTATATTGCTATGGATCTTCTTCGGATCTAGAAAGGAGGATTTAAAATGCAACAGCTCTTATTACAGTGATTATTTATATACGCCGTACGAATAACCGCAAAACACTTGTGAGCACAAACCAAATGAACAAAAAAAGAAGAATGCTATCTTATGCCACAACTACCAGTAACAAGGACTCGCTTCTGAAACAGAGCAAGAAAAGACCAAAAAAAAAAACAAACAAACAAAAAGACGATTATAGACATGGACAATAGATCTTTGGAACAATCAAAGGGGGCAGAGCAGACGAGTTGATGAAAACGGAGAAACGCGGAACTGAGACGGGGTTATATGCAATATGCTCTTCCTCTAGGGCTTGTAGATGAAAACAGAACCATGTAGGGGAAAGGAGGTTCTTTTGCCCGGATGCGCATAGGACGGGAGGAAATCGCAAGAATGACATGACCATGGCAGCCTGGCGAAAATGAAGCACGCAAACCAAAACGAGAGTTATCTGACGTACTTGTCCAGTTGATGAACGGGACGAAATGAGACCGAGAAGTGTCTCCCAGAGACACGGGCAAGCATGGCCCAAGGTCAATCGCCAGGTTTTGATTGCTCTCTCTCTCTCTCGCGCGCAGCTCACTCCATCCCCAGGGCGGGGCTGAGCCACCAAGCCTTGCCAATTCTCCTGCGCGAGTGGAAGCCATCAGTCCAAGTTATTTGTCTCTCGAGCCAGCCACGAAACAAGGTCCCTGGACGACGGACCGTGAGCCGATAGCATCAGAGGATCAACCGCTGAGGCATCTGCCCATTTGAAAGACCAAAATTGGTATTAATCGGTGCACGCCGGATATAGTGACGAGATGAGGAAGCAAAATCGAAAACACAAGACAGAAATCTCACAAGTTCGCCGTTCCGAGCCGTAGCACCATGAATGAGTGATGAGACGTAACATCAATGAGAGAAAGGTTGTTCCTACCCACAGTCAAATGAATAAGCTGTAGGGTCGAATGGGAAAAAAAAAATAGAACAAGCAGAGTAAGGCCAAAAGGAGATTTAGGCCGAGAAGCTCGATTCTTGCTTCGCAAAGCGGAACTAACCACTTCAACACGAGACAAGAAAAGAGCCAGAGGTGAAAGTAAACAAGAAACAAAAAAAATAAAGAAACAAAACGAAGAAATCCCATGCCGACCTCCTTGGGCCATTGTCTGACATAAAGGGCAGGAAGCAGAGGTTTAAGCGTGGCGCGGAAAGTCTAGATGCGCCATCGCTTCATTTGACTTGAATTCAACCTGGATCCTGATATGAGCTAAGTGCTCAACTGATGAATGATAGCCGAATCACCTACCGCAGCAGAGAGCTTTCATCAACTTCTGCGTGAAAGTGGGTGGCTCGTCATTGGTGCCAGGAGCAGGTTGTTGGTTGCTCAATCCTTGATTGCCTGCGCTTCCGAGGCGAGCTGGGAGGTGAGCGTTGGAGTTCTGGAACTGTGCCTGGGTGGACGCGGCCGGAGTCGATGCTTCCATTCCCCCGCTCTGGCGTTTGGGTTGCATGCCGCCGGCGCTTGAGCGATCGCGCGTCTTTCCCGCTCCAACTTTTGCCGGAGAAGGTGGCGGGGGCTGCGCAGCGTTTAAACGATCGGCGGTCACGCCGGGACGTTGGCTGTTGCGAAGCTCTCGTGCGTGGAGGTCACGACCGGATGAGTTTTGGTGCTGGTTGTGCAGATGCGCCTGGGGCGAGTAGGATTTGTAGTCCCAGCCCCGACCGTTGTTGAGGTTCATCCAGTCGTACTCGCCATCCTCAACCTCACCGGCGTTCTTGAGAGCTTGTGTCAAGATATCACGGAGATAATCGTAGTCAGGAGTATCCTCGAAACCAAGATTGCGCACGTAGCTCAGATACTTGTTGAATTCTTCTGACGGAATGATTAGCAGATGAACATATGTGGATACGGGGGTAATAATGTACCTGGATAACTATCACAGAGGTCTTTGATCGCCGTCGTTTGCTTCTTCTCGCCGATTTTCTCATACTTTTGCTTGTTGGTAGCGGCCTTCAGGCCCTGCCAAGGAAGGCCACCCCTCAAGAAGTACATGAAGACATGACCGAGGGCTTCTAGGTCATCACGTCGAGACTGTTCACGGCCCAGATGCGTGTTGATACTCATGTAACGAGCAGTGCCGGACAAAGATTTACGCTCACGGTAGGGGATGTGTTGTTTGGTCTTGGGATCGCGGTATTGCTTAGCCATACCAAAATCAACCACGTGAATGACGTTGGCCGCCTTGGTTGATGGTCGGCCAATAAGGAAGTTGTCGGGCTTGATGTCTCGGTAGATGAGGTTCTTCTCATGGATCGTTTGAACGCGGGAAAGCTAGAGTAACCGTGAATAATGCGCCATATTGCAATTCTCAGCAGGGAGACGTACCATCTGCTTAGCAACCATCACAACGGTCTTGGTAGAGAAACGGCGGTTGCAGTGATCAAAGAGGTCCTCAAGAGAAGGACCGAGGAGATCAATGACGAGGATGTTGTGCAGACCCTCCTGTCCAAAGTAATAGACATTGGGAATGCCCGCTGAGATGAAGTTAGGAAAATGGCACGACATCTCTCCCTAGATGTAGGACACTTACGGCATCCAACCAGGATCTTGTATGTCCGGTACTCATCGCGGAGTTGGGGTGCATCGCTTTTTCGAGGTTCCTTGTTTTGGGTCAGCCTGGGAGGTCGTTGCGACGAAGGGGGAAGGAAGCGTACGAATTTGATGGCGACCTGCTGGTTGTTCAGGAGATTGGTGCCCTCAAAAATGACACCAAAGGATCCTTCACCGATTTTCTTGCCCACACGGTAGTGGACGCCCACGACGTTCGAGGAGGAGGAAGCCATGGATGCGGGAGTGAGAATTGGAACCCGGGGAAAGGAAACCTTAGATCACGGGGGGGGAATGGGCTTCAGGGACCTAAACACGTGATTGATACTCTCACTGGACGCAGTCAGCAAACACTCAGTCCACGGCGAACAGTGCCAGTGCCGGTATTGAGAGTGACATACACCACAATGATGTATATTTTCTTCCGGCCGAAGGAGGTCTAACAGGGTCACAATGGGGTCTAGTGGATTGCCCAATAGCCGGTGGACCGGGGACGGCAATGATACGAGACAGGGCGGCGAACAGGATGCAGGATCGGAGTGTGATGAAAGGAAAGGACGTATAGAGCTGTCGCAACCAGTGGGGAGAATTGGTAGGAGGAATTGAGGGTCCCTTTTCGACGGTCGGGGGAGTGACGAGGGGGTTGAGGCCGGGAGCCAGAGAGAAAAGGGGGGGAAGGAGGGAAGAGCAAAAGGCAGGGCACTCGACCTACTGCGAGTACTCGGCGCACTGAGCAGTGGTTCAAGGAATAACCAGAAGACCAGAGAAGGGGGATGGAGGAGAGGAAGAAAGGGAAGGTGTGCTGGAGAGAGGGAGGGTATTAGGTGTGTATTGGAAAACGACTCCTGGGGGGCCACGGCGGAGGAACTGACGGTCTCAGCCGTACGGCACCCGTATGGTAATTTTGGGGCTGTTGGGGGGAACCCTTCTGAAGCCTATGAGAGGCCATCGTCTCCATTGCTCTCCATACTCCGTACACTCTCGCTCTATATTAAAAGGCGTTTTTGCCCATCTCTATCATGCCGGGGAAAGCCACGGAATTGGCCACCTTCCAAGCTTTCTATCTTCTATCCTATAGCTCAGACCTCCTCGGCGCTTCCGAGGCGGCTGCAAGAAACCAGGCACACATAGCAAAATCAAGCACGGCTCCATACTCCGCAGGGGGGGTACGGAGGATCTCTCTTGGACCGAAAATACCTAGGCAGCTCCCAAGATGTTCCAAACTTGGAATGACAAGGAAGAAGGGCCGGTTTCAATTTTTTTTTTTTTCTTCTCAGGGGAGTTTTTCCGTCTGGACTCGGTCTGGAATGTGCTTAATCAGGTGGTAATATTACCGTCTTGGCAGGACGAAGGGCTCCTCTCTGCAATGGGTTGTCGATCGCAGCAGAAATCGATACTTGCGAAGTTTATATGATGCATACCCCGATCTTCATTGGATATGACATGTCCACCAGACACGATTGTACGGAATACATTTCAGAATATGCCTATGTTGTACTCCGGAGAGCGCGCCCTGCAGGCTTATCCCACGTTACAGGTTAGGGGAGAAGAGTGTGACGAGACGGCCGACACCGTGTCGATTGGTCCCTAGTTATCTGCAGGAACATCCTCGGCTTCACTCCCGAGCTCGTCTTTGACAAGGTCCATCTCCTCATCACTGTCTTGTCCATCGTCGTCCTCATCATCGTCATCTTCACTGCTGGACCCGCTGCCTTCACTGTCGTCACTGCCGGGATCGTAGTCCTCTTCTTCTTCATCCTCTTGATCTTCAAGCTCCCGCTGGGCTTTCTGGAGCTCGCTTTCATCTTCAGCGGCTCCATCGGCGGGTACTGCGGCGTCCTCTCCAGTTTTATTGACATTATAGACCTTGGCGCGCCGTGCCTCCGCGAGACTGGCATCCTGGAGACCATGTCGTTTGATGTAGGTATCGATACCGGAAAAATTATCCTGGTCAATCATCGAGAATTCAAATTCTTGAATGTCTTCCTCGGAGCCATTGGCTGGGCGAGCCATGACATTCAGGTTGAAGGTGCGCTGGAGAACAGATGTATATGACACAGAGTCAACAGTAGCGAACGAAAAGAACAAAAGCGGTTTCTTGAATGCAAATAAGATACCTGTGGAGAGAAGGAACAGATAGCCTGGAGGAGTGATATTATATTAGCAAGAGCGAGGACGAAACGAACTCAACCCCAAAACCGAGATAGGGGTATCACATACCTTCTTTGCTGCCACGGAATGCCTTGACATGGTATGCTTTTTCGCCCTTTCGGTGCGCCTCAGGCATAGCACTGACAAACTGTTTCTCATCGGGGCGCACAACATTGGCGTGAGGCATGTTCTCGTTCAGAATCTGCCGGATCAATCCCTCGGCCGTTTCTCCAGCACCGTGGCCAATCTGCTTCCCGTCTCCTGAGAATGCAGTCTTGGCTGGCCCATCAGCTATCGTAAACACCATAGCTTCAGAGGCTGTTGTTCCTTCGGGCGGTGGTGTGATGCCATCAGCATACTCGGGAATGATACAGAAATTGAACTGCTTTTGTGTCTTTTCCGGCACAGGAAGACAGAGAGCATGTCCTAATTGTAGCAAGGGATCACATTAGCAACTCTTGTTGACCCTGATTGTCGACCAGGTTCGAACTTACGAATCTGATCCATTGAGACACCGAATTCAATCTCCTTCGTAGCCTGATTTCTTGCCCGAAGATACGCATGCCCGGCAGTAATCTCGAGCGTGAGCTTCTTCCTCTGTGGTGTAGAGAACGAAACATCCTGGACGTAGAACTGGACTGGCGCATTGGGATCTTTCAGGTCAACTGACGCCTGCGCAGTCTCCCCTGAGTCTCCATTCTGAAGCTTGCGCTTTTTGGCGGCAGGGCCATCAGCGGCCGGGGGCCGCGAAGGGAGGCTAGTGTTGGCAGTCCTGGCCAGCAGGCTGGAGGTGTATTTGGCAAGATCTTCGAACAAAGGTTTGTGGTGTGGTGTTTGGCCTATACGATAACACCAATTGGCGACAGTCAGTAGGGAGTCGACGGGGTCATCGAATGGGGACGTGGGTGCGCCGTTGGCTACGCACCGATCGCATCGTAGACTCGCTTTTTCAACGAGGGTTCCGTCGCGAATGCCTCCTCGATGGCGGCGATGGGCGCGCCCGTTGAATTAATACTGGCAAATGCCATGTTTATCGCAACTGCTTCCAACAGAACAGCAGTGCAGAGAGATGCAGGTTACTCGGGGGATTGGGGGCAAATAAATGTAAGGGCGGGCCCGAAATATCCGCATCGACAAGAAACCCTAACAGGACAAGGTGGATTTTATGAATTTAAAAGGCTCAAATTTCAGATAGCTCTGCCGGAGAATAGATATATGAGTAAATGCAAAGCTTCATACTAGAATACAGTGGTTTGTACACAATGCTACAGGGTAGAAATCCCTCCCTGACTTCAATCTTCTTCGCTCAATCAAGCAACCTGCTTGGACTTTGACTTCTTGGACTTCTTGGACTTCTTGGGCTGGGTCGGGACGAAATTCCCTGATTCTTGGAGGTGCTGGGCAATGAAAGCAATGGAAGCCTTGGTCATTTGAGGGTTTCCATTGGCATCCAATTTGGCCTCCCTCCGTGCCGCGGCTTGAGCAATCTTGATGTTTTTGGCATCTGTCTGCGGTGTCATCATGGAGACAGTTTGTCTGTACTCCTTGCGATAGTCCTGCTTCATCTTTTGTGCCAGATATTCTGGGTCGTGTCGAGTGCGGAACCTAGAGTATTTGTTGCGCAGCTCATCAATAACGGTTGATGGCATGGGTGGCTGCGCCAGTGTGGGAATGAATGTGCTCATCTCAGCCGCCATTCGTGTTGTGTCCATGTCACCATCGGTGATGACAGGTTCGTCCTCCAACGGCCAGGGGATCTCAATGTCCAAGCCGGACACATAGCGAGTATATCTTGGGAGTTTGCTGTGTTCGGATCGCTCGGTATAAGGCCCAGCAGCATAGGCATGCTCAACAATGACGTTTTGCAACTTTCCACTCTCCGCGTCTTCAAGTGGAATGACGTGTCGGATATCGTCGAAGGACACTGGGAAGGGCTGCGCTTGGGTATCGCCTGCGCCGGCCATCCTATCTTTGGCCCATTCAGGAATGATCACGTCACCCTAGAAAGAAGAAACATAGGTTAGCGACATGTTCTGACGACTGAACCATCATTGAGATGGACACATGACCCGCCATAGACATACCACGTTGATATCTTTGATGAGAACGGTCTCGCTATCCCGGTTGACCTGCTGGATGACGTTGATCTTGCCCTGGTCGCGTCCTCGCACAACACAGACCCGGTCGCCTTCGGCGAAGAGGACGTGCCTCCGCTGTTCATGCTTAGGAAGGCGCGGTGGGTGCAAGGTCACAGCCCCCTGACCACCGTATGTAGTGCGGTCCAGACCAGAATCTCGCATGGGGGCAAGCGGTCCCTTTTCCCAATCCTCCCAACGGTTCTTTCGTGCTGCTTGAAATTGACCAGATAGTGCGGCGCCGAACTCCTTCCGCGAGCGTCGAATCCCGACACGTTCCAACAGTTCCTGTCGTTCATGGGCTTTGTTGGTTTTTCGCAGTGCCTGCTTCCGGGCCGAAGCCGTCCGTTGGATGACTCTCTGCATATCGGGCGTGGTGGTCCAGCAATGGCCGAACGTTGTCTCTGTCCTGGGATCCCCGATATGCGGATCGAAAATTGAAGGTGTCCGACGAGCCACGTGATCGGGCGGTCAATATGTATTATGTCATCCTCCCAATAGCTCGCAACGACATCGAGACTAGACACTCTTGCCAGTACCGTGAGCTGGTGATTCAGACAAAAATACCGTTGATCATGGCGTATAGAATACGCCCCAACAATGGATATATCCGCAGAAGGGAAACTTCCACAAAAGGTAGGGATGATCAACCAGACTTGACAATGCCAACAAACATGTCTATAGATGCCAATCCTATAGAGGTCATGTTAAATGATATCATCCCCATATGCAGCCCTCCGTCTCAATCCACTTGTTATTAACGAATTAGGTGCAAGTACGTAATCTATCTACATGAAGCTAATCACTTCGCAGTATCGAACGCTACAATGGAAAGAAGACTACGAAAGGGACCATCTCAATCTTGGAACATATAGTACTAAAAAGATATATTTAGGTGATATTAATACCATATTCGACAGTATATAGTATTTTAGTCATAATGATCTATAGTTGTAAGACAGGGATATCAAGAGCCCGGAAGCATCCATACCTGGGGGCCTTCCCGTAGATAGATGCCAAATTATCTGAAAGGCCATCACCTAGCAGAGCTCATCCAGGTCAACATCGCCTATAGCGGCTGAAGCCTTGCTACCAATTTTTATGCTTCGGACGATCTTAAAACACAGGCATTTACTAGGACATCGTCTCAGAGGAATGCAGGCGGATGAACCTCTTATAACTTATAAGGCAGCGTCCTACTCCGTACCACAAGACAACTGGATGTCTCAGGCGTATTGGATCTATCATGGCCATGTCATTACTGGTAATACCCTGCTTTAGTATGTGTCAACTCCAAGTCCTCATTGGGATAGTTATTATTGAAAAAATCCAGCGAAAAAAACCACCAACCAGGATGGGCCACGCTCTTGTGAGGCGAAATGCTTGGCCTGCTTTTCTCCATATGTAAGGCAGCCAATACCTTCATTTGTATCGCGAGTGGAGTAAGATAACGCGTCCAATCTTGAGGAATTCGACCCGTTGTCGTGTAAAATGAGAGCATGACCTGCTTGCTAGACGCTTGTGAGCTGGAGGGGGAACGCTAGAGGAAAAGAAGAGGAAAGAAATCAAAAATGTTGTGGATGGTGTCTAGTGTGCCCCCAAGACACCCGTTACTTTGAGGTTCACATTCTTGCAAGAGATGAAGTCGAAATCACATGGTCTTTATACAATCACCTCATTTTATACCAAAACCCGAACTTCTGTACGCCATAGTGCCCTAGAATGACAATATAAAGCCCTCTGGTGGGCAAGGAGATTCTGATTAGTTATGACCAATCCTTGGAGGTCGTCAGGACCTGCATGTGCTTCAGTCATGTCTTCAGTCAAGAATTGGAATATGCCAGGGCGCTCCTTTTGTATGTCGAGTCGACCGCCACAACATTGGCACCTTTCCACAGGCATGTAGGTTGAGTCGCAGAAAATCACAAAGAGGAACGGTCCGAACGGAGTACGGAGGACCAATATATCGGACTCCAGATGTGCAGGACGTACCACTCGGATTTAATTACGGCGGAATATGTACGGAGTACTCCGTAATTGAGATGCTAAAGAGTTTGTACCCACTAGGAAATCGGGTTTCCTATTTTTGTCCCTCAGACACTTTTTAACGGCTTGTGGATGCAAGCTCCAGGATTTAGCCCCTGGGTACTATTTTTAGCCCACACAGCGCCATTATTGGAGCTGGCAATATCACAGATCCACTTTTAAAACAGCAGCTTGAAGAATGTTATGGAGTGATGAAAGCTCAGAACCAAGCGAAAAGGGTTCGAATTTGATTGGTTCGAACTAAATATCGAAAATTCCACCCTTCCCGATCTGACAACACACTCGAGTCAGCTAGGACCCCCTTGGATACAGTCGCCCATGGGAAGGGTTGTGTCAGGAGCAAAGAACATGAGCTCAAGGCGATGTTCTGCCTCCAGCCTCCAAAAGTGCTGAGTTTGTATAGAACGTAAACGTACCAGTGTATAATCGCAATGCAAGCCGAAGGCTCGGAGGGATAGGGAAGATTAACGCCAGAAGGAGTAGGGAACTATCGGAGCGATCGTCACTGGACACCTAAGTCAAGCATTTTAGAGGAAGGTTATCAGCGCAGGCAGCCACGTAGGAGCACTGCCCGTAAACGTAGCTCGCATATCCTAGTCAGATAACCGGTTATACGAAGTACTTTGTCTGCGGAACTCGAACAGAGCTGAGCGATACTTCTGAGTTATGCGCTGGTGAGTCCCATGGATACGTATCTTGCGGTTTCCAGTGTTACCCCACAAACGCCCAACTCAAGTTGTGACGGAAAATATATGTATACGGAGTGTATCGTAAATAGACATTGAATGGACCGAGCTTAGGAATTTGCCATCTTAGAAAGATCTGGCGGTTGATGTTCAACGGTATTCGAGGTATCAATTCTCGAAGTTCAGAAAGGGAAAAAGAAAAGCAAAATCGAGTACGTAGAATACGTAATCCGTAGTATGAGAGGAGCTCATTGCCCACAGCATTGGATATCACATTGGATATCAGATGCAATGCATCGAGGTCACACCGCCACGCGTGGCGGTGTTGTTGCTGACTGGGAACAAAGAGACCAAGTGGACCTTGTCTTACGTCTCAGCCACACATCCTCTGGGCTGTGTCGCTCTCAGGACTTTTTCCACTTTCGCAAAAGGGGAGAAGCGATAAGCCACAGTATCGAAAAGAGGAAGCCTGAAACTCAGGGGGTATACTACGGAGTACGGAGTACACATGGGGACCTAGGCATGTGTGTGCTCATTGTACAGCGTTAGCACGATTGGGGTAAAGTACATACCAAATACCAAGAACCAAGACCCGTGCGACGTATTTGGGCTGTACCTTTAACGTGGGCACATGCGCAAGCCGATACTTGCTCTGGACTGTTGGAGGTGACTCCTCCAGGGGGAAAACCACAATACCGTAAACCAAGCAACAACAAATACCGTAATACTGCCACCGCCCGCTGTTGTCTGGCCTGGTCTTCTATCTTTCTCTCCTCCACCTCCAAATCATCAATCCATCGTCTTTTTTTCCATCGTTTCCCATCGGAAATATCTCCTTCATCTTCCTGATTTCTCTAAAGCTGTTGCTGCTGGCACTAGCTGACCTATTACATTAAAGGTACGACACCGTTGCGCCCGAGGACACCACATGGGATCACCCTTTTCCCTTACCCCCCAGGAGGGGACCTAAATTTCTCCCTTTCTCTTGGACCATTTGTCCCTGTTACTCCCCCCCCACACATTTGTGTACATTCTTCATCTTGAAATTTGTGGACTTGCGGGGTTCCCTGGCCCGTTCTTGCCGTTTGCCCCTATACTGACTTGTTCCTTATCAAGATGGCCGAGATCCGTCGCAAGCTCGTCATCGTCGGCGATGGTGCCTGCGGTAAGACCTGTCTGCTCATGTGAGTATTGAAGTCGGCTCCCTTATCGAGGGTGCTACCCGAAACCCCGTGTGTACTTATTGGCTCGGCGATCTGACTAAAGTTCATAGTGTTTTCTCTAAGGGTACCTTCCCCGAGGTAAGCTCTCCTCCTTAGACATTCCGATTCCCGATATTATGTTCTTTTGCCCAGCAAAATGGGACATTTGCAAAGCAGTACCAAACCGAATCATAATCTGACTTTATTTGTCAGGTCTACGTTCCCACCGTCTTCGAGAACTACGTCGCCGATGTGGAGGTTGATAACAAGCACGTCGAGCTTGCTTTGTGGGATACTGCTGGCCAGGAAGATTACGACCGTCTCCGTCCCCTTTCATACCCCGACTCACATGTCATTCTGATCTGTTTCGCCGTGGACTCACCCGATTCGCTCGACAACGTCCAGGAGAAGGTGGGTGTTCCCCTTTTCTGTTAATCGATCACAAATCCTAGGACAACCAAATTTCTGGGTTCCAAGCGGACCGAATATGCTGACACGCTCCAATAGTGGATTTCCGAGGTTCTGCACTTCTGCCAGGGTCTCCCCATCATCCTCGTCGGCTGCAAGAAGGATCTGCGCGACGACCGCAAGACTATCGATGAGCTTGCTAAGACCTCGCAGCGCCCCGTTTCGCAAGAACAGGTGCGTTTTTGTTCTACCCCGCTCATGGTCGATTCAGTTTGAACTAACAAACCTATTTCTACAGGGTGAGGAAGTCCGCAAGAAGATCGGCGCCTACAAGTACCTTGAATGTTCCGCTCGTACCAACGAGGGTGTCCGTGAGGTCTTCGAGGCTGCCACTCGTGCTGCCCTCCTGAAGACCGTCAAGGGCAAGGGAGCCCGCAAGCCCAGACCCACCTGCCTGATTCTGTAAACTAACCCTATTGTCGAGGTGGTCTGGCTCGAGCAAAGATCATATGGATGAGAGCCTCCACAGAAAACAATCGGGGATGTTGTTCTCGGAAAGGAGGAGGGCTTCATGGCCTGCATGCGAGATTGTGGATAATATCGAATCCGGGCACCCGAGTCGTGGAGTTTCCCCCACAATTCAGCTGGTCGACCTTGTGTTTTTCTTTTGCCTTTATTTTGCAGAATTTGTCTAGGGAGGCGTTGTCTTCATCATAACCCTGTGGGCTTTTTTTCTTTCTCCTCGTTCCCGCACCGTGAATTTTTCAAATGCCAAACTGCCACGTTGGAGTGGCAAGTATAAAACGACAGAAAAGAACCCAAAAAAGAAATCAGAATGAGAAGAATCAGGAGGTGAAGAGGAGAAGCCATGCAGTGTAGCATCGGTTGTGCAATTTGGTCAACGCTGTGACTCGCCTTCCCTGGTCGAGCTCCCCCTGTGTCATAGATTCTTCTCCCTGCGGTTATCTCCCCATACGCGAAGAGCTTGATTCGGCTTTTATTGTTTTCTCTCTCTCTCCTTCATTACATTTGTTTTTTTTTTCTGTTACAGCTAATGCATGGTACTGTCTATTTTCATTTGACATATGTGTATCTTGTCCACTGTAGTTCGGAATCTTTCCGACTTGCGTAGTTCAGTATATGTAAATATTGAATCTGTCGAACGTTTCCCATGTGTCCATGCAAGGGTGGTTGATTGAACTGTCATGTATACCTATTTTGGTAGAAATGCATACAAAGCCCCCACAACTCCACAACTGCATACTCCACTCAGCCCCATCTCATCGATTCAAACTGAGCAGACCCTCGATATACCGCCGGGCATCCATCCCAAGCCCTTCTACCAGCTTTGACGGAGCCATGTCTGCCGCACGGGAAGACGTCAATCCAGTAGAGGGAGACCCACCCCCTAGATCACGGAAGAAGCGAGTACTACTGCTGACACGCCCATGGCTGGAGGTGTAGTCGCTTGCCTTGCGGACAAGGAAGGCCTCCTGTGGCGGAGGGGCGGAATGTGCTTGGAACTCGGTTGCGGGGAAGGGGTCATCGGTGTTGATGGATGAGAGGGCTGCGGATGATGAGGTAGTAGATAATACGGTTGGAGTGTGAGGTGTGCTCTGGGGAATGCGGACCCAGACAACCCACCATCCGCGGTGGGTTTTGCTTGTGCGTTCAAGTTCTTGAGGACGAGACCGCGTGTCTATGTATGTTGACAGAAGGCGGTGGTGAATTGCTAGGCTTTCGACGCGGGACCAGGGTGGTGGGATTGGTGATTTGGAGGGAGAAGTCGAGGGGGAGGGGGATGGTGAGTTGGGTGGTTGGGGGGAGTGGGAGATAATGCTCAGGCTGGGGATGTTGGGGATGGAGGAGCGGATGGTTAAGTTGTATGGATCGTAGACTAGGTCATATACAGGCTGGGTTCGAGAGGAGAACCGTCTGCTGGGGTCTGTGGATGTGTCAGACATGGCGATTCGAGAAGCTGCTGTTGTTGGGGATGTTGATGACAGAAGTGATTTCTGAAGAGGACCGAGTTGGTGATGAATGCTGGTGTAGAAAGACGGTGATGACAATACTGGTGTTTGAGATTCGAAGAGGAATGTAAACATGAAGGGTTGATACTGGTGTAATACATCAGTAGCTGGGTTCCGTGAGATAGGAAGAGACAGAAACATACCACGTAGATCACGACCCGAAGCTTTCTTGGACTCGTATCTGGACCACCTACCAGGTGGAGATATACAGTCCTATGCACAATACGCGTCTTGGGTTTGCCATTCTCAGACTCGGGCTCTGGGCTTGCCTCTTCTAGATCATCCAATTTTTCTAAATCATCACGAGGTCCCAATACAAAATGACCCGAAGGATTGTTCGTCGCGCTATTGCGGGGTTTCGCGTCACCCTGCGGCGATTGTGAATCACTGTTAGGCTGCTCCTTTGGGGCCGAGGTGTTCGGATTAGATCCATCTTGCGTTGGAGGCGTGGATGCCGGCCTTGGAGAGAAACCCCAAGAGGAACCATATCCAAGAGTGAGGTATCTCATCACTGTCTCGGTTGGGAAACCTGTGAGTTCGCTCTTTTCTTGGGCGCGAGGCGGCGAGCCCTCATGTCTTGGTTCTGTTCGATTCTCGACACGTTCTGGGAGTGGTTGTGGTATTGCCATTACGAGTGGACGGGGTATGCCTGGTGTAAAGCTGCGGCGATCCGATGTTGAGGACTGAGGAGCATCTTTTGAAGCTTGCCTTCCACGCTGCTTTCGTGACTTGCGGCGACGCAGCGAGGTTGGGTCCCGCCCAACCCCATATGTAGCATCTCCGAATCGATAAATGCATTCCATCCAATGAGACACTTTGGACAACGAATCTCGCGAAAGGGCACCAACACCAGTGAACACTACACCATCGGATGGTCGAGGATGATTATCTGTCCCAAGCCATCGGCTTTGGTCATTTAACCCCGTCGACGACGGTGACCCCTCGACCTGCGTGGGGAGATCACCAAATCTCGAAACGACGAGATCCACCAAACCCTCAGTTCTTGTCACAAAATCCTCGAGTACTTCTCGTTCCCCGCTGCCCCACTCTTCCTCCCCAACGCCGATCCCTAACTCCCCTCCCGCAGAGAGTTTGATGCCATTGTAGATCTCAACAATTGGATTGCCGGTTAAGAGAAGCTCCCAATTCCACGCAAATTTCTCCCAGAAACGTTCAAGGAACAGGCAAAAACTGGACCTGCCAACCTCATTGAGGAGATTGTCCAACGTGAAGGCATGGTGTAGGAGGAATACCGAATGCGCGCGACGTAATTGTTGGATCAATAGAGGCGGTGGTGTCATTTCTCGTGACGAATATTGGAATTTCGGAGAGTCGGAAGCCTCAGAGGACTTTTGGGTTGGATCGGCAGGAAGTCGAGTCAGGTCGACAGACTGGCGGAACATGAGCTTGGAGGCATTGCCATTTGTATCAAGCACTTACAGCAACAATCCACCAATCCTTCTCTAGTTCAAGCAGAACTACCCGCGCTTTTTCTGTCTCAACATATTCTAGAGTCTCCCCAGCCGAGAAGTTACTACATACCCAACCGCGATTAGATTGGTGTATTTGCGGAGTTGCGGGGGACACCTACCTAGCGAAGTTGACCATGCCCTGCGCCAAACCTATCTGGCGCAGTCTCTCATTCCCCTCATCTTCAGGGCTTTGAGAAATGTCTTCTTCTGCCGTAGACCCATCGGTGCGCCGTTCATGGCTCGATTTCGAGGTATAGAATACGATCTGGTCCGCTATCGTCTCGTCGGTAGGCCCAAGTGTCGGGTTATAGATGGCAAGGTACGCAAGTTGGGCTGGAATCACCGAATCATGGTCGCTTTCTGGCATCGCATCGTTGGACGGCGTCTACAGCCCACACCAGACAGATAAGAGCGGTAATGGTAGAAAGACAGATGAATCCGCAGCGGGATTTGGGGTGGATGTTGACATCACGTGGTTCGCCGATAAGAGCTACTATGAGAGCTTCAAGTCAACGCTCATTTTCTCACAATTACTCACTTGAGACATGTGGATTATTCCAGGCCCAGGGAGTCTACGCCTCTGCAAGAGGCCTCTTGCCTTTCGAGGACTTCTCTTCAGGTCATATGCGACCAAGACCTCCGATCCACTCCGCATCCTCTTTTGCGGTTCCGATGAATTCAGTATCGCGCACTTGAAAGCTCTCCATGCTTATCATTTAAAACAACCAGAGCGTATTTCTTCCATTGATGTTGTCTGTAGACCTGGAAAGAGAGTCGGAAGAGGATTGAAGCAGATCCGAGAAGGTAAATTTGCTTAGCGCTTTCTTGAACGTCAAATGGTTTCTGATCCAACTTCTCGCAGTTCCGATCAAAGCCGCCGCTTCTGCGCTCTCCCTTCCTATCCATGAGATTGATACCTTTACTGGATGGACGGTAATACTATAGCTCAACCTGACTGGGGTTCTCGCTGACTGTGTTAGCCTCCGTCCTCTCCGAACGGACACATAAACTTGGTTATTGCTGTCTCATTTGGACTCCTTGTTCCACCGCGCATATTGAATGGCTCTAAGTATGGAGGCTTGAATGTGCACCCTTCTATACTACCAGAGTATGTGGTCTTTACACATTCAGATTCCAAGACTGAGATAATTGACCTGATTGATTAGGTTCCGCGGCCCTGCACCGCTTCATCATACTCTTCTCGCGGGCCGGACCACCACTGGCGTGACTGTCCAGACCTTGCACCCGAAAAAATTTGATCATGGAGTGATCTTATCTCAAACACCAGCCCCAGGTGTCGATATCCCCAATGCAGAGTCCTGCACTGTTCCCGAGTTGGTGGATTTCATTGCACCCAAAGGAGCACAAATGCTCGTGGAAAGCATTGAGAAGGGACTATTTGTTCCGCCTATCTCATTCGCAGGTGCTGAACAAACCGGAGAGCTGGTTCATGCTTCCAAGATTACCCCAGAGGACCGGCACATTGATTGGGCAAACTGGAACTTGACTGAAATTAACAGACGTAATCGTGTCATTGGACCTCTCTGGAGCAAGGTGCTCTGCTCAACTAACCCTGCGGACGGTCCTCTGAAATTCCAATACAAGCGAGTGATTTTCACAGATACCGAGGAGGTGGAGCCACCAATGGGATGCAATATGTTCTCCATCCTCCCAGGTCTGCCTTTTACAAACGCCTCATATCCTGTCGAGCCAAAGAAATCACGGCAACTATATGTGTTCACTGCTGATGGCAAAGTGCTGCGCATCAACAGAATGAAGGTGGAAGGGGAACAAGACGCGGAGGGTCTTCGGGCTGCTATCAAGGCTCGAATGTTTGGGGATCAAGCATTCCAATATGAAGGTCGGGATCTAACTCCCTTCCGCAATGCTTTTGTATAAATATGAAGGAGCTGTATTTGCCTTATCTGCTGCTCTAACCAATACGATACCCTTCTCTCGTTTCTAACAAATGGCATACCCGGAATCTAAGAATTATCAGTTTCAATTCGACTCGCTGGATTTGCGCATCGTACCAATTTGAACTGTTCTTCCAGTCATAGAAGTATTCTTGGCCAATGAGACAAACATATCCGCACAGTCTTCCACTTCGGGCTATACCGAGACTGATTAGTACACCGGAGGCTTTTCAGGGTTGGGAGACTGGAGGTGCTCACTGCTCTATTGAGGGTTGTGCCATTTATATAGCCCTCAATTTTCTCCTGAGGGAATCGTTGACCCTGACATATCATTAGATTTTGTTAACGCTGGTACCAAGCGAACGACACTTACCCATTCAGTGAGCAACAGACCAGGAAGGATAGCATTGATGCGGATCTTCGGGCCTTGGCTTTGAGCAAGGCATTTCATGAGATGAATAGCTGCGTAGCCCGGTCAGTAACCAACTAGCATGTCTCACTCATTATGGGAACGATAACGTACATGCTGCTTTCGAGACAGCGTAAGGCAAGCTGCTTCCACTTGCCGTGACGCCCTGTAGAAGATACTCCGATCAATACTTGTATGTTCCCACGGTATATTACAACCAGTAGCTTACCGCGGTCGAGGCTGTGATGAGGAAAACACCACCTTCAGGGTTCGCATTGAACGTGGGCAAAGCCTCCTTGAACAGGTAGAAGCTGCTCTTGACATTGACTGACCAGCACTAGTTCAATGTTAACCAACGACGTGCACATTTGACCATAGAGGTACAATGGGCCCAATACCTTATCCCAGTCATCGTCGTCCATAGCATCAAGATCACTAAAATTGGTCATTTTGGTCCATCCCTTCTCTAATATTAGCATTTGACAACTCTTTTAAGTTCAGCATGATGACCCACGGCATTTGAGACGATAACATCCAACCCGCCTAGCTTTTCAATAGTAGTCTTGACGGCATTGATACAGTCTTCTTTAACTCCTGCGTCCTGTCACCGGGTTAAGAGCCCTGTCAGCGGCTCAATTCCCGACAAAAACAAACAACATAAGACCAATCGAGGGACATACTCCTTGAATAGTCACCGTCTTCACACCATATTTAGCTGCAATATCTGAGGCAAGCTTCTCCGCACTCTCCTTGCTGGACAAATAGTTAATGGCAACATTGCTGCCCTCAGCGGCGAATTTTTCAGCTGAAATAGCACCTAGGCCTCTATCAAGTTTGTAAAAATCAGTTCCATCATTGGGCAGTTATGCTCCGATTGTATCTGGGGCCGTACCGAGAGCCACCGGTGATCAAAACATTGCGACCCGACAAAGAGTAGGGCATGGTGAGCGAAATTGAGGTGTTGTACTTATGAAATCTGAATGAGCTGCTCCGGACGAAAAGGATGAACCAGAAGATTGGAATGACTCAAACTCCCTTGACTAAAGTGCCGAGGGATATTGGTGCGGAGGAAGACCGCTGCGGGGTAGATGATGCGATTTGGACTTGCGAGTGGACGCGCTGATCGAAGCAGGTACAATACCTAATTGATAGGCCCATGGGCTGTTCAAAATACCTAATCTGTAGGCTGTATCTGACTGCCAGGTAATAAGACCGATTTATGCTGAGTGGTCTCTCTCGACAAAGACCTATATGATCTATACAAGTAGGGAACTATCCGAGTATCTTAGGGCATACCAAGTTGAGACAGATAATCTAACAAGATGGACCACAAATTTTTACACAGGTAAGAGTTGAATTTGATTCCTAAGTCCGACATGCAGAGAAAAGAGCAACTGAAAACTAGATATTGTGTTTAGCAATTCATTCCTTAACTGGGCACCTATGTACCCAGTCAATATCATTTCTTGTGAGATGTTTGCAGATACCAGAGCTTCAAAGATAGTTTCAAGCAGAGAAGACTCCTCGAATTGCAGGGTGCTCAGGTCACAAGCCATCCTGCATACTGTGTTCGCTTCATTCCCCACCAGGCCCGCCGTCCAGCCTGGGCGGGCCATTGAACGAGAAAACGGTCAGCCAGGGGTAACAGCAAGACACCAGACATACTCAGTGAATCCACTCGTGCCCATGATTCAATGTAGATAGTGCGCAGTTTTGGCACGGACGAGATTGCGAAACCGGGTTGTAGGCCCAAATGCGAGACAGCGAGTTTGCCCGCGCGTAGAAAGAAGCGGATGAGCTTTGCAGCTGCAACTACACAGACAGCTGTAGCGGGACCATTGGTCAGAATCAAATCTGGGTAAACAGAGGTAAACTCCTTTGGGAGCTTCTGGTCTGGGTGAAGTCCACGAAGCACGTTGAGGCAGGCCCAGAAGCAATGGAGGGTGGAAAATGGCGCAGTGAGGTAGGATTGATGGACTTTTCGGGCACGAGGCACAGCGAGGATGGTGTAGTTATTGTTACCAGCCTGGCCTTGCAATTTCTGTACGTGTTGAGTCTCAAACTCTTCGGCTTTACCAGCGCTGAAGTTATCTCCGGAGCTTATGAGATATGTCCGATACGTGTAGAGTCTAGGGTCGAGTTGCATATGCCGGAGCATGTAAAACATCTCAGCTGTATGGCCACCACTTCCAAGGACCACCAAGAGGTGAGTAGGAGATCCTCTTTTGCGGCATTTTGGCGGAATAGTGTTTTGGGAAATCGTGAGAGCGAGGAGAAGCAACTAAGAGCGGTAGAAGTCAGGTTGGTTCAATGCCCTGGTCGAGGCGGAGCACTCACAAAGAGGATGCAGACCCCAATCACAATTGCCAGGAAACAGGGCCATAGAAACAAGTCCCAGCTGAAGAGCGATATAAGATACTCAAGAGAGAAATGCATCTTGGGCGGCGATTATTGGATAGCCTCCTAGTTTGGTCAGATAGCTAAAGGGGTTTAGCGTGTCATGATCCTAGAATGAGATGTCTGAAAAGTGAAAGAGCGACGCAGACAGACAACTTTAGAAGCAATGGCAATTACTTCGTAGCGAAGGACAACGCCTAGTGCCGATCAGATAAAATTGGAGTCGCGGTACACGTCTCCCCGCACGTGCAAGCTTGACCGTTTATTTTCACACTTCTTTGGCATCCGGGCCCTTCTCCCTTGTTTCCACCCACGTTTTCACCTGCACTTCCTTCCATGCTACTATGTCATGGCCTCTCTATTCTCCAAGCGTCTAACCTGCTTTTATTGTGGGAAACGGTCTGCTCGCTGTCACCGCGGGTCCGTTCGTAATTTCCGCTGCGAACACTGTGAGGCTGACAACTTCTTCGACGAGGTAATTTCCCCGGTATCCTTCCGCGAACCATATAGAATCGAAGGTTGCTAACGCTCCTTGATGGTACAGAAAGGAGAAATCACAGATCCACCGGCTGTCGTCACCAACGCCGAAGTTTACGCGCCTGGCGCAACCAGCGCAACCTTCGAATCGACTGATTTTGGCGGATCGCAGTCATTTTGCGCCAAATGTGCTCGCAATCAGCATTTGTTTACAAGCTCACTAGCTTCCTACTTTCCCCCCTCCGATGAACCCTCCGATAGCGAATACGAACGTGGCTATGAGCAATTCCGCAGCAGCCTGGAGGACCGGTATCCCCAGGTTTGCGCGTCCTGCGAACCCCTTGTGAAGTCTCGCATCCGAAGAGCCGGCTATGAAGCCAAGTCGGATCACCTTAGGCGCATGATGGATCAAACCCGGGCAAACCGGGAATCACGACAGGCCCGGAACCGGAGCTGGAGCAGCCTGTTTCTCTATTTGGGTGCATTTGCATACTGGGCTAGCATTGCTGGCCAGCTTTCATGGGACTTGATCAGTATGGCCACTCTCGCTCAATCCTCGCAAAATTCCAGCGAAGATTTGCCCAGCGCCGAACAACTTTCTATGGCATCCATCTCTGCAATCTCGTGTGTCAACCAGTCTATCTATATGCGGCGCATTCCCAAAGCTTGTTCGCCTGATCTAGTGCCAACCGCGGGACTGGCGTTGATTGCAGGCGCATTTTCGCTTTGGTGGAATCCGAAGCTACGCATGAAGATCGATGGCATGCCCGGCAAGTTCGGCGGTCTTACAGAGTACTATGAAGCTCAACTTATAGTCATGGTAGTACGTTGTGTATTTTGGGCAGTACTTAAGGATCCATCTGCTAGTCGGTTGGATTCCAAGCGCCTTCCGGCCTTCCATGCTCTAATGATGCTCTTTACTATTATGGTGAGCCTCTTTTCTCTTTGTCCATTTTTATATGCGCTAACTCTAATAGTCGGTCTTTTTATCTCGACATGTTGTCAGTTACTCAAATATTCCACTCGTCAATTGGTCCGACAATAGCTGGGAAACTCGGTTTGAACACCCCAGCGCAGTTTCCTCAGCAGTGGCCGAATCACCTGTGTCGACTCGAGACGGCACACCAAAGGCTGATGTCAGCGGAATCAGCCAGCGTTTTCCGATTGACAAATTAGCCCAACCTCAACCTCAATCACCCGTTGAGCAGTCGCTTGCGGTCGTTTCTAATCATGCAGACAATGATGGCATGGACTGGTCCCCTTCTATCACTCATAATCTCCGTCCAACTGTGACACGGCGCAATCAGCCGTCTGTATTCGACGGACCTAATCCATTCCAAGGCCAGATCCCTGCAGCCCCAACTCCTCCTGCATGGAAGCTTCGCACCCAGACTTCGACGAAACCCATCGAGCAAGTGATCCAACCCAATCCGTTCCATCGCAGTCCTACCCAACCACAAGGTCAATGGCAGCAAAAGCGTGCCAATGCTGAACCAGTCTTCAAGGCACCGAAATTCTTCGCCCCTCAAGACCATGACACATCTACTGGGTTGGAAACGTTGTTTGACCGTGCCTTTAATTTTCAACCAGATACGACCCAGGGGCCCAACTGGTCTCAGAGCGCACAAAACCAGAGCTCTGCATATCACACTGGGACGCAGAGCTCCTTGTTCTATGCATTGCTCCGCTTAGGGTTGCTAGTCAGCTTTATCTGCGCCTGGACCTTCTCCCAAAACCATCAGGTCTTACTCCCAGGAAATTACGTGGAGATTTCTGCTCTAGGTGTTGCAAGCCTTGTTGCGGGTTTCGCTTTGATCAGCATGGTGAAACGACCCCTTGTGCAGTGGAATGGCATGGAGATTCTGATCTCTATCACTGAACTTGGCATGGCTGTTCACATGGGGGCACATTTACCCACGGCTTCACTTAGCAGGGACTACTTCGATCGTTACGGCAAATTGCTGCTGATTTTCATGGCCGCACAGGAGACTATGAACGTATTCTCGTTCTATAGAGAGGCCAGCTTAGAGAGCCCCCAGCAATCAGAATCTGTCCCCACGCCGCAGCAGCCACAGTCACCGCACCAAAGTCAATCGGGTGCCATCGATTGGCCGGGAAACCAATCTTCATCTCAGCCGACACCTGAGCCGCGAGTCAACAGTCCGCCTATGCACCGATCATTTGAATCGCAGTCATCGGCTCCCCCACTTTCATTTAGCGATACCGATGGTGCTTCCAGTTTCTCATCAGCGTTACCTTCCGTGCCAGAGTATGGCATTACCCAATCTCGCACTGTCCATTCGTTCCCCGCCGACAACCAAAACGCATTTAATCAAAACAGAAACCCGCACAGTTTCACTATGGAGACTCTCAAGCAGATTGAGCCCGCATCTGACTACGAGCAAGACTCCGACAGCGAGACTGTAGCTACAACTACAACAGCCGCTACCAATTTCACTAACCGCAACATTCGGTACGGGATTAATTCCGGCCTGGGTTCCAATGCCTTCTTCTCGCCCCGGCGAAATGGTCTGGGATCAGGTATGGGCGGCTTGAGCTTGGATGATGATCCCACTCCCCGCCGTATGACTCGCAGTCAGACCCAGCAGGGTTTATTTGGTCGTCGTCCGCCAAACTACGTCCGATGATTGTCCAATTCATCCGGCGTTGATCATTTCATTCCTTGATAGCTCTTTTTGTTTACTGTTGTTTTTCTTTGCTTTGCACCATTGGGTTATGATCATGTGGTCTTTGTCCATCCATTGTCGGATTGAGCCCTGCCACTTCGTCCAGCTTCAATGGCCCTCCCCGAGGTGTGGGTATAATGAGCCACTCATTTCTTTGTTCTTCCGTCAATTTCAGTCTCCGGGTGTTTATTAAAGCGAATGTTGTGGGTTCATAGCGCAGGCGAATCTCTCTTTTTGGTCCATATTGACAGGGTTAGCGGTCCCTCACGGTGTTGAAACCGCCGTATATATCTCTTGAGAGAATTGGTCCGGTTCTTTGACGATGTCTATGAAATAACGAGGACCGATGTGAATATTGTTTAAAAATTAAAACTTGGATTTATTGATTTACGTCACTTTCAAATTCCGTTGACATTCCACGCAGAGACAAATAGCACCCTACGAAGCCACCCTTTCAACATGCGACTGAGACATCTTACTCGTTCCATCGCCAATCGAGCCACGCTCGGCGTCAGCTTCCTTCTGCGCAACCAGCTGCGTGACACCAAAGAGCTCATCCATCTTCTCAAGAGACAGACCTATAGAACCACCACAGTTAGCAAACAGAAACCAGCGCAGCATCGAAGCACTCGACTCACCCTTCGTCTCTGGGATAAAGAACCAGACAAAGACAAACATCGAGAAACAGAAGGAAGCAAAGATAAGATAAGTTCTAGATAGCACCGAGTCAGCAAACTGCCCAATTCAACTTCCCCGGTCACCAAAACTCACCCGTAACCATTCGCACCAACCGTCGCCAACATATTCGGCACAGCCCTCGCAACAACAAAGTTGAACAACCACTGCGTCGCTGCTCCAAACGAAACATTCAGTGACCGCAACCTGGCAGTCGGGATCTCAGAGACATAGATCCAGCAGACGGGTCCCCATCCGAATTGGAAGAAGGCCGCGAATAGGAAAATGCACACTAGTGCAACATAGCCGGCAGGGATGACGGGTGCGTCCTTAACGGGTGGTGCGATGCGCACATATAATCCGATATAGAGCATTGCCAGACCCTGTGCGATGGATGTCCAGAGGAGGGAGCGGCGTCGACCAAGCGAGTCCGCAACGAAAATTAGGAACACGCCGCAGCCGACCATCTTGACAATGCCGTAAACACCGGTTGCGAAGAGATTGGTTGCGTTTCCGGTTACGCCGAGCTGGAGATTGGGTATGGTTAGCAATTGCGCTGTTCTTTTCTAGTGTAGGGGGATGCGGATCAAAGGTTGGAGAAATGCATGCTCACGTTTTCGACTGTGACTGGTTAGCGGAAGGAGACTTTCAATATTGGATTTGCGAGAAACTTACAGATTTGGGGTGCGTAGTAGTTAATCGCGTTGGTTCCGGTCATCTGTTGGCAAATCATTAGGACGATGGAGATGATTGCGCGCTTGCGATTCCCTGGAATCAGCCACATCTCTCTCATCAAGTCCCAGAATCCTGACCCGCCGACTAGAGCGCGCTCTTGTTCCAGCTGGTTGGCAATAGCCTGGAACTCCTCTTCGACGTATGGGTGGTCAGGGGGCAGGTTGCGGACTCGAGAGAGCGTTGCGCGGGCTTCTTCCCATCGGTCTTGTTTGGCCAACCAGCGGGGGGACTCGTTGCACAGTAACATGCCACATAGCAAGAGCACTGCAGGGAGGCCTTGCAGTGCCAGTGGAACGAGGTACATTGCAGAACCCTTGATGTGCAGCAGCGAGCCGTAATTGACCCAGAACGCGAGCATGATGCCCATTGTAATGAAAAGCTGGTATAGACCAGTCAGACCGCCACGAATGGCGCGCGGCGCGTTCTCAGAGACGTAGAGTGGGTTGATCATAGATGCAGCGCCAACTCCGAAGCCAGTGATTAGTCTAGAGGCGTATGTGTCAGCTTGAATGGCGCTTCACTGCCCGAAGGTGGGTTATTTACCGTCCGATGTACATGGCTTCAATGTGACCACTGGCTGCAGTTTGCATGAAAATCCCCAGTATAGCCACCACCGCTGCGCCGATCAAACCAACCTTTCTACCCCATTTCTCAGCAACTGGGGAGGCAATGAGAGCTCCGAAGAAACATCCTGCTTGGAGCGTGGACACAATGTTCGCTGACAGATTGGCTGCCTCGACTTTGTCGAGACCTCCCAGGCCGTATGTCCTGTGTGGATCGCACAGGTCAGAATAACTCGGCATCAATGCGCGATATAGACTCACTTCTTGAATCCTGGCATTACGAGAACTCCGCCAATAATACCGGAGTCCATGCCAAAGAGCATTCCACCAAAACAGGCCTGGAAAGATGTTAGCTGTGTGCTTGTAGCATCATTGTAGGTTTCTCGATACGACTGACCGAGCCAGCAAGCGCAAAGACTCTCCATCCATAGATCTCCTTGGGGTCCTCTCTCATTGCCTCATTGTGAACGATTTTCTTCAAGAGCCAAGACATCTTGGTGAGTAGCCAGAAGAATCAAGCCGATGTACTCGTAGTAGCCTCCCAACAACGAGGGAAGTGACCAGCTTAAAAACAACTCTCTAAGACCTGCTCACGACGAAGCTAACAGCTTGGATGCCGACGGCTATTGATCGATGTATCGCGAAAGGCAAAAGTATTACGGGCCTAAGCCTATGGGAAGTGTAATTCCAAGCCATGTTGTCTTGGCTGGCCACCGAGCGGCCTATGAGGCATAAACAAGGGCACCAAATAAGGCGAGGAGGCATGGAGAAAAATATCCACGAATCCCAAGTAAGACCGACACGGGCTGCAGAAGGTGATGCTCACATGTGTGGACGGTTTGGAGCTGGTCCAAGTGTCTCGAGTACCGGTGGCTCACGTGCAGCTCTCAGATAGGCTGGAGCCGTGTGGGGGAGAGTTCCAGGGTACCTACTAGAGACTCCTCAGGAATAGGCCGACGGGAGGATCAAGCGTGGCCATGAGGAGACTGGCTATATGGGGAGAGCAACATAAGTTTAGCCGAAGAGCGGAGGATCGGCTGTTGCTCTTACCCCGGACTCTGCGGGGAAGTCAGACTGGGGGCTAGTCGGAGGTGTATAGTCCTCAGGGGGTTCGATTCAAATCCAATTTGCTGCATATGTCTGTGTTGAGACTGCTATGGACATTGCCCAGGTGCTCGGCACTGTATTGCTGATTATAGTTCGTAATTGAGGCTATTCCTACAATATAACTCTCGAGAAGGGACGAAAATATCTAGATAAAAGACTACAAAAAGAACTACAAAGAAGACCACAAAAAAAGACGACTCAAGCATATCCAGCAAATCCCATTCGAATCGAAACCCCTGAGGGCCATACACCTTCGCACGAGTCCCAACTCAGTGATCCCGTCCAGAATAGGAAACTCATTCTATAGGTTGTTTCTGACATATAGATCAGGCTGTCTCATGGACTGTCAATTATATTCAATCCTATATGTGTAATATTTAGCCAAGTGCAATGCTTCCCTCAAGCCGAGCCTTCTATTCTCTTCAAGAGCCACTCTGGAATAACAGGCTTCTTCGCCCAAGCAGCCTTCCAGTCACGTTGATGACCTGGCACAGCGCAAATAGCCGACACAAACCAGCAATCCTGACCAGCCGCCAGGTCTACCGAGAGCGAGGGCAATAGAGTCCGACCGTGAATAATGTTAGAATTCGGATCCGCCAGGACAATCCGACCAGCCCGCTCGATGTCCGATTGAAGCTCGACGATACCAACAGCGCCAGCCGAGGAGACCACTAGCCCACTCTGGCTGCCATGCATTGTCCCCTCAGAATCACCCCCAGTCATAGGCCCTAACATACGGCCGTTATCGCTGCGACATCCATAAATGGCAAAGGCACCCTCGGAGGTCTGTAAAGCGCGACCGGTGCGCACACAGTGAGCGCGCAGATGCCAGTTCTCGGTTTCTTCCGTTGGCGGGATGAGAATGGTCTCTATATCGACATCTGGCCACGGTTTCCAGCTAGAGACAAGAATAGGTTGGCCGTTGGGCTCGGGTTCCTCAAAGCGAGCATTGAGCGCCAGTCGTCTAGTTTGCCAGATATCACCGCCATCATCTGATAATGCCAGCATGCTGTCTGGGGCGTGCTGCTCCAGCTGATACCCACCCGTCGGAACCGAGTATCCAAAGGCAGAACTGTACGCAAACTTGCCGTACTTGGCTTGTGTCGCTTTGAGGGGATAGTGGCATGCTTGTCCTGAGGACAGCAGGAATGAGTGTCCACCACGACGGACTGCAATATGCTTGGGGTATTTCAGGGCCATCACTTCAGGCAGAGAGGAGCTTGGATAGGGCTCTTCTTGGGCGGACCAGAAGGGATGCTCCTCTGGTAGGGCCAGTGGTGTGAATGAGAGACAGCACCAGTACGGCGATCCGGGAGAATTGTAGTTCTCTGTCAGGTACATGTTGGCGTATGAGTAACCGAGACTCAATGTACCATCATTGTTGAACATATCCTCCTGCGTAGACCACCACCGGAAATGACGGAGGAGGATTCCTCTCACTACTCCCCATGTCAATGGCTCCGGAAGCTCGACATCTGCAAAGCCTAATGCTCCCCAGAATCCAACCATGGCGAATCGGTAGGTCATAGAGCGACCGAATGGTATGGCGCTGCCTATATGAAGAACATAACCCGTGAATACCTAAGGAAGGAATCAATAATACCAGGAAGACTAGTCTCGAACATACCGTTAGGATCAAAATAATGCACAAAATCCTTCGCAAACTCCCGTGCCCGTTGGCGATAGCGCTCAGCACGCTCAGGATCAAAGTCACCCGCCAACTTCGAGTAAAGAAGCTGCAAGAACTGAATCGCGAACGAGCCCGAATAGTAGTCCATCTGGTGATGGCTCTTGGGACCATCATTGCTCCATCCCCCGCCAACATGGAAGGTATCCAAATGGTCCATATCAGCCTCGATACGGGGCAACGAATATTCAGCGCCGTTCTTTCTAAGTCCCAAGTTTGCGAAGACACGGAACCATAACCTTCAGTCGTCGCAACCACAATCAGCTGAATCCATACCACAAGGCCCAAAGTCAAGCCATGACATACCAATTCGTATTCGGCATCTCGCGCGCATTGATACTCGCCAACCATGCACCAACATTCCCTCTCTGCTTCTCCGTCAACGGATCCCAAAACACATGCGGCGCAACAGCAAGCGCAAATCCGATCGGACACATCTCCACCATTCGCTGGTCCATATCCTCGATATGACCCCAGAACTCCGCGTGCTCGGGATCGGTCCCGTTAATGATTCCCTGGCGCCAGCGCTCTGCCTCGGCGTATTCATATCCGCCGCCCAGTAGCGACGCTAGACCCCATAGCGGGCGGGCGTATCCCTCAATCTGGGCGCCGCCTTCGTCGAATCGTGTTGTTGACGTGCCTACTTTGACCCGTGTACCGCCTGGTGTAAAGAGGGGCACTAGCGGGTCGAGAATGGCGCAGCATGCATCTTGGAGGTCGGATCTGGTGCGAAAGGGGGACTTGCTGAAGGCCTGTGAGGGGGTACGGCCATTGGCGTGGATGGACATTGTAAGTCAGGATGTCTGTGAGCTATGGAGGGCACACACTGCGATCGCCCTTCGATATTGTTTCAGTGGAAGGTGGATTTTATAGACAGGATATATATATTAAACTCGGCTTGATATTATTAGCTGATAAATAGGGCATCGGACTTTGCGCCAGTCATCCCGTAAAATGACAACCGGGACGCTTTTGGAGTCGGAACTCGCTGAGAACGCCGATTCAGCCATTTGGGGACATTTGAAGGGGAGCTGAGGATGGCAGCGTGGGGTTTCCATTTAGCCGGCCGACGTAACGTGGGGAGATCAGAAACAAAAGGCTAGTCTGTCCAAAACAAGCTGCTTATTTGTGTTGAGATTCTGATAAGTGGGAAAATTGTCGTCCACCAATTAAGGGGACAGTCCAGATAGCCAATAATGTTTTTGGCTGTTGTCACATATGGTCTCATGGTATTGTTGTACATAGGGCCCGAGAGCATTCAATATCTATACAAGCCACAGATCGCATGGCATCATCTAATTGGGCAACTAACCTCCCAAGAGGCCACTCAAGAATCGGGCCAACTCTTTCACAAGAGCATCATCAACTCCCTCTGTCTCACCAAGGCCCTGCTTGAGAATTTCCGACCACCGCGCTTCAGTGATCTCATGCAGCTTTTGTCCATTTAGTAATGAATGGACAGAACTGGCTTGATCAGATGCGATGGACTCATCAGGTGAGACGGAGATGTCACTTTCGACGATAGCACCGTGTTGTAGCCGGAGGAATGCACGAGTACTTGAAGGGAGCGAGAAGGGCAATGGCGGCCGTTCGCGAGGGTCCTCTTCGATAGGATATGTGGAGAAAGTAAACCGGGGTGTTTGGGTATATTTCCAGTCTAACGAGCGCAACTCTGCGATTCCTTTCGCAATGGCAGGTTCATGCTCGCTTTGCACCTCTCCTACTGTACCAGCCACCCAGGAATCTCCAGCAAAGACTTCGGGCTCATTGGCATGAGCGCGCTGGGCCCTGAGAACCGCATCAGGATGTACTTCGTAGAGCTGAGCAAATTGCTCAATCACACTTTGAATCACGCCCTGCATCGAGAAAAAGGAATCGGCGAGGGCAGCTGAAACATTTCCGACAGGAGAGCGAACGCTTTCCACACCCTTGGCCTGGATATATCCGCGTGCGGATGATCGCAAATACCGGCCAAGGTCATGGATATTTGGGGAATCGAGTAAACAAGTGCCGTGATGGAGGGCTCGGTGTCGAGTGAGCTTGAACGCAGAACCAGACACCTTGCGTGTCAGAGGTTCATTTGGATCATCTTGTTTGGCCTCTGACCGAGCCATAACAATATCGTGCCGCTCGTTGACACTAGTGTTGGTAGCTCCGACCTGATGAAGTGCGCGCACCACCATCTCGGCATGCTTGTCACGCGTAAATGAGGTGCGCGGGCAAATCACGCTGTAATTTAGATTACCTTCATCGTGGAAGACAGCCCCACCACCGGATCGCCGACGCACGAGTACTGTAGCTTCGTCTTCTCCGGCGGCACCTTTCTTGCGGTCATTATGGAGGGCGCGGAGATCCGTCTCAAGCCATGGGTTCTGATTGCGACCGATGACTACACATGGCCGATTGGTATAGAGAAATAGAATACTGGAGTCTGCTGGGGCATTCTCCAGTAGGAAGTGTTCGATCGAGAGGTTCACATAGGGATCTGTTGATAGCGACTGGTAGATTTGATGTAAAGAGGACGGACGGCGGGCGAGCTCGGCGAACTGGTGGATTGGGTAGGACGAATTATGACGGATCCAACCATGCTTCAATGGCAGAGACCAAAATGTCTGAGACGAAGAACATCTTCGAAGGGCGAGCATTGGAGCAAAGGTGGGCCAGGGTATTGATCGCATCACGAAAGTTATCGAGGCCGATAGTCGGTTGCGCTAGTCCCAGATAGGTACCCAAGGGATGAGTCGAATTTCTATTTCGCATCTTCCCCATCTTCTAGTTTTCTTGCCTGATTTTTTTTTCCCGTCGTTGGCCTTGAGTCTTATAAACTTATAGACTGCTTCTTGTTCTTCTTCCGTACCTTGAGACTGTCTTTCAACGCCCATCATGTCGACGTGGGGTGAACATTTCCGTGTCACTACGTAAGGTGCCCGCCCACCTTCTAGCACAACCATCGTTGCTAACAACCATTTAGTTATGGCGAGTCTCACTGCCGCTCTGTCGGCTGTATCGTCGATGGATGCCCTCCAGGCATGGAGCTTACTGAGGCCGACATCCAGCCCCAGATGACCCGCCGCCGCCCCGGCCAGAGTCTACTCACTACCCCGCGGGACGAGAAGGACCGAGTCGAGATTCAGTCAGGCACTGAGTTCGGAGTTACTTTGGGCACACCGATTGGCATGATCGTCCGCAACGAGGACCAGCGTCCTAAGGACTATGGCAACAGCACAATGGACCTGTACCCCCGCCCCAGTCATGCCGACTTCACCTACCTTGAGAAGTACGGCGTCAAGGCCAGCAGTGGCGGTGGTCGCAGCAGTGCCCGTGAGACTATTGGTATGGCACTCTCATATCATGCAAACAGAAGGATTCACACATACTAACATAATCCCCACAGGTCGTGTCGCCGCCGGCGCCATCGCTGATAAGTACCTCCGCCTGTCGCATAACGTCGAAATTGTCGCCTTCGTCTCCTCCGTGGGCAACGAGCACCTCTTCCCCCCCACCCCCGAACACCCCTCCCCCTCCACGAACCCCGAGTTCCTGAAGTTGATCGAAACAATCGACCGTAAGACCGTCGACACCTTCGCCCCCATCCGCTGCCCGGAGACCGACGCTGCCGCACGCATGACCAAAGTCATCGAGAAGTTCCGCGACAGCCACGACAGCATCGGCGGAACCGTAACATGCGTGATCCGCAACGTCCCCGTCGGCCTTGGCGAGCCCTGCTTCGACAAGCTGGAAGCCAAGCTCGCACACGCCATGCTCAGCATCCCCGCGACCAAGGGCTTCGAGATCGGTTCCGGTTTCGGCGGCTGCGAGCTCCCCGGCTCCATCCACAACGACCCCTTCATCGTCTCCGAGGGCTCTCCCCGCCTCACCACCAAGACCAACAACTCTGGCGGTATCCAGGGTGGTATCTCCAACGGCGCGAACATCTACTTCCGCGTCGCGTTCAAGCCCGCTGCTACCATCGGCCAGGCACAGACGACTGCTACTTACAACGGTGAGGAGGGTGTTCTGGAGGCTAAGGGTCGTCACGATCCTTGTGTCACCCCTCGTGCTGTCCCCATCGTCGAGGCTATGTCGTCGCTTGTTATCATTGATGCCCTCATGGCTCAGTATACCCGCGAGAGCGCGAAGAACTTGCTTCCCCCGCTGCCTGAGACTATCCCTACCCGGCCTGCTACCGCGCCCAAGCAAGCTCCTTCATCTTAAACGGGAGGTAATCTAAAGATTCATATAAACAACAGAATGTTATACGCAAGCGTCATTGAGAGACACGTCTGTGTCCTTTTTGATGTATCATGGAGCTACGAAGTACTTAAATTGATGCCATACTCATGCGTTGATTGATCTCGGGGAAAATCTACATATTCTTTCAAAAAATCTTTCTCATGAAATGTGTAAATTGAGCAAAGTAGTAATTTTCAATGCACCAAGTGCCAAACCCCAAATACAATGTCTGGACTCGCTATGTAATAATCTAACAGGCGCCACTCTGCAAAGAATAAAAAAAAAACAATATGTCCAAGACACGTCGATCCAGGAACTAGGTACCTATCAGGGCGAAAAACAAAGCATAGCTGTGGATATCAAAACGAAAGAAAACAGCAGGATCCCGCCAAAAGCGCGACGAAAAAAAAAAACAAGACTCCGTTTTGTCTCAAATGCAGACACCGAAAAGTCGACCAGTCTTGGCCAAAAAAAAAAGGACACATGCAAAAAGTACAAGCAAGAAGTAGAGGGATGGGAAAAGAAAAGATGAAGACAGAAGCAGCAAGAACCGAAATACCTTTCCCAGATCCCAGATCTAGGTACTAACCCTCCGGTTCCCAGTGCTCCAACTAACAGAACGCTCAGAGACACTGTCCATATCGCCGGCGGTGGCGTTCACGACACGGAGTTTCTCTCGAGGAACGGTGAATGCCACCTGGACTCGTCGGCCCTCGGCTGCACCCTCAAGATCCCAGTCATGGACATCTTCCTCGTCGTCGGCGCAGATGTCGTCGTTGCCCAAGTATCCTGGTGCATTGAAGAACATGTCATCGCGCGCAGGCTGGGCAGTGTTGAATACATCGTCTGAGACCCTCTTGCGTGCATTCCAGTCTTTGGCACCTTGCTTGCGGCGGAATAGCTCTGCCGAGGCACTGACTGCCCGACGTGGCGTACTGAGACCCGAGGCTGGGGTTCGTTGGCCGGATCCGACGAGCGTGCTGCGACGGTCAATGCCCGAGGCGACCTCCGCTGTACTGGTAGTGCTATGATCGGTGTCTGACTGGTTGTCGGGGCTGCGGCGGGTCATTGTGAGGGCTCGGCGCATGGTGTTCATTACCCAATCGGATGCTTTGGGCTTGGACTCTCGGGGTAGTTTGGAGGGGGAGGATGAACCGAAGGGGGTGAGGGATGTGGGTGGGTCTTGACCATCTAACAGAAGCCACTCGTTCTCTGACTGGCGGCGGTTTAGGTTTGTCTGAGCTGTAGAGAAGGAGTCCGCCGAAACGGATTGGTCTGAGGGCGCTACGCCATCTGGATCACTGTGTGTTGAGGCTGCAGCGAGATACTCTAATGAATGGCGTCCACTCCCCCAGCTCCTAGGTCGGTCGACGAGCACGGCTTGTGCTTGACTGACCTTTCCTACAGGCTGATTGGATGCAAGTGAACGCCCTGAATTCTCTGACAAGTCGGTGGCTGTCCTGTCGCTTTTTGTTGGAGACTCGGCATCAACAGATCCAATATCCTTCCGCCGGCTATAGAATGGACCCAGGCCAACGCCGAAGATAGTGCTCCGAGGAGTTGCATAGGGAGTATCAGAGAATGGGTCATCTGGCTTCGTCATCTCAGTCGTGGCTTTTGTTTCGCTTGGAATGGTTGCCATGAGTTGTTCCCGGAAGGCTTCGTCTTCCTCACGTTCGTCGATAGGGTGAATATCGCCCGTAGCATCACTGCGTCGGTATTCACTGTTTCGATATGAATACGGCCTCGCATTTACGGGAGGCACCGCAGGAGGTCGTTTATTTTTGGGTGGAGGAGCGCCCCCAAGCAGGCCCGTTCTCTCCGCCGTGCCTTCTCCTTGGTCATTCCAGCTCGATTTCGACGTTTGGCTGCGATTTGCTGACCAAGGAAACACAGGAGGTTCCTTTTTCTCACTCATCCCAGAGCCCCGGATACTGCTTGCTTGGTCTGGACCATCTCGACCCCAGAAGTGAGATCGTTCGGCTCCCAGAGCAAGTTCCCGTAGTTGCGAGTCTCGCTTGCTCTTGACGCGGCGCTTTCGATGGTAGTTGCATCCGTATAAAACGAAAGCTAGAGCGGCGGGGCATCCAATTCCGATTCCTACCCCTAAGCCCGCTTTTTGGGACGAGGAAAGCTTACCGGTATCCCCCGTGGGTGCATTCGAGGACTTGGCTGCAGGGTTGGTGTAGGAGGTGACCCAGCTGTTGGAGGTCACATTGTAGAGGTAGACTCGCGAATTGGACTGTACAGTCGCTGCGGCTCGTTTCGAGGATGGTTTGGGAATGCTGTATCCACCAGAAATCATCATCACATCTCCAGGAAGCAAGACCGCCCCGTGCCCAAAAATACCGGAACCCTCTGCAATCCCTAATCCATCCAAAGAGGGAGCTCTCCAAGCCCATTCGGTGGCTCCACCAAATCCTTCTGCAATATCCAGAACCGCAAATTGCGGGTCCGCAGGGACTGTCATATCACCAACCCAACCTCCAAACACAAAGACTTTGTCGCCTTTTTCTGAAAGCAGGGCGGTATGACCTGATCGAGGCTCAATAGAAGCCATGTCTCGAACAGTCAGCTCAGTCTTTGGTCGAGAATCCGAGGTCGTAGAAACAAAGCTCCAACTTTGCTGCGGCAGCGAGAAAATGGCAAGTTGCGACATGTTCAGAAACGCCTCCCTGGTATGACCACCAATAAACAAGAAGTCCTGCTGTTTTCCTTTCGAGCCGGTCGAATAGGTAGCTTGGAGCGGCACGACTGCCATTCCAGCCTCAGCGACAGGGGGCGCACGCTTCCCAGTCGTAGTTGCAGAAAACTTGGTGGTGTAGTAGGGATTCGGCCCTAGCACGACCATCGACTGAGAGTAATTTGCTGCGGAGATCCATGTTTCATCCGTACTATTCGTAAATGGACACATCCCACCAAACGCGTACATGGAGCTTTCCTTGGCATTTTGCGCTGCGTATGTGAACCCCGCAGCCAGGTAGTTTGCAGTAGCTGTGCCATCGCTGGTGGTGACTGGCAGCCGATTCCATGTCCCGTTCCCATCCGACTTTTTGGGATTTGGGCTGAACTGCCATAGTTCCGGATTATCGAATGCGTCATGACAATTGCCGGTGTAGACGGTGATACGCCCTTGGTCATCGATGGCAGAGACAAAAGTCGAGTTCTGCTCAGAGCTGTGGAATGGCGTATTTTTCAGCAACGTCTGGGATTTAAGATCTTCGGCGTCGATACTGCTAGATAGGTTGAGGGAGAGGAACTCCGTATCCCCGCCGGCGCTGGGTCGGAGGATGTATGCGAGGGAGCCGTTATGTCTCGAGGACAGGAAGACGGAGGAAGGAGTGTATGGAATAGCAGTAGAGGGGCTGATGAGCGCCAGAAGCGCAAGCAGTGCCTTTCGATGCTTCATGCTGTTTGCGATCTGAGACAATCACAGACAGGGATACATTCCAGGATCGGCGAGCATGGCGCACCACGCGGCAGAGAAGGGGGATCTATTTTCGGATGGAACAAATATTGGAAGATTAAAACTGACAGGTGTCATTCAACGGTGCAAAGGTAAACAGATAAGGTGCCGAAGAGGTGTTCGAATCGCATAGTACGGAGCACAGCTCCCGAGGTACAGAAACGCAGTAAACAGGTGACGATCCGAGCTGGATCTCCCCTCTTTCTAGATTATCTGTAGACCAATCACCCGGATTAGCATCCTTTGACTACTCTATTTGCTGGCGCTAAACGAAGAAAGAGGGAACCTAATAGAGTGCCGAGAGCCAGATCGACGTTGGGTCAACCTCGTTGCCCGGCAACGCAGGCTGATTGCGTGTTTTCCCGCTGTTTTCAATCTATTTCTATGCAGCGTATAGTTATTCCCTATGCAACGCATATTACCCAGCATACTATAGCACCAGGCAATAGCATTTAAACTTGATTTACCGTGGGGACCTGGATTCCTTTCCCTGATCTGACGTTATCCTGCCTCTTCAAGTGGGCCTTAGAGCGGGTGTTATGTCGTAGATGTGTTCCAGAACGTTGTACGGAGTATATGGAGAGGTTTTGTTTTACCTGACGTCTAGGACTTCCATGTCGTCTCAATGGTTCTCTTGGGTTCTAGCAGTTGAATCATGGAGTACCTGGCTTACTCCCAATGTTGGCAGGACAACCAGGCCGTGTCGCCAACATTTGGCTTCTTTGTGTAGCCAGTTCGCATATATGAAAGTTGGATGTTGGATTGGGTGTTCTTTAGAGCTTACACCCTATTTACTATGGACACACAGTCTAGGTATTAGTACCCCCCCCAACATAGACCAATCACCCCCTTAGTGCTGTACGGGGTGGACTAGCTTGGATAGGCTTACTCCGTATTCGGTGCCGAGCGTACGGAGTACTTGAAGCACAAGTGGGCTGCAAAAAGTGATAGGTGTATACGGAGTAAAGCAAGGAAGAACAGACTAGTTCAGCGGCTACCATCGTCAGTTATCGGCTTTCGACGGTGCTGAGCCTTAGGAGTACGAGACAGGCGAAGGAAAAAGCAAACATCCAAAGCTAGTGGGTTTGAATCGCTAAATGGAAGCTGATCAGTGGAGTGCACAGATGATTTATAGCCTGTACACCGTAGTAAGAAGAGGCGAAATATCCGACCCTGTGGTATATCTCGTTAGCCTGTAGTCCGTACAGGGTACGGAGTAGATGGCCGTAAATGCCCATAAATAGCACAGCATTTGAAGAGGGTCGCCACCGCGGAGTTGTATACAATCACATGTGGACGCCAGCCCTTCGGAAGTACCACATCTACAGCGTACGATCTGTTCTTGATTATATTCGATATTTAATTTCTGACATAGTACTCCGTACTCTGTAATTACTGCAACATCAGCGGATATCAAGCCACCGAAAATCATGCAGATTAAACCACATCGCACTGTGCCTGCGCACCACTATGCACAAGAGTGCTTAGTCCACGAGTGTCTTTCATCCGTGTCCATTTCTGGCGTTCTATGACAGCCGAACTGTCAAATTGCAAATCCGGCTCGATGTTAATACAGAGTAGGGATCAGGGCGTGGTGCAAAGGTGTATAGTCCTCAGAAGTCGGTTTCGATTTAAATTGGATTCACTGCCTGAATATGCCTGAATATGCCTGAATTTAAGCTGGCATAAAACGAGAATCCCTGAATTTCCATGAGATCTCAAGTTCTTAACAGGGACCTAATTGATGTGCCTGGGTCCAACCTTGGAACGTAGGCAAAACGAAGCTTTTCCCTTCGCAAGAGTTATATTGTAAGAATAGCATCAATTACGGACTGTGATCTGCAATACAGTGATGAGCACCTGGGCAGTATCGATAGCAGTCCCAACACGGGCATGTTCAGGCAGCAAATTTGATTTGAATTGAAACCGACCCCTGAGGACTATACAGCTTCGCAGCGTGGCACAGGCCCAGTCGAATGGGAGTCAATCAACGACCAGAAGCAGAGAGAGAAAAATATATCTCACCCGCCGCCTGTGTCATAAAGGGCGATCAACACGAGCAATCCCCTCAATGAGTATCAGTCGGGGTTAGGGAATAGGATTGCGCCTCGTTCGTGGCAGAGGCCATGTTCGTCTCGTGTGCTTTGGTCTTTTTTTTTTTTTTTTTTTTTTTTTGGCGCAGGAGGCGCTCGGGGCCTGTACGGAGTACATATGTAGAGTATAGAGAGTAAAAGCGAGAAAAAAAGCGAAAAACAAATAAAATAAAATAAAATAAACGAATGCGATGCGGGTTTAAGGAGACGATTCATACCGAACAAAACCACATTGAAACGGTCAGAGCTTTGAAAATCCCGCTCCGACTGTAGAGGATTAGCTTGGCCTGAAATCGCATGCATTGGCGGCCTTGGGCGACGGAAATGGCTGCAGAGAGTGCTATGTCGGATGTCAAGGCCGAACTTCCACTGCGGGGACTATCACTCTTGGCCTCGACTCCTGTGCTATAAGATGACGAATATTACTTTAGATCTAGCATGTAACCCTTTCTGAGCCGTCCATGCGCAACAGCGTCTGCTCTAACCCAGCTGTGTTCTCTGGAGCATATACGCATGCTCCTGTACATTGCTGCTGGAGGGAGTGCTCCGTACGCCGTACACGGTACTAGTTCGAGTCAATAGAGGCTAATGTGGCCGCGTTAGATACACTATTCCGAACCAGGTGTACTTATTAAACCCCCGCGTCCATCCTTGGCTAGTCTCTTGAGCGCTTTTTTATTATTTCTGGATCAATTGAGGATCCCCCCGCAGGAGTGGAATGTTGTCTCCGTCCATGGTGACAGTGCAGACTGTCATGTTGATGCAGGTTGCAATCGATCTCCATCTTGAAGACAGCAAATTACCGATAATAGTCCATTAAGATTCTGACCACGTCGAGGTGTTGGTTGCCCCATATACCGCAGCAATCGGAAGGTGCCAAGCACTCCGTACAGGGCAATCTACCTGGATGACGATGATTGGAGCTATGATGTTGGCATTCTCTCTGTGTCTAGGTACTCCATACTCCATACATGTAGGGTGGTAGCTTGTTAAAAAGAAGAGAAACCAGGCTAATTAGGGGCCAGACCTCTATATGACGTCGAGTATAGCGCACGGACTACGCACGGACGTAAGATTCTCTGTCTTTTTGGAGCCCTCGCGCTGCTCTAAACAGCTTCTTGCAGAACGCCGGAAGACTGGGATATGATAGCCATTCCAGTTCTCGATGTTAGATGCCCACGATGTATGGAGTACGGAGTACGGAGTAGGCTAACCGGGGAGGCTAGGATAGGCGATGGCTCCCGTGGGCGGATATACAAGAAAGTGGACAACAGGAGGACATCGTAGGGAAGGTCCATCCATGGACCACTTTTCTTTTCTTTTCTTTTTTTTTTTACCTTTCGTTGACCCTCTCACGAACTACCTCGGTATTCGCCGTGGATGGATACTCCGTACAGAAACGGAGATCCTTGCAGACCAGCCCCTGGGCGGCGCGTATGATGCTCGCATCCTGGGGAAGCAATCAGGAAGGTCCCAAGAGGAGATTACGGGGGAATCTGGTCGGTTTTGGGTATTCAGCAGTTCGGGTGGCAGAACTTAAGTTTGAATTAGTTGCTGAGCTGAGTTGCGGACGTGATACGATTGGTGGGAGATGGGAGTGTAGGCAAAGGCCCTGGAGACATATCGCCAGGGCAAGCGTAACCAAGAGTAACCTTCGCTCCCGTTTCACGAACAGGAGACCTTTTGTACGGATCATTCAACCCTCGGAGCCGAGAATGTCGAGTCCCAGCAAAACGGAAAGAGGAATCATCACCCGTTGGGCAACCATGGTCGGCTCTTCTGACTTGGCGTTTTCATGATTTTCATGATTTTCATGATTTTCATGATTCTTCGGCTGGGTAGCTACGGAAGGAATTGGACTGTCTTAATGGCCTAATGTTCATACTTCCTGAAGAGGTGTGGGCTGTGTTATGAGTCCCCGACGTAATCAAGGACTAGACCCCTGCGGCGGATCCTTCAAAAGGCAACATCCCATGCACACCGGAGAGCGTGGATAGAGGTGGCAGTGTCCACCTATATATCACATAGTATACGGAGTATACGGAGTATATCAAGATGAGGTTAATCTGCAAACAGCCCACGGACCAAGAATTTCAGATGAAGCCGTCTGACAGCCCCACTATGGGAAGGGAAATAGATTCAGGCAAATTCACGATGAAGTATTGCTGTCAGTATTTAGTGCTCTTGGGTGCTCTTTGTTCCCGCTGTATTTTTTCTTTTTTCTTTTTCCTTTTCTGAATCTCATTTGGCCTTGGGAACCTCATTGGATTCTTGGCATCCGATCATCGCTCTGCCCTATTACCCACCCAACCTCCCCCCTTCACCTCTTCAACTCCCCTCTTGTCTCGGTCTCGGTCCCTACCTCGACCTTTTTTTTTTTCTTTCTTTCCTTTCTCTGTTCTTTTTTTGAGCTCGAATTTACAGCTCTTCGGCTGTTTTGCCTCTCCTTTGGACGTCACTTTCATCCTTCACCCTTGATTGAAGCCGATCTCGCTCTCCCGAGAACTCGTCCGAATGAGCCTAACGCCGAATTATTTATAGCATCTGTTATAACGGCACTCCTTTTTTTTTTGACTACCCCCACGTGTGGATGAGGGATCGTCCCAGTCCTCGTGCTGTAGCAGGTCTACCTCGTGTCCTCCCCCTAGGCGACAACCCGCTGTCCGGTACACGGTTTCCGCTGCATAGTTGTCGCCTTCCCCTCTGACACGAAAGTAATGCCGGTCCATTCCTGCGTGCCAACGGAGCTTCTCATTAGCTCACCTTGAATCAATTAGTACGAAAAAATACAAAGCGTCCGAAAATTGGAGGATGTTGAACTAGGATGCTCAACTGCACTCTCGGCACAGTTGGCCCAATCTTCTAGTCCCTTCGAAATAATTACACAAGGGAATATGACAGAAATTCGATCCTCGCAAGCTGGTCTGGAGGATCCGGATCAGCTGGCTCGGAATGGTCATGTCTCAAAAAATTCCAAGCGGGATTTGAGCGGGTCCGAGGAGTCATCGCAACCTTCGTCCGCGTCAAACGACCGCTCCGAGTCACCACCCCACTCGAAATCTCATGCGGAAATACCACCCATCATAACCGATGTCTCAGAAGCAACGGCGACCTTCCGCCAGGCCTTCCCCGGCCTTTACGGTGCCCGGCCCCCCTCGAACCGATCCTCATCGAGCTCCCTCCAAGCCCTCAACGAAGATATCGTGGTCGATGTCCGATCGGAAAATGGAAGCATTGGAAGAAGTCCCCGACGAACATCAAGACACTCGGACCATCAATTACCAGTCTACCCCGATCAATCCTATGCCTCCCTCCAATCCCAAGTGCATCCCACCTGGCAATCGCACCACGTCACACAACCCGATCCTCTACCTCGATACGCCTATGCTCGTGGTGTTCGCACTGCGGGCAACACCCCGGTGTCGAGCCCAGGGCTATTCTCCATGAGACATCCCCGCACAGGAACTCCATCCGGGTCTGACGATGACATCTCGATGCGAAGCTCCCTTCTCCATCCTTCACACCTTCAACCACCGAAAGAAACCCACACCGCCGAAGTGGATCGAGACATGATCACGGGCAACAAAACCATCAATCAATACGAGATTCTGGAAGAGCTTGGACGTGGTGAACATGGCAAAGTGAAACTAGGCCAGCATGTCGCGACTAGGCAGAGAGTCGCCATCAAGATTGTCCAGCGATACTCCACCCGCCGCCGGTTAGGCAAGTTGGGCAATCCGGAAGACAAAGTGAAAAAGGAGGTTGCTATTCTGAAGAAAGCACGGCATCCCAACGTTGTCAGTTTGCTTGAAGTCATCGACGACCCGAATCGGCAAAAGGTGTACATTGTGCTGGAGTATGTTGAAAATGGCGAGATCGTCTGGCGTAAGAAGGGTTTACGAGAAATTGTCCACGTTGACAAATTACGTCTTGAGCGGGAGAAGAGTGGAATCCCAGACACTCCCGCGTTCTTAGAAGAAAGCCATCAGTTCATTCGAACTGCTCAGCATCTACGGCGACAAAGAGAAAAGGCTCGTGAGCGGATTGAAGCACAGGCAGCCGATGCCCAACAAGGGCCAATCCCCGCTTGGAGTTTGGAGCACGGCGCGGAGTCTTCAGATGAGGAGGATGAGGAGACTGGTCTTCCCATGAGGAGATCATCTAGCCGGTCTGTTGCGGTAACGGACGAGTCAAGCCCATCTTCCATCCAGGATACATCCCTCAGTGCTGTCGAAGGCACCATGTATGGCGCTTATGCAGATTACCCTTTCGAACGACGGTTCAGCACAGCGTCTAGCAGTTTTGGCTATGCCCCCTCTGAGCCCGAGTGGTCTGCAGAAGGTGATGACATGGCATACGTTCCTTGTCTAACCATCACTGAAGCTCGCAGCGCTTTCCGGGACTCGGTACTTGGGTTGGAATACCTTCATTACCAGGGGATTATTCACCGTGATATCAAGCCTGCCAACCTCCTTGTCACTAGCAACCATCGGGTAAAGATTTCCGATTTCGGCGTTTCCTACCTGGGGAGACCGATGCGCGACGAGGAAGAGGAGAATGTCGGCGAGACTGACGCAACAGAGCTGGACGACGCCCGTGAATTGTCAAAGACTGTGGGTACTCCGGCTTTCTACGCTCCTGAATTATGCTACACGGGCGATGACTTCGTGGAGACCATTGGGTCGATCCCCAAAATCACTGGTGCGATCGATGTTTGGTCACTCGGCGTCACATTGTACGGCATGATCTTCGGTCGCCTGCCATTCGTTTCAGATGATGAGTACAGCATGTTCCAGACCATTGTGAAGAAGGAAGTCTTCATTCCACGGAAGCGTCTAGTGCCCGTGATGGATGATGCATCCGACGCCAACCAGCATAACCTGAGGCATGATGATGAGCTTGTCTATGAGAAAATTGACGACGAGCTATACGATTTGCTCAGGCGTTTGTTGACCAAGGACCCGGTCAAGAGAATTACCCTGAAGGAGATTAAGCACCACCCTTGGACCCTCTTTGGTCTCCCCAATCCTCGAATCTGGATCGAAGAGAGTGATCCTGGCTTCCAAAGCAAGGGCAAGCGAATCGAGGTCTCGAATGAAGAAGTCACAAGTGCTGTCAGCAAGGTCCCCTTCATTCAACGTGTTCGATCAAATGTTGCCAAGTGGTTCGGTGGTCGATCAAAGGATAAGGAATCGCGCAAGCGTACATCGAGTACAACACCGTCCACGGACACTTTTTCATCTGCCTCAAGCAATAGCACATTCGGCAAAACCTCTCGCGACAGTCGTCCGTCCAGCCTGCGAGGTGATGATGATCTCTTTCGGCCGTTCAGATTTCCTGCTCACGGACATCCGCTCGCCCAAAGCGTTACTGCAAGCCCAGTAGACGAAGGCGATTGGCAATCTTACTTTGATGCCTCGCCAGCTGCAGCTAAACTTGCTGCGGCGACAAAGCCTGTTGCTCCACCTCCGGCCGTCACACCGCGACCTGGTCCTCCTCGCCGCGCAAAGTCCTCCATCTCTACAGCAGACTCTACAAAGACGATCAAGTCATCTCATTTTGATACCCCGTTGACTCTACGGCCACGGTCGGGAGTGCATTCTTCCATTATCGAAGCTTTGGGGCAGACCAACTTCGGGAGTCTGTTCAGCGGAGCTACCCGCCGGGCATCGCGTGGTAGTCACAGCCGACGCACGTCTCTGTCTGGCGAGGCGGGATCTACGCATGTAGATGGAGAACGATGCGCTGCTGAACCCAGCCTCGCTGTCAGCAATGCATCTGCTCAGGGCCAAGTGGGCACTCCTGGCCTATGGCATGATGATGATAACTCTACACCGGAGACACTGGGTGTCAGTCACGCACACCGTCGCAATCGATCATCGCAACTCGAGGGTACTTCACCTGCAGAATCATTCAATCTGACCAGAGATGCACTTCTGCGCCGCAGACAGAGTGATATGGATGCGAATGAAGGAGGTACCCTCAGAGTCGACTACGCGATGTATTCTACCGAATCGCTCCTCCTGCCACCCATCACTCCAGCTACTAATCAAGGGTCTTCTGCCGACAATTCCAACAATGGGCTGGCTACCTCCACCCCGGCCACTATCTCTTCCTCCTCTGCCGACGACTTCACTAGCGGGATGTCCCAAAGTGCCTCGCACCCAAGCATCCCGTCGGTCGTTTCAAACGCCTCCTCTCTTTCCGGCGATGGTTATTCGATCAAGGAAAATACTCTAGATGAAGTACCATCTATGCTCCGCACCGGTGAAACAGTTAAACCTCCTCGCCCGAGCTCCCCCCGATCCTCCGAAATGGACGAGTCGAGATATTACTGTGATGACGAGGATGAAGATGAGTCGGAAGACGAAGGCCTTGTCATCGGAAAGCGCAAGCCGCCTCCCAAAGCAGCCGTGGATTCCCCATCGCAATCGTCGAACTGAACTGTGGCCGGCCCCGATCAGTCCAACCCAGTCTTCTTTTCATTTGACCCGCTACCTCCCACCACCTCTTACCACTCCCACCTCCGCCTACCACCTCGTCCCTCGACGCTTCCTATCATCTCTAGCGAAGTTGTTGTATACCACTTTATTTCCTTCTGATTTTCTTTCCCGGTTCCCGGCGGGCTGATATCTGGGAACTGTGACATCCTAGAAATTGTTCGATACATTCTACATGGTCTGTACATATACAAGCTCGCATGAGCAACCATTGCTCCCCTGCGAGATCCGCGGTGCCTTCCGACCGGCCGCGTCTGCATATCTGTTTTGCTCTGCTCTGCTCTGTGGAGTTCAGTGTCTGTGACTATGAATTTGTAGGGCAGAAATACCGCAGCGCATTTCTCGTTTACTTTGTTCTCTCTTGCTTGGTCTTTTGCATTGATACGGGGCCAGATCGCTTTTTTCTTCTTTTAACTGTATGTAATGTTGACTTTGTCAAAATCGGGCGGCTGGATTCTAGGGAAATATTTTGGGTTTTTTTTTATCCTCGGCGATATGTCTGAGGCTTTCGAGGACTTTCGACATGATATATGATTGGAGGCAAGACGTCTAGCGCGTGATGAAGAAATGAAATGTTCCGGGGTTTGGGACTACGAGTTCTATTCCCCCCTGAGAAGACCATTCTGATTATGGTAAAAAGAAGTTGAGAGTCGTTTCGTCCCAAGTCAAGGCCCTGGGTCTGGCTAATTCGACACGGGTCCCTAGCATCCTCCCATCTTAATTCCTCCACTGAGTTTCTGGGTGGGCTTATATCCCCCTCATGCTTTGCAGCTACGGTGTGATCCCCAAGTTGGGCAGTTGGGCCTTGGTTTTGCGTTCTCTTACTTCCACCAATGGTAATATCAGAGGGAAGTTTGTCGCTTCCCTGGGATGATACCGTCACTATGCCCCTAGTCTCGGATGTACCCTATAGTTGCAGACTGCTATGGTCGTATTGCATCAATAATTGAGCCTGAAGTCCGAAACTGCATCGATAGGCTTGTAGGGCGTTGCTGTTGCGCAATTATCCCGACTGACGGAGTCTTCCCCTGTCTCAGCTCCTGTTTCAGGATAGAAACTTGAGCTAAAGTAGGTCCGTCTCCGGAGTATTTCTCTACCTTGATCCAATAGGCGGGTAAATAGAGGAAACCGTTCTCTGTCGGGTTTTCTCTAGGATGCCGTGTATCCTTCGGAGAAATTTGACCCTACACAAGTCTACACCAGCAAGCTGGGACGAAACATGAGACAGGATAAAAACCGGCTACTTTTTGTTCCTTCTTTTTGTAGAGGCGTCTGATAATCCCTAGCTATTATATTGGCTCTAGCAAGCGGGAATTCCCATGATGCTGCCCTATTTCCTTCTAGCTGCCGCCCAGCTCTTCGTCTCAACATCCGCCAAGCTGACCTACCGTGGTGCTGATATCTCCTCCCTTCTCGTCGAAGAGAAGGCAGGCATCTCCTACAAAAATGCCGCCGGTGCCACGGCAAAGCTAGAGTCCATCATTGCAGCCAGCGGCGTCAACTCCGTTCGCCAGCGTATCTGGGTAAACCCCAGTGATGGGTCATATGATTTGGACTACAACATCGAGCTGGCGAAGAGAGTCCAGGCGCAGGGCATGGGCACGTATCTCGACTTGCATTTCAGTGATACGTGGGCAGATCCGAGTAAACAGGTAAAGAAAACAGACCCAACTCCTCAGGCTTTTAGGGGTTTGATCCAACATGTCATGATGTCTATAGGGCACACCCTCCGGCTGGTCGACAACGGACATTGACACCCTGACCTGGCAAGTCTATAATTACACATTGGATGTATGCAACACCTTCGCTGCCCACAACCTCGATGTAGACATCATCTCGATAGGCAACGAGATCCGTAACGGCCTACTCTGGCCACTCGGCGCCACAGCCAGTTACAGCAACATCGCCCAAATCCTCCACTCCGGCGCCTGGGGTGTGAAAGACTCCAATCTAGCCACAACCCCCAAAATCATGATCCACCTCGACAACGGCTGGAGCTGGTCCGACCAGGCCTACTTCTACGGTCAAGTCCTGGCGTCGGGGTCTGCGCTGCTCTCCACCGACTTTGACTACATTGGGGTTTCGTTTTATCCGTTTTACAGTGCGAGTGCGACGCTCGCTGCGCTGAAGACGAGTCTTGCGAATTTGTACTCGACGTACGGGAAGCAGACGCTGGTCGTTGAGACGAATTGGCCGTATGCTTGTCCCAGTCCGGCTTATGCGTTTCCCTCGGATCTCAAGGATATTCCGTTCTCGATTGCTGGGCAGCAGACGTTTTTGCAGAGACTTGGAGCTGCGGTTGAGGGTGTTGCGGGTGGGTTGGGAGTGTATTACTGGGAGCCTGCTTGGGTGGATAATGCGGGATTGGGGAGTAGTTGCTCGGATAATCTGCTTTTTGCTTGGTCGGATGATCAGGCCAGGGCGAGTTTGGACACTTTGGGTAGTCTGTGAGATCATACTCCGTAGACGATCTATACTCCGTACTCCGGACAAAGTACGGAGGACATCCTGCTATGTCCCCTGAGGCCTGGGGGGACTCTCCGAACTGCATAAGGGGCTAGCCCTGTCACCTGACTCGATATAGCCGCATGCAAGGAGGTCTGTGAGGTTAGGCAGCACGTATGGAGTAGATGGGCATGTCCGAAGGCAAGTCGGACGCAAGGCAGACCGCAGAGTGAGCCTTGCCCAATAGCTTATATGCCCAAAGAGGACTAGCGTGGCCGGGCTCCAGCTGGGTGGCTGTGCAAAAGCTACAAGTTCCTCTGCACTCCACTTGAATCGTGGAGAATAGACATCGCTGCATGGAGATGGTCAACAGGCGCTTTTGCAATTGACATGCTGGAATGCGTTTCCAAAATATAAAAATAGGTCTTCGCCTATCTGTGTTATCAAGGTGGGAACACTGATAGTGTGGGGAGACCCATTTGGGGTTGTGAGACTTGTAAAAGAGAAGAGAAGGTGGACCTGGAAACTCCCTCATCCTCTCTCTGCTTACGCTTAGGGCACCCACCGCGAGATTATATATTAAAAAAAAAGAATCTTCATCCCTATGTTGTACTCTGTATGCTCGACTCCGTATACAACGTGTTCCACCTAGACCGCCTTACGCACGTGAAACCGTCTCATCTTCAGCTCACTTGCCCTCTCTCACGACCCTTGGTAAAACACAAGGTACCATTGCTCTCAAGGATGAGGCAGACCTGCGACCGCTGACACTGGCCCAGAGGCTCATTCGCGTACCGGAACTCCCCCAAACCCTGGACCCTTGCGAATGACATCCCACATCACCAGACACCATTCTCCCTACATCATCGGGCGTCTACGACCCTGACAGAGCTGCTCGTCCGATCTGCGTCTTTCGCTGAATTCTCGCGCTTTTCCTGGTCCCGATTTCGTCCCGACTCCACCCCTCGTACCTGATCGCAGCCCTATTTCCAGGCCACGAGCCTCACCCGCGCGCATTCGCAATTATGGCCTCGCATGACCAGAATCAGGGCTCGGTTCATTCCCCCGATGATATTAAGCATCGGAGTGTGAGCCCTTCGCTGCACGGCCAGCAGTATCATGACCCCAACTCCAGTGCTCTAGGTGTGAACCCCTCCATGGCTGCTTATCCGACAATCCCCTCCTTTCAGAATCCCGACGGCGGTATCGGTGGTCCTGAAGCATATGGATACGGGAACTACCTCTCTGGGGCGCCTCCCACACATATGTCATCTCCCCCGACGGGTCAGAGCTACCCTCTCGTCATCAATACCAATAATATCCCGATCTCGCAGTCGTTCGAGACAACCCTAGCCAACCAGCTCGAGCACTCTGCGACGGGACTCCGGCCGATCCAGGGCGACGAAAACTTCTCCAACATGCTTCACTCCCAATCCGAATTGGATTTCTCGCTCTACCAGAATCACAGTCCCAACAGTGGCTCCGCCTCCGAGTACGATTCTTCTTTGATGATGGACCCGCAAATGCACCAGCGCCAGTCAATCAATCAAGCGATCAACCCCGCGGACCTGGTCAGCCCCGTCTCCAATCCCTCGCCCTCTTCGCACCCGTCATCGCAAGATCAGCAGCATTCCTCACCTGGTCCGATGTCCCCTCCAGGATCCACACCGGGCACATACTATACCCCTCGGCATTCGCGACACGCTTCGCTTGATCCCGCCACGGCATACATGACCAGCCAAACAGGCCCGGACTGGCAGTCAGTCATGAACAATGCTTCCTTCCGGGGACACCGACGCGCACCATCTGAGGTGTCCGAGGTATCATCCGCCAATCATTCCCCGTACTTGTCCCAGCATGAATTCGATGGCATCGAGAACAACGCGTCACCTTCTTTGGCCCCACAGCCTGATCCAAGCCTTTATGATCCTGGTCTCGGCATGGAATCATTCACATTGTCGGAGCAACAACAGCAGGGGATTAGCCCCCTCCACAGTCCTTATATCTCTCCACGCCTAATGCCACAGCAGGGAGGGGAAATGGTACCGAATGCATCTTATCTCTCTCAATTCCCCTCGGCGCCGACAGATATGTATGGAATGCCGCAAGAGGACATGATGAACATGGGCCAGTTGAACAATACCCCGGGCGACATTGGCCAAGCTTCACAGATGGCACCTCCATCCATTAATGTTGAGTTTGCTCCGCCATTACGGAATACGAACTTCGATCTGTCTAAATCAACGGCAGATTTCGATTCACTGAGTCCTCCTGCTATGCGTGAGTGCTAATCCGACAATCCATTTGCACCATGATACTAACTAGAAAAATCAGGATCCCGTATGCGTAGTAAATCTGATCCTTACCACCCGGCTTCACGTCCACGCTCTCCGGCGCATCCAACAGTAAAGTTGGAGCCTCATGCGCCTCCCACACCGCGATCATTGTCGCCTATTGGAACGATTGGCTCGCACTCGCGCAGTAACCCCGGTTCGCGAGATCCATCGCCCTCGCGATCCAACCGACGCCTTTCCACCTCCTCAATCGAGAACCGGAACTACATTCTAGATCTCGCAGACCCACAAAGACCCGGCGCAGCACCCGGGGAGCCAAAACGGATCCAGAAACACCCAGCCACCTTCCAATGCAGCCTGTGTCCGAAGCGCTTCACTCGCGCATACAACCTGCGATCCCACCTCCGCACCCACACCGACGAGAGACCATTTGTATGCACAGTCTGCGGCAAAGCCTTTGCCCGCCAACACGACCGCAAACGCCACGAGGGGCTCCACTCTGGCGAAAAGAAATTCGTCTGCCGCGGCGAGCTCTCGCGAAGCGGACAATGGGGCTGCGGGCGCCGTTTCGCCCGTGCAGATGCCCTAGGTCGCCACTTCCGCTCCGAAGCCGGCCGCGTATGCATCAAGCCTCTTCTAGACGAGGAGTCGCAAGAGCGCGATCGTGTCTTGCTAGAGCACCAGCAGCAACAACAATCTCCTTCCAGCCATCTCCAGCCCATTCCGCAGCCACTTGTCATGCCTAACATGCCTGGTATGGACGGGCAGTCAACAGGCAACTTCATTCTGCCTGCTGCGCTCCTGGCGCAGTACCCAGCTCTGCAGACGTTGCAGTGGGACCAGATCCCAGCTGCGGGCGATGATGCTGGTGAGATTGGCGGGCGGAGTAGCTTCGATGCTAGCTCTGGTGGGGAGTTTGGCTTTGACGAGGATGATTCTGGGATGGGTGGGGGATACGGCAATAACCAAGCGGTTATGTACAGTGTCAATACCCCTGGTCAGATGTTGGGTGTCAACCCCGGGGATCCTGGGTACGATCAGAAGTGGAGTGGATGACACTGATACCTTCTGCCTTGGTTTTTCTTGCCTTTTCCCCTTCTCCTTTGTTTCCATTTCTTCCTTCTCTCCTTTTTATCTCCGTGGTTTGGGGTTTCAAAAGGAATATATTGCATGATGCATTCCATCTGCATATAGCCGGTTTTCTTTTGTTTTTCTTTTGTTTTTTTCGAGTTTGCCTGTATAGAAAGGCTTGTTGGCGTTCAGACATAGGATGCTCTCGGGGATATCTGAGGATTTTCGCCCGCAGGGATATGATGGTTTGGGGGTTTCTTTTCTTTGGTCTTTTCTAGACATCGGTAGCCACCATGCCGTCGTTTTATCATGGTGATGTTGTGTTTCATTCCATTTTCTTCAGTCCTGGATTCCATAAAGGGACCGGACAACAAGGCATCACAATGCTTTTGATGATATATTCCCATGCTCATTTCACGCCTCTCCGCGTTGTCTTTCTTTCTTTTTTTTTACTCTTTCCCATGAGCTCTGCTATATTTTGATGCCACAGGCTTCAAGACTACATACCATAGCAAGCACTCAAGGGATTGTGCTCAACGACTTTGACGGCCTAACCAATATCATCTCACACTATTTACATTCCCAGGAATCAAGAAACAGTAGAATACAGATCACATTGGATATCATCTAGTCAACAAAACAAAATCTAAAACCAATCGCCGTCCGGCAAGTAAAATACCTAAGTGCTATAATGCATACAATCACAATCAACTCCAGAACCCACTTTTAAAGTGTTAAAACAGTCTGAAATGCTCCCCTTTTTTTACTGCGCATTAGCCTTCTTCGCCAGCAAGTTCAAAGCACTACCAGCGAGGATGAATCCACACTGATCCTTGCTCAGAGTGTGCTGGACAGGAACGGCAAACACCTCTCCGGTCTTCTGCTTGGTAACCCGCAGCTGGATCTCACCCTGTCCACCAGCCTGCAGCACATCGTAAAGACCAACAGTATCGACCTTATCACAGGCATCGATGCGGTCATAGTCCTCGCGGTTGGCGAAGGTGAGAGGCACAACGCCCTGCTTCTTGAGGTTTGTCTCGTGGATACGAGCAAAGCTCTTGGAGACGATGACTCGGCCGCCGAGGTAGCGGGGTTGCAGAGCGGCGTGTTCACGGGCGGAACCCTCGCCGTAGTTATCCTCTGCGACGACCAGCCACTCGATGCCGCGCTGCTTCCATGACTCGGCGAGCTCGGGGATGCCGGATTGCTTGCCGGCTTCGTCGTAGGCGACGTTGGTCTCGCCGGTTGCGGCGTTGACGGCGCCGATGAGTGTGTTGGCGGAGATGTTGGGGAGGTGGCCCTTGTATTTGAGCCAGGGGCCGGCGGCGGAGATGGTGTCTGTGGTGCACTGGCCTTTGACTTTGTAGAGGACCTGGAGGCCGGTGAGATCGCCCTTGGGGAAGGGGGCGAAGGGCTCGAGGAGGGCGAGGCGGTCGGAGGTCGGGGAGACGATGACTTCGCTGCTGGCGTCGGGGACGGCGGCTGTGGGGAGGAAGGCGGGGTTTCCTTCTTCGAAACCGGCGCTGGGGAGGTCGAAGCCCTTGGGGGCTGGAATTTGAAGGTTGAGCCGTCCGGTGCAGTGAGGGAGTCGGTCATTGGGTTGAAGGTGGTGCTGCCGGAGTAGGCGAGTGCGGTGACGAGCTCGGGCGAGGCGAGGAAGTTCATTGTCTTGCGGTTGCCGTCGTTGCGGCCGGGGAAGTTGCGGTTGTAGGAGGTGAAGATGGCGTTGTCTTCGCCCTTGGGGACGCCGTCGGTGCGGTTCCATTGCCCGATGCAGGGGCCGCAGGCGTTGGCGAGGACGATGCCGCCGGCTTCGGAGAAGGTGTTGAGGGTTTGGTCGCGGTCGAGAGTGGCGCGGATCTGTTCACTGCCGGGGGTGATGAAGAAGTCGGCCTTGGGCTTGAGGCCGGCGGCGGTGGCTTGCTTGACGAGATCCTCGGCGCGGGTCATGTCTTCGTAGGAGGAGTTGGTGCAGCTACCGATGAGGCCGGCGCCGAAGGTCTCGGGCCACTTCTTCTCGCGGACGGTGTCGGCGAACTTGGACAGCGGCACCGAGAAGTCGGGGGTGAAGGGTCCGTTGATGTGGGGTTCGAGCTCGGACAGGTTGATAGTGACCAGCTGGTCATATTCGGCCTTGGTGTCGGCGCGTAGCAGGCTCGAGGGACCAGCGGCGGCAACCTTAGCAGCAGCTTCGGCGACGTGGCCACGGTGGGTCGCCTGCAGGTAGGGAACCATGCTGGGCGAGAAGGGGAAGATTGAGGTGGTGGCACCCACCTCAGCGCCCATGTTACAGCAGGTAGCCATACCGGTGCAACTGAGAGTCTCGACACCAGGGCCGTGGTACTCAACCACAAAGCCAGTACCACCGCGGACAGTCAGCTTACCAGCCAGAGACAAGATAATGTCCTTAGGCGAAGCCCATCCGCTCAGCTGGCCCTCGAGGCGAACACCGAGGACCTTAGGAGCCTTCAATTCCCAGGGAGCATCGACAAGCGCATCAACGGCGTCGGCACCACCAACACCGATAGCAATAGCACCTAGACCGCCTCCGTTAGGAGTGTGGCTGTCAGTACCGAGCATCATCAATCCAGGGGCGGCGTAGTTCTCCAGCACGCTCTGGTGGATAATACCCGCACCAGGGGGCCAGAACTCGATGCCGTAGCGCTTAGCGGCGCTCTCCAAGAAGTCGAAGACCTCACTGTTGCCCTTAATTGATGCAGGCAAATCAGTATCGGCACCGCGCTCGCCGACGATCATGTGGTCACAGTGGATACTGGCTGGGACAGCGGTGGAAGGAAGGCCGCAGGACATGAATTGGAGCAACGCCATCTGGGCAGAAGCATCCTGCATGGCTACACGATCGGGCTTCAGCTTCAGATTGGCCTTGCCTCGAACGTCACGGCCATTGTTGGTCCCAGTGAGCAATGACTCCTCGGCATTGTCCAAATGCGCGTAGAGGATCTTCTCGGCGAGGGTGAGGGCACGGTCAGAACCCAGGACTCGGCGGACCTGCTCGAGGTTGCGGACGAGCTTGGGGTACGGGGGCATGCGGGAGGAGGAGGCCTCGGTGGCCAGGCCACGGGCGAAGAGCCGTTGTGGGAAGAGCCGTCTGGCCATCTATAAGAGTGTTAGTTGGTCCAATTGAGAATGCGCGGTGTGTCCTTACCCCACGAGATGCAGAAGCCTGCTGCCAAACGAGCTGGCTCACCATCTTCACAATTGTTCAAATTTGAAGAGAAAACTGGAGAAGAAGAGGAGGATGATCCTTTTTATTCCTCCGGTTGCTGGTTGTTATTTGTCTCCACTCTGATTGGCCTGCGGAGGTGCCGATTTCGGAATCCAGCCTGTGGCGAAGTGTATTTTGTGGGGAAGCCGCGCTGACTCACACGACATCCCTTCCTATGTACCTAGGTACTTGATTTCCTCTGCCACTTCTTGGCTTTCCCTTTCCGTCTTAGTGCTCAGTCCTTGCCGCTTTTTGCTCACTGAGTACAACTGAGCATACCCCTAAGTATTATATAATCAATAGGCTCGCTCAGGGTTCTGATCCGCGCACAACGGATTTTGGGGCTTGGCACAACATTAGATAATCATTTTTTTAGATAATCAACAATTTCGGGGAAAACAGGGTAAATATCACATGATTGTCGACCTCATCTATCAATCTGATATCGATCTCTATAGCAACCCATTATTTACAAGATCTATTTAAACCCTCTCCCCCCCCAGATCTCTCTCTCTCTCTCTCTCCCCCCCACCCCCCAGATCTTGATCTCTCTCTCTGCACCCCACATCTCTGATTTTTATCAATATTCCAATCATCATCATCAAAATGACTGATACCACCCCCACCGCCAGCCCCATTGCTGAGTCTACTAGTGAGCTTATTCCCAGATCTACCCCAGATCTCCCTCAGTTTCCAGATATACCAAGATCTCAGATCTACCCCAGATCTCTCTTAGTTTAATCTTACTTTGGTATCAATTTATACTAATTAGGTAATAAATAGTGTAACTACTCCCCCCCCCGGAAGCGGTATACGATACCCGCGAGGAGCTAGTCGAAATAGTGCAAAAATATACCCTTTCCTAAGGTTATTATACTACTATTAGAGCTAGTACTATAGGCAAAAACGTGACTATATAATATATTAGATCGGGTGATCCGAAATAGTCCACAAAACCCCCGATTAGGAAAAGAGAGATACTATGGGCACACCTTTTCGACTACCGGCACACCTTTAGTAATTAATTCTATAGTGGACACTATTACCAAAGTCACTGTATTATTAAACCTAGTTTTCGCCTAGTATAATGATCAATAGTCATATGATTAAATATTACCGCCCCCCCCCCTAAAAAAGGATCACCTTATACCGCTACCTCTCCATTTTATGAAGCTATTCCTAGAACCCGCACTATCGCTAGTATTATTGATTCTATATATAAATAATATTGAAAATTCTTAATTTTAGTAGCATTAAATAGCAAATTCAATTTAATATTATATATATATTTTTAATTTAGTTGAAATTATGATTATTGAGTTAAAAATGACGCCGAAAACAATAGGTTTATGGGGAGGGAGAGGGAAGGGGGGAGGATATAGGGTTTGTAGGGTTTTTATAGTTATATGACTTCAAAATAGGGGCTGATTTTTAAATACACTACTAAACGACTTTTTAGCACCTAACTCTCCTCTCTATACTATCTCTCTATACTATCTAATATTATAGATTAAGTAATCCTAGACTCGTACCCCCCTTTCGAAACTATCGAAATTAGCGGTCTACTTATAACTCCTAAGGAAAAAAAAGCTATAAGAGTAGCGGGGCTTAATATACTTAATACCTAGTCATTACCTCTTAGCTTTTTAATCGTGAGTAAACGCTTAAAGCCTACTACTATCTAGTTTTACTACTCCCTCGCCCGTCTATATCGGTATAATCGCTAGTCTATTAGGCGCTAGCGATCCCGGAAGTATTAATTAATAGCCTATATATTTACTAGTAGACTCCGACTTAATTCTACTAGGTAAAATTAGAAGATCGTTAACCTAATTTCTTACTATAATTATAGACTTATAGATCTATTAACCTTAATTATCCCTTAGCGGTATAAAACTATAGAAGTCCTCTAGACTATTATTAGCTAACTTATATACTAGATATAATCTCGGTATATTTTAGGTACTTTATAGTAGGATACTAAGAGTTAGGGAGTATAGTTATATCTCTAAAGGCGTAATATCGCTAATATCCGCGCCTAAAAGAAGCTCTAGCGGCTAGCTAGCTAGACCTTAGTATAAGCCTTTCTTATAGATCTTCTAAAGGATAGGATATAGATTATCTAATATATTATAGATACTATAGATAATAGACTTAGTACCCTTTTTATAGTCTATAAAGTTAGTCTCTAGCTTCTATATACCTATCTATATATTCTATAGATAGATTATATATATAAGACTAATAGATAGAAGATACCTTTACTAAATATTATAAACGTATCTTTAGTTAGTAAGATTTTTTATATTAGGTAGGTATTTCTTAGCTCTAAGAAAGAGGATTTATATAAAAGGGTACTTAATTAGCTCTAGGAATTATATATAGCTATTAGTATAGGTACGGATATTCTACTATTTATTCGGACTACTACTATTACCTCTATTAGCCTTCTTAGAGATAAGCCTTTAATCTATAGTCCCTAGATAATCTTAACTAATAAGGAATAGGTAATATATAATATAATTAATTTAGTAAGTTATATTTTTTTACTCTAGATCTTTACTTATATATATAGGTCTTCCTAACTATAAATATAATACTTTATATCTAGTATATTACTTATAATATTAAGTCTTATACTAGACCTTATATTCGCTAGTAAGTCCTCTATACTAATCCTAATACCCCTTATACTATCGATAAAAATTAGTATAAAATTAACTCCTAGTAGAGTAGTATAAAAAATTATTAGTACTATATAATTTACGTATAGATAAATAAAGAAATAGAGGCTTATTAGACTAATTTCTAAAGGAAATATTAGTATTTCCCTAATATACTATAGTATATCGACTAGGAGTAGCTTCGTAGCTATAGTTAGTATTTTCTACACTACTATACTAGTAGATTTCTCTACCTAGATAAGACTTTAACGTCTTATATAGAGGTAGTATATCGCTACCTAAAGCTTAATAGCTAAAATAGGACCTATAATCTACTAGCTTTTAGTACTATAATAGAGTATACTATTAAGCGGCTTATAGTAGAGATTAGCTAAGAGCTTATATCTTAATAAGGAGTATAGTAGATTAGCGGTAACCCTCTATTTACCGTAGTAGAAACTTTAGTTATAGATTATATAATTAAAAAGGTATAGGTAATATTTAATTACTATCTACTAAGTAACCTAGATAAGCTACTTATTCTAGTTTTATACTTAGATTAGTCTATATTTACTAAAGAGTATCTATATATCTACTATATTTATAAAGCCTAGGTAGGAGGTATAAGCCTTACCTAGGCTAATTTTTATTATTATTACTAGCTATAGCTAGACCTAATAGCTATTTATCTATAAGTAATAAAGCTCTAGGTATAAAACCTATATATTATCTAGGCGTATAGTCGCTTAGTAAGATCCTTCTAGTAGTCCTCCTAGTAGTCCTCCTAGTAGTCCTCCTAGTAGTCCTCTTAGTAGTCCTCTATACTCTTATCGCGGGCTTTATAGCGCTTTAAGAACTTAAGTCGTTAAGAACTATCGTAATTCGAAATTATATAATTATAGAAGGCCGGAATTATACGTCGATTAGGGCGAAATAGGCGAGGGAATAGGAGGTATAATAATAATTAGACTATATAGGGGGAGATAATAAACTCTAATAATTAGCTTATAGTTAGTAGTGTTACTACTAGAAATAGAAAGGGGTAGGCTAGGGGGAGGGACTCGAGGATAGTAATTATTGATCTCTAGTTTATACTATATAATAAAAAGAAATAGAGAGCTAAGTACTAAAAAGTCGTTTAGTAGTATATTTAAAAATCAGCCCCTATTTTAAAGTTATATAACTATAAAAACCCTACAAACCCTATATTCTCCCCCCTTCCCTCTCCCTCCCTATAAACCTATTGTTTTCGGCGTTATTTTTAACTTAATAATCATGATTTTAACTAAATTAAAAATATATGTATAATATCAAATTGAATTTGCTATTTAATGCTACTAAAATTGAGAATTTTCAATATTATTTATATATAGAATCAATAATACTAGCGATAGTGCGGGTTCTAGGAATAGCTTTATAAAATGGAGAGGTAGCGGTATAAGGTGATCCTTTTTTAGGGGGGGCGGTAATATTTAATTATATAACTATTGATCATTATACTAGGCGAAAACTAGGTTTAATAATATAGTGACTTTGGTAATAGTGTCTACTATAGAATTAATTACTAAAGGTGTGCCGGTAGTCAAAAAGGTGTGCCTATAGTATTTCTCTAGGAAAAAACCTTAAAATATTAGCTTAAAACGGTAAGATTGCCCTTTTAGGCTCTATATAACTACTAAAAGTAGTAGTTAGTATCTATAGATTAAGAACCCTACCTATAACTATACCGCTAATAATATTATAGGCTACTATTAATCTCGGAAGTTTACCCTAGATTAGCTTAATTAGATTAAAGAGTTATCTAATTAAGCTATACCCCTAACAAAGATTATCTAGATAATATAGTCTTCTACGCCCTAACTAATTAAAGATCGTGATATTTATAATTAGATCTCCTAGTTTAAACGCTAAGAGAGGGGTCTTCGATCTAAAATCGAGTTTTTAATCGATAAAATAAATAAAAAGGGGTATAAATATAAGTATAAACTCTTATCTACTAATTAGATCGAGTTTCTCGCACTAGCCTACCCTAATATAATTATACTAGCTAATAAATATAATAGGATTTTTATATTAGATTATATATATAAGACGAATAAGTATAAAATACCGCTTTTAGAAGTAGTTAGTATTACACTAACTAATTAAACCTTCCTATTTACTACTTATTTTATATATTATAAGTAAATAGAGGGTTATTACTAGGCGATAGAGATTTTATTCTAAAGATAGGTATATTTACTTCTAAATATAGTACTAGTTACTAACCGAGATCTTACTTTTTCGGGTACTATTAACTCCCTCTTTCCTAGTTTACTATAT